TCAAAGTAATCATACTTAGTCTTCGTACCAACTATAAATTTTATACAAAATGGACATTATGATATAAGGAGAGTATGGAGAAAAAGTAGTCAAGTAGAACAGTCATTTTTAACAGACAAATAAACAAGTAGTTTCTAATGTCTCTAATGCTTGTGCTCTGAAAAACACGACATTTATGAACCTAGATCTGTCACTCACGACATCGATTGCTTTTTTACATAATAGATAGCTTATAATACATCTTTCTTCACACGAAATATCATTAAGATCCATGTAGCCGTTATTATAAATATCTGTACGAACTCACACAGACACAGGTTTAACAAACACAGACAGACAGCAAGACAGATAAATCGCATATATAATATTAATATAAAGCATTATTATTTTCCTTTACTTACTTTATCCCCTCCGATCGATCCCCCGTCCAATTCAAACGGGGATCGATTTTACGACGGCCTGAGCTGAGGTTCGAACCCCTTGCGGTGCCCTCAGACTAAAGTATCTGTCAGGCGGGAGTTGGCCTTCAGCCGCTCCATAAGTCCTTCTGTGGGTTTGGAGTGCCATCTGCACTCAACAGCATTAGAGTAGTCCGAAAAAAAAATTACTAGCAATAATATTATTATAATTTCTTATTAACTTAATAATATTTTTTTCTTCTACTTTAGATAGTTGCATATATAATATTAGAAACTTTGAACACCCTTTCTAATATTAAAACCGTCGATGTCATTTTATTTGATTGGTATGTCTTAACGACTCAAACAATTCTTACAAAATTTGTTGTGCACATTACATGTCTTTTAAATAGAAAATAATATTGAGTATTTATAAAACTGCAACAGTGCATGATATAGTGTCCTAGAAATGAAAGTCATATAATCATACTTGTGTAACCAGAGAGATATATATAAAAAAGTACCACTATTTCAGTGGCCAAGTAAGCTTATTTAATAAGCTCTCTTTCAGTTGTAGGGTTATTAACTTACTAGGCATTAAACTTCCTAATTAATACGTAACCATTTAGTCCTCTTGAAAGAAAACCCATGAGTGATATTATAGGTATTACATGATAACGTGATGCCGTCATTGTGTTAAATTCACCAGGAATTGATTATGATGATTTTCAGAAGGAACCGTTTTGATATATTGCTAGTGCATACTCTTAGTGTCTGGGGAGACCCATTAGCTTAAAATTTATTTATTTATGTACCAAATAAAACTACGTTTAAATGTAAAGACTACCTACAGAAATAAGTCGCATTATGAAAGAAGCGGAAAGTTGCACAAATAAATTAAAAATAGCTTAGATGAAGGTCAATGATTTGATAATTTACTTTACAAAAGAGCATTTACAACAATGAACACATTGACGATGGGAATCTCAGATACCTCCCATCTATTTTTGGATAGTACAGTACGAAATCGCCTTGTTACTTTGTGATTACAAAAGAAAACGTAGTTACAAATGAGGAAATATTTTAGACCTATTTAAAATATGTTGATCTTCTGTTTAATACCTCACAAGTAACTATGGACAATTTGCACAGCGCCATCTAGTCCCAAGCTACGCAGAGCTTATGTTATGAGTACTAGACAACTAATACAAATACTTAAATATATTTTTTCTATACATGCGCACATAATATACATAGAAAATATCCAGATCGATACAAATAAAGATATACATGAACACAAATATTTGTACCGCGTGAGGAATTGAACCCATAACTATTGTAAGTAAACGATGTACTAAACTGCTAGACCTATAGACCGTCATCGCAATCGTTAACTTATTTGTATATTTCGTGTATGTAAAGTAAGTAGTTTACAATAATTTTACTTAAGTGTATTTATTACCTAAGCCAGAGTATGTAGTCTTGAAGTGTAGGTAACAACAAAAACATGAATGAATGTAACTTGTAACGTACATATGTAATCTGATAAAGCTACTGCTAATAGTTATGATGTTGTGTACTAAATTATATGTATCTTAACTATTGATACCCGTGTCTTTGTATACATTTTAAGATCGTAGATTCTTAATGATAATCAAATGACAACAGTAAATAAGTCGTGTCGTATAAAAGTCATCTATTATTTTTTTATATAAAATTTAAGGATGGAGTATACGAAATTAATTATGATACGTGTTTTTGAGTTATTTTATTAACTTTTTTTAGCTTATAGGTTGTACCATATTTAACAACGTATTTTGTGAAAATTTCATATTAATTACCCACCCATTATAAAGTGAAACTGTAATATAAAAACAGATAAACTTTACTGATTGACAGATGTAAAATAAAGTACTTGAGTATTATTTATATGAAACTATAATGTTAAACATGTTCTTAACATAATATAACAAGTACGATGATGTGGGGTAGTTATCTAATTTATAACAAAATAGGAAAATTGTAATCAAAACAATTATATCAAAATGGAATAATAACATTTCGCAGGTATTCCTACGCATTTTTAAACTACTTTTTGAGAGTGATGATTATGTAATGTATAGAAACATGCTAAATATTCCACAATATAATATAAACAGCAGAAATAAGAAAATCTTTACTAACATATTAAATGAGAAAGTGTGGTTGTCAATCTGCCTGTGAGCTTATTATCTTAATCTGTAAAAAGAAGATTCTGAGCCAAATTTGTAAATATATACAAACTCCTAACAGTTTAATAAGGTAAATAAACCTAATGCATAATAAATGTAGTATATATATGGTATGGATATACATATCAACAGAAAGGAGTGTAGAAACAATGAACTTTTAATTGTCTGTACCCGTATTTGTATTTTAACTAATCGCATGGACTTGTAATTTCATGTTACATTCAGTCACAAAGCAATTTTGCGGTAAACTTGATTTTTTTTATTAAAATAGAATAGTCTTGACGACTTGGAGGCTTAAACAATAAGTAAAGCTTTTGAAATATAACACATAATAATACCTGAAGATCATTATGAATATCACATCGCCATTATTACGATTCTGTCCAAACAGCCAGACAGATTACAATACGGCTTTTAATCCTATAGGTAATAGGATACTCTATCAATTTAGCAGTATATTTTTCAACATGTTTCTTGACATATAAATTTCTATTAATCTTTTTGTAATTAATTGAGTTATTATCGATTTCATATAATAATATATATGTATTAGTTAGCTTTTATATTTAAACAGAATATAGTAATTATACAAGTGCTACAGTTTTTCTTTATAACCTTTAATATACTAATAATAATATAATTCTGTCCAACAAACAAGTTTCAACAAACGGTTGAAAACGTGCAACTTTGTAATAGAATCATAGAACTTATGTCTTTGTAATGAATAGATATTACTAAGTCGTATGAACTTCGTAATCTTGCCGTAGAATGTTGACCTTACACACATCAGGATGTAAGCCTGATATGATACGCAATGCAAATTAGACTATGAGGAAACTGTATGACAATAGATACAATACAATGTATGTGAGGTAACATTGTATTTTTCTCTTCTCATTACGCAAGTTATACTCAGATAATAATAATATATATTTATATTATATTCCACTACATATAATACATTACATATTTTATATCCTTAGGTCACTTTTTTAACCGGCTTTCTAAAATTGAACGTTTAAATTCACACACATTAAAAGTATTTGAGAGCCATATATGAGATTCCTTTTTCAAAGAAAATTTGTTTTATGGTCTCTAATTACATTCCACTCTTTTTTGTAAAATATTGATTACTTTGTTTTGAATACTAACCAGCTGATATAAATGCTTTATAATATTATTGTTTTGTAAATACATGCTTAGTATACAGATACAAACAATCATACTCTGGATTACAAATGTTTGTACTGTGCGAGGATTGAACCCGCGCCCATCGTAATTAAGGCGGTGCGTTAAATCGCTAGACCACCGAGGCCATTACACTCAATAAAAAATTGCTACCACCGCCAATATGACACAGGAACAATGCACTTTATATTGATCCTGTAACGCTTTCCTAACTCTTCATTTGTTACTATTCCTGACTACTATATGGATTAATTTTCACCTCGTGTCAATAAATATTAAAAAATAATACAGATTACATAAAATATACAAATAGACACAGTGGCAGTTTCACTATATATAGTACTAGCTACCCGCCCCAGCACGCACGTCGCACGTGTGTATTATACATACAAACCTTCCTCTTGAATCACTCTATTAAAAAAATCCGTTGCTTTGTTTTAAAGATTTAAGCGTACATAGAGCCAGACAGCGACAGCGACTTTGTTTTATATTATGTAATGATATAACAGTTAAACGTATTTTAGTACGTATACTAATGTTTATTAATGTTTTATTGTGCGTGTTTTTCATTAAAAGATTTCACTACAAAGTAAAAAACTTAACGATACACAATCGACTTACAACCCTATGTTGTAACGCCATAGTTGAATGAATCTACGTCATAAGAAAAAACCAGTGTCTTATGCTAGATATATGTCATTTATGTCTTACCGGGTACCGGGTAGCTACCCGGGGCGGTGGCAGGTGCGCAAGGGTGTATATGTATTATACATATAAATCTTTCTCTTGAACAACTCTATCTACTGCTAAAAACTGCATTAAAATCCGTTGCGTAGTTTAAAAGATCTAAACGAACAGACAACGAAAGTCACTTCATTTACTGATGGATAGCATCACGGATATTGCTCAATCCACAAAATATTGCAGCGTACATAATCTAAATCTTAATTATTTTTTGCTACCTTTCTTCGGCAGAGTAAAATGATTTTTTGTTCATTAATAATTAAAATTTTCACATTACTATATAAACCTATTAAATGTAAAATACTTCTAGAAAATTCTAAAACCTCAAATGTTTATCTTGAGTCTTAAAAATTGAAACGCCAAAATGTTCAAGACACACAATACAAATGTTTCAAATCAATCAGGTTTGGTAATTAACAAATTTGAATCCTCTTTTCAGATGGTTCAACCCTTCGTTGTCACTTGCTCCAACCGGCCGTATTTGCCGCAGCAAACGACGATGTCGTACGGTGGCACATATAAATACATACGTACAGCCCTGTTGCCGCGACTGCACGCCGAAACCGCGTTCAGTACGGCGACCTAGCGCACGCGCACATCAAATAAAAAACAAAAATTTGAAAATTACAATCGTACACCTGAAAATCGAGCGATCACTATGAATAATGCTGAGTTATACCAAAAAAACAATTCTCTCCAGAAGAGAGACGCTCTAGATGCATTAGAAGAATTCGCAAAAAAAATTAGATGGAAGAAACACGGCGACAGAGTAATAGATATTGGTTGTGGAGACGGTGGCATTACAATTAATATTTTGAAAGAATATATGCCCGAAAATTTTGAGAGACTCGTGGGGTGTGATATCAGCGAGAATATGATAAACTTTGCAAATATACATCACGGCAACGAAAGGACTCATTTCACTACACTTGATATAGAGGGTTTCCTGCCTCTAACTTTGAAGAATAAATTCGATCATGCCTTTTCATTTTACGTACTACATTGGATCAAGCATCAAGAGTAAGTGATATTTTTATAATGGCTCTCTAATAAGTAAAAATATACCGAACAGAAATGACGACCAAGCCATGATAGGGCTGTTAAGTTTTGGCTACGTTCAATAAATTAAATTTTATTAGTCTTGAATACTTTAAAATCGCATATTTTACTTAAATGTAATTTTTTAGTGCCCTTCTCAATAATAAATTAACTAATATTTACATTTGTCAATTAAAGTTTAATATTAATGAAAATATATGAGATAGACATACGATACTATACCATAATATATTTTTTCTTATATTTCTTTTTTATTTATATAAGCCAAACGGTACACTATATAATAAAGGTAATTGATATATTTACCAGTTAAAAAAGCACATTAATAATGAACTTTCTTACAATTAGTCAAGACGGACATTAGTTACATGGTATTATTTAACTTAATTAAAATTGTTAATGCTTCCATTTATAACTTCATAGCCATATATAGATAGATATCCCATAATGTAAGTTGAGCAAACATTTTTTTCGTAGACCTAATAATATTGATATCGTAGCGTAGCATATCTATTTATAATTCGTAGTTTTAATAGTACAAATCAACTGGATAATCATTATATTGAAATCCGTTATAAATCAAATTATGCATCATACTTCACGTATATATCTTCAATATCTTATTATTTTTTTATCAAATAATCGATCTGATTTCGCTACGAAAAACCTTTCTGTATAAATTCAAGATCGTTAGCAAAATTGGCCACTGTTTCACTTAAATATAATTTGTAATAACCAGTGTATGGGGCAAACTAGGTTTAGTAATATAGCCCTAAATTTATTCTATTTTAAGGTTTTTAATTTTAGGTTCTTAGTTGTACAATTAGGTTATGTAAATACTAGTAATTATATTTGTTACTTATTCTTACTTCCTTTAAAGTTCTATATAAAAACTTTAACATAAATAATACAAGTACACATTTCTATCTTACAATTATGCTTAGATTTATTCTATACAAATCTGACCACAGACGGTTTCTTTTAATCGTTTTGTTTATGTTTCTTTTCTTCCATTCCAGAACAGCATTTACGAATATATACAATATGTTAAATGTTGGCGGGGATTGTTTATTGGTTTTTATTGGATACCACCCCATATATGAAGCATACCGGATACTCGCCCGGAATAATAAATGGAGTTCGTGGTTGCAGGATGTAGACCGATTCATAAGCCCATACCACGATTCGCAGGTATGAAACCGTATATATTAAACCTTAGAAAATTATATAATGAGACTGAGGGTGTGTGTCAAGGGATGACACTGGCTATAAATTACGCATGATATTCCTATACACGAACTTGATTAAAAATTGTTATATAAAAATAACAATCATGACTATATTATAAACATTTCACGAAACTTTAACTGTTACTGAACCGATTTCGAAAATCAAATTAATAATGACTCGATTTTCAATATAATGTTTAATATTTTTTGTTAGTTTCCTATTATTGAGTAATTTCATTCTTTTTAATATATTGTTTTACATTCCAGGATCCGGAAAAGGAAATAAAAAAAATGATGGAAGAAATAGGTTACATTAACATTGAGGTCTCGTCCAAGCAAAAGGTTTTTATTTACAATAATCCGGAGAGTTTAAAAAGTAAGTGTCTAAACTGTCATTTTCTTACCATAACTAGACACAATTAAGCTTTCTGCTTACTTCCTGCTTTAGAAAAACGCGCTCAATTTCCATATTTCGAAGACAAATGACTGTCTGCAAAGTTAATTTGTTTATGTTGTTTAATATTATATTTAAGAAGTACGCGTATCTATAACTTTTTTGTACTTCAAATATAGAACATTATTAATATTCCATTAAAAAAATGTTTTATATTTATTTTTCTAAATATTTTTTCAGAGGCAGTTCAAGCGATCAATCCATTTAAAATACCGTTAGATGTTTTCAATGAGTACTTTGAAGATTACATGGATGCTTTTCGGCACATGATACAAATCCGGGAAATAAACAATAACGAATCCGATATCATAAAGTTTAGTTACAATTTAATTACTGTATATGCCACAAAATAATGTTATAATGCGGCCACCTAACATAATGCAGACACATAACATAGAGATAGTGAATTAGTATTATAGCATCGTACTATACCTAGTAAGACAATTTTTAAAATACTATTGCCACAGTAAGAGCCTTTAGAGAGAGCCGTTTTAGAATAAAGCTGCACAAAATTTCTTATTTTGTGCAGCCTGATTGATGAATTGTTACAGAATTCAAAATTTCTTAAAAACAAATAACATATAATAAATGGCTAATTGTTATTGTTAAAATTAACGTTAATCTAAAGATGTAGATAATATTTTATTTATTTTTTAGTTAAGTAAAGGAGTCTCTATGGTTTTAGGTTGGTCATAAATTAAATAATTAACACTACAATGAGACCGTTATACTATAAACAGTTAGATAATTAAATTAGTCTGTATTAATTATTGAAACTGATAATACGTAATGTTATTTAGTTCTTAATTAATTAATTTTAATTTCTATTCCCACCGTTGAGGTTTTACTTAAGTATAACTTATTGAAATATTACATAAGTACAATTAATATTTTTTTACTGAATCAAACTGTAGTATACAGAAATGTTTTCTTTTATTTTGTTTTGTTTTATTTGAATAAACTCCTAGAAATTATCCATATTTCAAATTTAGGACTGGATTTATTTTACTATATAGTATATACAGAAACTTTTATTTTATTCTAATCAACTTTTATTCTAATTCAACTCAATGTCTTGTTTGTATTGAGATCCTTCTTTCAACATTCATATAACTTATGTCCAAATTGGTAGCCAGTCTATATTTTTATAGAACATAATTTACTTGGATTCGCTTTATATGGAAACAAAGATTTTAAATGGAAATTGATGCACTTACTTATATATATTATACTAGTCTTAGATATAGGAAAATTCTACTTAAAAACTTGAATACAGGTGTACTCGCTCATGTCATAACTATTGCATAGGTCATTGATCACATACGTATACGGTATATGATTCTTAATATGTCAAGTCATAATAAATAACATTCATTTGACACTCGTTTCTTAAAGCTAATGTCAAAGGTTAAATAAGTACTTCCTCATATATTACTAGATGTTGAGTATCGTACTATTTTATGTTCGTCTTTGTAAAATCTGACATAAATTCTGATTAAAATTGTCACAGAACATATCATTAGGGTTACCATCATATTAGGCATTCATATTCCATATCCTTAATTGTACCACCACCATGCTACTTATTACAACGATCATGACCAATGTCGTCTACTTATGCCTCTCCTCTTCGTTGAGAGCCGACGTACATTACATTTGTCTACAAATTCAAATTCAAAAATCATTTATTCATGTAGGACATTTTAACCGCTTATAAACCAATTTTTTTTATATTATAATATTTTCTCTACCGACCAGTTCAGTATATACATAGATCCAATTGAGAAGAACTAGCAAGAAGCTCAATTCAGTAACTTTTTTTATAGCCAGTATTTTTACAATGTATATTTATTTATTTATTTAAAACTTTATTGATTTTGTACAATAGGCGGGCTTAATGCTAATAGCATTCTCACCAGCCAACCTTAGGGAGTGCCGAGATACTGGAATTATGTTTATATATGTGTTTATGTCTAACATTAAATGTAAAAATCCATGAACGGATGGGACGGACGAAAGGGATGAACAACTATTGCCATGTACGCTTGCCATTCAAATAATAGTATAGTGAGTAATAGGCTTTGCTCAATAAATATGATTTAACAGATATTTTTAATTTATTGAAGGGCAATTCCAGTATGTTCTTTGGTATCTTATTGTAATTTTATACCTAACGATACTTGGGGACAGCAAGTTTATATTACAGAGTCACCACTTCTTCCCCTTTTTATGTGTTCTTAGCTTATCAATATGTTGAGACATATTACTTCGATTTATCTAAAAATAAACCATAAACCACAATGCTTTAAAATCGACTCTTAGTGACAAATTCTAAATAAACTTTCCTTAGTTATTTGTCGCATCGTAACAAACCCTTATCCTCCCAGTGCCGGTCTAGCGACCAGTGTGGAAATGGGACATGATTTGGAGTCAAATGTCGAGTTTTCCTTCTCTTCGGCCGATATATTTGTATTTATGTTCATACACGGTATATTCTTTTTATGAAATGTATCTATAAAGGGTTAAATATTACTAAAACATAGAAAGGCTAATGACTAATCTGTTTATAATTTGCGTATTATTATAGTTTTAGTACTTATATCATTAATGATGTTATCATGTAAAGGCCATAATAAGGTGATTATACTATACTAATACATTTGTGCAGTTTTCCTTGCTTTCTAAATATATACATGTAATATCCCCAGTTCAGCCAGTTGAGTATTGAAATATCGTCTTAAAAAACATATATTAGCAATTCTTTATTTCATAACAACAAATGAGTAAGGGTATTCGTATCTCAAACGTATATAACATATATTTCTATAATATATATTTAGATTTCGTTAATTGATGCTAAAAAGGTAATCGTAAAAAGCTTGTAGTTACTGAAGCCTAATTGATAGTATTTTCAAATAAAAAAATATATGTAAGACAATCCAATGAAGACTTTAACCTTGACGTTCATTGTTTAGTTACTCATGTGAGTATAGCACAAAGTGTCAATATGGGATACAATCAATTGATTAATGTAATTACGTCGCCCTTTATTATTAAGTTAAAAGCTAATTTACTGGTAACGTTCCTGTCTTATAATTATCCATTTTACGCGATTACGTTCCAAAAATCATACCTTTAATCAAACAGACCTTTCTTACAAATATCGTTATACAAGTATTGAAGTGTTATGTTTCTCAATTCATCTGACAGCATTGAATCAGGCCATAAATATATAAGGTTCTCAATTTAAAAAAGATAAGAATTAATATTAAAAACAATATAAGAAACTACTTATGAATAATTTATATTATTTTAGCTTTCTAATTAGTTTCAATGAAATATAGTATCAGTTATTATTATATATTGACTCGAATCCTTGATATCTAAAGAACCGATCAATACAGTCTTCTAACAGTAATCTGAAAAGTATAAGTTTTGATAATTCCTACTTATAAATAATGTTTGGAATTCTCATATTTTTTATCCAGTAGGTACATGAATAACTAATAATCTTTAATAAGGTAGATTCTGTATAATGTCGTCGTATACCTCTATACATCTTACAGGTCAGACGCGCTATCATCTGCCGTTTCAATTATATAAAAAATGTTCTAAGAGATAATTAAATAATTTTCTAATCATTTATTTATGCTTTAATATATATGAATGCACTATTGCATATGAAAGTCGAATGCTGTTAGATATGAGTCAATACTGAAGAAAAAAACAAGAAACTAAATTAAATACGTAATATTTATATATTATTGCATGTTTTATATGTCCTGAAAATTTTATTAAAAAAATATTATTTATATTACAACAATATTTTAATTAAAGATATTGTACTTTATGAACTATTGTCTCATTTTTTCTTTTCAAAAACAGTATTTATCTGGTAACAAAATAGATTACCTTTCTTCGAAAATGATACAGCATGAAATTTAAATGTGCCATAGAAGAATGAATATCCCAGAAAGTTCTCCGTTAATTGTGTAAAATTTACATTACTTATGTACTCGCCCTAAAAGCATAGAAAAAAACAACAATTAAAATAATTAAAAAGACATAATTAACAGAATGCTGATGAAACAAACATAATAACTATCTACTAATTATATTTAGTCGCTAATAGTAACACATACCACGAAGTAATACTTTGGAAGTTCATTTTGTTTTATTACTTACCTGATCGAGGTGGTTCTTAGCTATAATTTATAAGATTTGTTCAGGAATTTGAAGACTATTAACTCGGTTTCATGTTAAGGAACGGATTTAAAAATATATATATTAAGAGTTTTTTTATGTACCTATTTTCTAATTATGCTTATGTATAATACCGAAAATCACCGATATCATATTACTAGATTGTAATAATTATCTAAAACTCGCAAACCTTTTCCACGATGCAATCTTTGGCTTTAAAGTTAACTGTAATCAGGCTTGCTGCAGCGAAATGACTGCACACATCCTTCACTTTGTACCGCCATAACAATTTTTTACGGTTCTCATTTAAGGCAAACACGTCTATTTTCATCTGAAAATTTAATAATGTATAACAATTCTTTTGAATAAAAATATAATTCAGTAAAGTACAGAGTATATGGATTATGTACTTTAATTTAGTTCACTACTATTACTAATTGTATGTTACTAAATGCTCAGGATTCACGTTTAACCTAATATATTTAGAATTAGAACACGCTAAGGTAATAGAATTAGAACATTCATATTTGGGTCTACATTTATTGTATGATATTTTAAAACTATATAATAAATGCGGAAATGTGTCGGTGTGTACAGGTAAGTAACAGATCTGTTTGTTACCTTTTTAGCAACTAAGCAGCTAAACCAATCTTAATGACATTTGAGAATGAAAGCATATGCAGACAAAGACAAACTAATGTCATATACAGTCAAATTACATTTTCTATCATACGTTAACAAATTATACGAAATTTATATTATACTAGATTTTTGCCCGCGGCTTCGCTCGCGTTAATTTATCCCCTTAGGGGTAGAATTTATCAAAATCCTTTCTTAGGGGATGCCTACGTCATAGTAGCTTTATGCATGCAGTCTCAGCCCGATCGGTTTAAAATTGACAAAGTTTCATATAAACTTTCATCCCCTATTTTATCCCCATGGGGGAAGAATTAATCAAAATCCTTTCTTAGCGGATGCCTATGTCATAACATCTACCTGTATGCCAAATTTCAGCCCGATCCGTCCAGTGGTTTGGGCTGTGCGTTGATAGATCACTATGTCAGTCACCTTTGAGTTATATATATATAGATGAAAATAGCTACTGTGTGCAATTAAAGGTTGTTCTGATAAACTTATCCAACTTAAAAATGATCAATTAGTACCTCTTCGATTCGACTTCTTTCTAAAAATGTATGTTTAACAATACCCAGGAACGAGTTGTCTTGTCTCCGTATATCGCTTTCAATATCTGTTAAATTTTTATGTTTAGGACCAGAACACAGTGTCAGGTTATACGTCGACATTAAATACGGGCCCTGGTAACAATTAATATAAAAATGTTCATTATACAAACGAATAAAACAAATAAATAACATTATTCTGTAGGAATTATTTATTACAGGTATTTTTAGGTATACTTTATCAATATAAAAATTAATAGTGTACTCAATAACTATGTAGGTATATAATAGGTACATGCTTAATAAATACGACATAAATAAAATAGATGAAACATATGCAAGGCGCCTTTCAGTCTAAATAATTCTACTTAATCCATTCTCATATTGAATGTGTCTGTCTGTTTTTTAGAGTTTGCTTTAAAATAGATTATATCACAAAATCAAGATTATAAGACAAAATAGCGCATAAAAAATAGTTTTCTATACATATAAGTCTTGTACATAAGAGATTTCATGATAAATGGATGAACCATTTATCATGAAATCTCTTATGTACAAGACATCTGTAATATGATTAGAGCTGTACTTACATAGTTTTCGGGGTTTTTTGTGATCTGTGCAACGACAATGGATCTGAATAAAAGTAATATTACATTAAACAGGTAACATATTAAATTCATGATTCAGAAGTTGTAATGGCATGGATTGTCCTCACCGATATAACAATATAGGCTTAGGTATGAATACTAAATTGTTGAATATTATTAGTAGAATCAAATAAAGTAGATAATCACTAAACCATAATGTACATTTTTTACTAATCTATGTTTAATGACAATATCATTACTGTAGTTAAGTACCTACATTGAAATAGCATACATAAATAACGAGAACATTTTAACAGTATTGAATTACAAAATGATACTTGCATATCTAAAACAAACTTTTTTCGAATTTTATTTAACTTATATATATTTGATCCGGAATAAAAATAACTTTTATGCTATACCGACTAAGGCTTCCTTATAACTCTTCGAGATTGGCAGAGAAGTTACAAAGCATGGCATCTTAATCCCCAGGAATGGCAAAGCATTAGGATTACCACGGCGTCACAATTAATTTTATTATATCTATCGTGTATCGTATCATGGATCACATTCATGATCTCAGCTAGTTAGCATTTCCAATTACAGAAAAGAAAATGACTTGCCTACTTAGGGTTTTGTGTTAAAGATATTGCTAAAATCATTAATTATTCACAATTATTAGACCTTCTTGATTTATCAATGTTCTGTCTGCATAAAAACTATTTAATTGAAATGACAGCTAAATAATTAATTACAGGTAAACACATACGTATGTTCATAATTTATTACGACTGTAATACTTGATTGTTTTGTAAAGTAGATTGATAATTAGAATATATAGGTAATGAAAAAAGGAAAGGTATAAAACAGCATAACCGTGTAGTTTCTTTTTTAGTTTATATATCTAATAAATGATGTATTTATAATATTCGACTTATAGTTTCGTTCCGATGCTTCCATTTCTACAAAATCTGACATACAGTTTAAAGAAGAAATCTACATACCGCCACTTGATGTGTTGACTGTAAAAGTGTTGAGTTTACGAGATCCAGATGAAAATCCTAAACAATATGCCATTAAAATAACGTTTTTCGATCAGTTGTTATTGACAGCAGTCATCAAATCTGTGGGAAATAGAGAAACAACAAAAAAAAGTCCAGTATTAGCTAGTGGTGACATGAATTATGATCCATCTGACTATGAGAAAATGTGCCTTATTGCCGACTGTCCCTTAGTTGGTAAGAGTCTATTTATGCTTTAATATTTTCCGCACGGTTGTCACGCAACTAGGGAAATGTGTACATATACAGAAAATTATCCCGAGAAAATAAGCTATATTTTCCAAAGACGGTTTACTACCTAACAATAATAAGCGAACAAATGTTGGACAAAAAAATTGTGTTACAAGATTTACAACATATAAATAAATAATAAAACCTGTATCAGTGTTTCGTATTTTTTTTTCCATCTAATAGCTCCTTACTTCATTGAAGTAAGCTATTTATTTATTACAGTATACGTCCAGCCTCTTAAAAGTATTGAATCAAACATGTCTGGAGAAATGGAGGACAGTTTAAATTCAAATCCGATTGTCAAATGCGTACCGGATATAAGCTGTTGTAACATTGATATCTTGTCGATCTTTTTGAGTAAGTTTATTTTCTGTTAAGATTTTTCCACTTTCCTAATCATTGATGTACCTACGTCAACTATTTTAAATATAGAGGGGGTAGAGAAACTATTGCCAGCATGCTATACCATTTTATATTAGCTTTACCTCCAGGCGGAGCTTCCCCTTCCCCCGCTTTGTAAATTGATTAAACTAATAATTCCTGGTGTATTTGCCCTAATACGCTGACTAACCTCATTTCATCCTTACCTTGTCTTCCTCCGCTGGCGCCACGTTAGTATACCGTTCATACAAGCAAGTACACGACATTACCTATTCATTCATAGCCCATTTAAAATACTATTTCAGATCAAGACAAACTGTGTATAAGTAAAAGCATGGAACCAATGTTTGCACCTTCAGTATTGCATCAGAAAAGTTGGGACAATTTACTTTTACTCACAATAGAACTTTCTGTGTTACGGAATCCGCTGAATGTGCACCATCACAGATTATTGGAGAAAGCCAATTACATGAAGTTAACGGTTGTAGCTTCTTACAATATGATAATACCTTATAATGAAGAATATATGTACACTGCCGCTTCAAAAACGCCTCTATATAACGAAACGGTTAGTTTAGTCATAAAAGTTCATGATAAAACTGTAAAGATGTAACCACTGACATAACAAACTAACTGGCAGACTGACGGATGCTAACAGAAACATATATAACAGTAACACGCCATCATATAAAGTTGTGCTCTTCATGCGTTTACATTCCTGAGGAGTATAATGTTGTGCCATTCATAGATTTGACAGGTACATAAGGCTACCAGTTGTAAATAAATAAAATTGTTTTCTAGAATACCGGTCTTGTAACATTTAATCAAGGTTACAGAATACCAAAGAGATTTCAATGCAATAATTTTTATCCTAAATGGGAAAGTCTCAGACTCGGCGATGATGTTTTTACAAAGGGAGATGAAATTTTTTGTATTAATATAGAAGATTTATATAATCCCAATGGTATAGACGTGAATCGACATATTCATAGCTCAAGAAATCCTTGTAAGTTATATATATTGTATGTCTTTACAAAACTCGAACACTATCCTTGCTCGCTAACCACCACCTCTGTCACAACGTTAAGATTGCTGGAAGAGATCTCTTTCAGAGATAAGCCCACCATTGCTCACATATTTGTATAACAATCTTTATTTTTTTAATGTTAAAAGTGCAATAAAGTTTATATTTTGTATTGAAAATATCAAATATACTTATACTCTTACAATTTCATCTGGCATTACATTAGGTGCCAAACCAAAATTATATTGTAGACGTGAAAGCACTAATGGCGGACCCTGCCTTTGCTAACGGTAGGTATACACTGACGGGTCACCACTGGAAGCCATCGTGCTGACATGGTACATAGCTACTAGTGAAGCCAATACTTCACTAAAAATTCGGTCCAATCAGCAAATATTCTTAGGAATTCCGAATACTACAGATTTTGAATTTTTTTTAATTAAGATAATATGCATATCTAAATTACTAAACAAATTTAATCATTTAAATCCTTTACCTTATTATTATAATGAATATATTTTTTAAATAAGGCAAACAATCTTAGATTGTAAGCCGTAATTTCGTAAATCTCAAATTAATTTCTAGATTAACCTCTGGATAATACCTACTCCTACCGTTTGTTCTAACACAAGGTTGGTTAACGTTATTGGAGTGTATTATTTACTATTAATTCTATAGACACGACAGTGTGGGGCTCGTTTCATCGTACTCTAATGCTAAAGGATAACACCTGGTTATGGAACCATCTACGACATTATAAGTGGCCGTTGGAAGTACATATGTATGGAGAACATGGCGGCTATAGTTTCATGGCTTTTCTAGACCTATTTAAACTACTTTACCCCGGAGGTGAGATGTATGCAACTGACGACACATTGAAATAGAGTTCCTAAGTTTTTTCCATTAGTAAATAAGAAATAATTTATTTATACATATACTAGCGGAGTGATTTCAAGAGGAAAAGTTAAGAGACATACAAAAGTATTCAAAAATTACATATAGGTATGAAGATAATATTTTTAAACAAATATTAATGAAGACATACGCTTCACCTGTTATATATAATGCATGCATTTACAAGAAAATTAATTTAAGTATTTGTCTGTTGTCCTGGATTATTATTATCACTTCAATCAATTCATTATTGCAACATACAATATTAATTTTCTATATACATAATGATCGTAATACTGGCTATAGAACACTATAGATTTGAATGATATTGCTGACTGTATCGGAAAATTTATTTGCTGTAACTGTAACTGTACATTGCAATAATTTGTTAGCAACAAATTAGATTGCTATGTGTTAGATTATTTAAATTAAATACTAAGTATAAAAACATTTTAGAGACAACGCTCCGTTTAATTGTGCCTTTACAATGGATAAATAGTCAGACAATGATGGAGAACTGTGGATGTAACTTACTGCTCACACCCAATGAAAGAGCACCTTCAACTTCAGGCAGTACACAAAAACCTAACAAGTAAAGAAATAAAAATGTTTTATTATGATAAAACATGAAAATTTCCTAATTAGACTATTATTTTTTGTTTTTTTTTATCATCATCATCTTAAACCTTATTCATCAAATTTTTTAGGTTATGTTTCGATCAAGTGTTTTAATCAAGATGTGACCCGCTACTGTCATTTTATATGTTTCTGTATGTTACATGATAACTTCGCCATTTCTGCACTTGTTATGAAATTTTTTAGAGCTCCTATGATAGGACATAACGTGGATAAGAGTTATCTTAATCTTCTAGATTAGTAATGTAAAATAGTAATAGGAGTGTCATGAGAACGTAATTAGGTTCGCATGATGAGGCGGGCCATCAGCTTGTTTGACATTCAAATTCCAAAAAAACGTTAATTTCATCTATACTATTCTTCTGGTGGTAGATGGTTAATTCTTGTGGAACAAAATTAATTTCACTTTCAACTTGTAATATACAATATTGTGTGTTGCTACACCATAGAAAATATATGCTACAGTTTTACTCCTAACCTGTTCAAATTTCAGGACCACTACCGACTCTACACCGGCCAGCACGAGCACTGACATAGGATATACTACCAGGCCTACAGGAGCCAATGAAAATTCTGCTTTCGTTATTGTGGAAGTCAAATTAAAAAACCCTTTTCAGAAAGCAGTTATACCGCCTCATATCACTAAGTAATTAACGATTTCTTTATCCAAGTTCAAATTTTTATCTAATTCAAATACGTATAGTTGGATTAAAAGATTTGTCAAAGTTCTTCAAAATTAAATTGTGTCATATTTTCACTTTTAGGTCACTAGTGTGAGTAGAGCACGTATAGATCAGAATGATCAGAAATAGCAACAAATTAAGGATACTAGGGTATAGGCATACTTACTACGATTGCTATTTTCCATAAAAATAATCTTAGGATCAGTTGCCATTAGAATTTTAAAAAAAGTTGTACTATCCAGAAAATTTGAAAATAGAAACTTAATTATCTACACAATGAATACAATTAAGTACTACCAAGATCTCGCTGTTTTCGCGGGAAAAAATGACTAGGAGCGGTGGACTAATTAACTAAGCATTCAAAGTTATATTCTAGTTCACAAATAGAAGATATGTTAAAAGAAATGGAAGGTGGTTCTAATAAAAGAGAATGCACTGGACGCGGTCAGTTAGACAGGGATTGGCACGCGACTGTTCGATCCGCTGTCAACTCTTTACGAAAAGTTCCCCATTATGGTATTATTACATTTTTTTCAATATAAAAAAATGATAACATTAATCATTAATCAGGGATGCCAACCGTATTAAGGTGCTCAATAGAAACACGAGATTTCTTGGCCTTCGGTACAAGTCCATGTTCATCCTCGTCCAAGTTTCTACGATATTTAGACGTACGTACATAGTTAGAAAGTCAAATTGAACGAATATACGAGTTTTATAACATTTTTTATTTCTTCGTACGAAGCTATTTTAATGTTGACATGGTAACCCTGATAATACATTAAACTGATTAATATGAGAGTAAAATAAAAGAATCATGAATAGCAATGCTAAATTGGCCAAGATATCACATGCTCCATTGCCGAATTAAAAACGTTTTCTTTAAATCGGTTGATTACTTTTTAAAATTGGAAGCAAAAAATATCTAAAATTTAAAAGCATCTAGATATAACTGCCGAGAACGATACAGGTGTAAGTCTTTAATAATAATAAAGAATAAAAGTAAACTTTTTCATTAAACAGGTAAGACTGAATTTTGTAATTTCAACCGTCAGTTGAGCGAGACACGTACCCGCGTGGAGCTAACGACATCGTTTTGGCAGGACGCTGCCGTATACGTGAATAATAACTTCGTTGTACAAGATTTCCTCTCCACCGATGAACTTTACAAGGTACCTACCAAATTAATTACATTATTATATAAATCAAAAAGTTTTCAGTCAGCTCCCTTATTCTAAATTTCATGCTAGGTCATGGTGATATACAGAAAACAATGGCCTTAACTTTTCTTATATATAAAAAAGTCTATAATATATCATCTTATTATTTATAACATTGTTCAATATTTTTTATAATAATAATCATCTTTGTTTGTCTCAAATATTAAACTATTGTAATTGCTGCTTATAATAAAATTAAAAGTTATCAATAGGGACAAAACAGTCTATAACTCAGAGGGGGCAGTGAATTCATACTCTCTGCTATTTTCTTATAGCCTTTATTAGCAAATTAGTACAATAACACAATTAACAGTAACAAAATTACAAACTAAAAATTATGCATCAAAAATAACAATTCAACAATAACCAAATTAATTACCTAATCGAAATCGAGTGTTTGCTGTTTTTCAGGAGATGTTAATGATGGCACATGCGTGCCTCATGAAAACAACTTGTGAAACCCTTGTGGGTGCAGATAGTCCACACGGAATGGATCCAGTTCTAAGAGCAGCGAGACATGCTCGACACTTGCAAGACATACCACACGCAACAGAACTTTATCTCCAGGTAAAATGACTTATAATAATATAAGAACGTAAACCTTTTTTAAAGCGAGAACTAACCAAGTGAGGTATCCGTACTAAAAACTAGAACAATCTGTGAATGATTATTGTAAAACTCGATATAAATTTCACGCACCTTGGCTTCACACCAGTGTAATTATTGTATGAATTTGTAATTCCATAAAATGCTACTTGATACCATGTTAAGTTACTAACTGATAAAGAAACTTGTAATAAATGAAAAAAATATTATATCCAAACAAATTTTAATGTGAAAATTTACCTCTAAAATATTAGTTTAGGTATTAAACAATTTTTTTAATATTAGTTTAAATAAGAATTTACTTAACCAATTCATACTAATATAATATTACCTAGGCAAAATCGTATCTGTCTGTTTGTCATCTCTCCATGAAAACGGCTGAACAAATTTAATAAAATTGAATGTGAATATAAATTGTATTACGTGAACTGACAGAAGCTCTCTTATATCTCAATTTTTTTTTAATATTTATTCAGCATAGAATCTCTATCAGGTCATAAATTCATCTTTTTGAGTGGTTTTCATTTTTTACCAAAATTCATGTCCTATACACCTTTATGGGTTGTTTTAGTTAGTAGCAGAAAAACCTCGCGATGCAGACTACTGGCGAGAACTAGGTACCTGTTTATTGGACGTAGATCGAGACTGGGCTAATGTTTGCATTAATAAATCAATTGAACTTAACCCCAGGCACCCCCTAACGTGAGTAGATATTAGTATTGATTGTTATATAGGAACTTTTTATTATTAATATAACAAATCCCTTCAAGATTTCCTTCAATTGGTGTGACAACCGTTGAAACAGCCTTATTGCATGTACGATGAAAACTTTTAAGCCAATACTCATTGGAAACTTACATGATTTGCAACTTAATCTTTATGATCTGACTTATGGAGCGGCTGAAGGCTAAGTCCTGCCTGACGGATATGACTTTAATATGAGGGCACCGCTAGAGGATGAACTTGAACTGAAACTTGGCTCAGGCCATCATAATTTCGATCCTCATTTGAATTGGACAGTGTATTTATTGATCGGAGGGGTGAGTGTGTGTGATCGTGGTAGAGACGGAATGGTTAGACTATTGAGCAGTGAGGCACTACGCTTTCAAATGGTGACATTAAAACCACTCACATTCGCATCAGCAAACACATTCGAATTTACCTATATGCTTATACAATGTTTATTTCTTTTAGGCTCCTGTCTAAAGCGTCTATCATATTTGAAAACAGTCCTGAAGCAGCTGAGATATTTTTCGTAGCTTTGTTATCATTGTACCCGTTTTGGTCAACCGGTTGGGTTGTTGCTAACGCGTACTATTCAGATCGGCAACTTTTTAATATGGCGGACGAAGTCATGATCTATATTAAAAAGTAAGGTTTCACGTATGTAATTAGAATATCAAGCAAGAAACTGGTAACCGTCGCCTATAAACATGGTCAGCACAATGCACATTATAATGGGACGCCCACAATAGCACTCATGAGTTGCCGTTGGAGGACTAAAATATCATGCCTGTAATTTAATATTTACAAAATCGCAGTACCTAAAGGTTTAACAATCGTCCAATCTATCCCTGGATCGTATATATTTTAAATGGTTAGTAACAGTGTTACATAATTAAACCCCTGATTCTTGTCTATGAACGTGACGGGTATCACTCTCAGCTTGTTTGCCTATTCTATATCCAATATATGTTTATTGATATTAAATTTTAGGAGTCAGGCAAAAGGCTATACAGATGTTTTAGGCTTTCTAAGATCTTGGGACCACGAACTTGGTGATTGGTGGGACTACACGCCACTGTTGCCAGAAATGTGTCCATACTACGACGCAGCCGACCTCTTATTGAGATTACGAGCTGTAACAGTAAATATATTAATTTATTATACTTACTAGTATTACTATATATTGCTTATTATATTTTTATTAAAATATTTTCTTAAAGCTAACTATCCTAATTTATTAACTTTTTCCAATCGGTGAAGTTTAATATCTGTATTAAAAATAGAAAACAAAATTGCATTTCCTCCATCTACTTATGGAGGAAATGCAACATTTTTTCCTATTTTTAATACAGATATTAAACTAAGCAATCGTATCCATTACATTAGCCTTCAACTAATAATTAAATCATATGTTAAAATAAAAATATCTATTTACTGTTAAATTATCCTCCACTTTCATACCCAAAAAAATCTGCGCTAAATGTATTGTTGGAATAATGTTTGTCAAATATACAAGGTATCCTGAAAATATATAGGATATTTTTGGCGTTACTGTAGATACAAATAGTTTAACAACTCAAGGGGCGGCACAATTACCCATTGACCTGTAATACCCCATTCATCCGCTTATAGAAACACGGTACAAAGCAAGATAGGGAGTTATCTGTGTTAGAAATTAAATAGATTACTTTTATAGAATGCACCCCTAGGTACAAACAACAAACTAATACAGCAAACTAGCCTACCAGTAATTTGTTGTAATAACATATGCAACGATTTTTTACTTCAAAAGAAAATAAAAAATTATAGGCCTTCTAACAGATTGGTGTAATTGTTATAATAGTAATATTTATGCATACGTTACATTTTGTCACTAGGACAATAAAAAACATGCCTAAATGTAATGTATATTAAAATTTATATAAAATATAGATAGATCATATGGGATCTATAACATTTTACATGGTTTTGTATTTTACGAATTACGACAATGAAAATTCTAATATGGTATGGTAATTTAATAATTATTTATTATGTATATTGGTTGTTTCGGTTCAAGTTGGCAGAGGTGTGTGTGGCAAGAGCACTGTCTGAAGCGGGTGAGACGGCCGCCTATTTCCACTTAGTAGCATTATGTTATCGACTGCGTGGCGACATCGACGAAGCTCTTTGTCATATCCGTCGGGGTATACAGAAGTTTGGTGAAGTATATCAAATTATTATTTATTTACCTACTTGCCTGTCTTAGATATTACATTACTGGAACTTGGAGCAAAATGTAATTCTAATCTATTAGAATATAGTCCGACTTACCTATGTTTAACTAGGCTGAACAAAGAACGATAGGATAGAACGAGCATTCTCTTGCTTGATTGAAAGTGTAGCATAAGAAGCAAAGCACTCACTTTTCATGCTCATACCTATATAAAATATTTACCATCATTACCATTTTCTGTTCATATGGACCCTTGTTTGTTTAAATTGCCAGTAAAATCTTATAACAACAGATTAGTTACATGAGAACCTTAGAAGCTGAGTGCCTACACAAGAATAAAGATTACAATGCTTCTATGGCTTGCTTGGAAAAAGCAGGCACTTGTATTAGCGCTTATAGGTAAGTATAATATTTTTAACATTTTGGCTTTACATTCTATCGCACAGTATTATATAAATAGAATAAGTGTACAGAAGTAAATATGCATAAACGGTTTGCTCACGACTTATTATTCAATTTATTTTTATTTTTATATAAAAAATGGCCTAAAATCGTCGTCGTAATACGAGTATCTACGACCTTTACGTCAAATTTCACTAAGATGCGTTCAAATATTTTGAACGGTAACTGACAAACAGTTAAACTTTCGTATTTCCAATATTAGTACGGGTAGCACATATAGATACTATATATATTGACTCGTTATATACATACCTACCCTCAGCGCACTTAGTCCTTACAGCGTCAGCGTCTATGTACCTAATAATGTTGAAGGTTGATATTGTTTTAAATTTTTAAATTATTTTGCGATTACTCTTCTCAGTCTTTGTATCCAAAAATATGCTATTTTACAGTATACTGCTAGCATTGCCGAACTATGAGCCACAGCGAGCGCGTTCTGTCTTGGTAGATCTTATACGTAGAGAACCAAACGCATACGCTTGGATGGCATTCGCTGATGACTGGATAAAGGTATCTTAATGTTTCGGACTTACAAATACTAATGATATTGTTCCTTTCCTTTGTCTTTTACTTTTCGACACACATTCTAATCTTAGAACCATATTTACGCGGACGCATCTGCAGATTTTCAGTATATAAGTATTACATATTTTGTACCTCATTCTTTGCATCCTCCTCTGTTTGCATTGTCCTTTCTACTCTGACAATATTTTATTAGCGAGCAACAGAAAAAGGTGGTGAAGCCGATACAACGGATGACAAGAAGTTAGTTAAGTCGTATGCAGTGGCATGTGCTGTACAAGCGCTGAAGCTGGATAGGCGAGCAGGCCGAGCGTGGGCGTTGCTTGCCACGCTAGCGACACCGAACGCTAGGCGTCAGCATTACAGAAATATGGCTATAGCTGTTAGTGATTAGTGATTTCATACTATTAATATCATACACACAAACTTTCGTGAAAATGGCTGGACGTTTGTTACTCTTTCACGCTAGATGGATTTAAACAAAATTACATCTAAGTACACATAAAAAGGTTTTCTATTTTTCATTTCTATATTGTTCGTGTTTCTTAATAACAAATGCATTATTATTTCATATAACAAAAATAGTAACAATTAAGTGGTCTTTTTATATGGTATGTGGCCATCTCAAATCATGAACACTTACAATACCAAACACAGCTCATATTTGGCACCCTTGTAACAAGAAGACTTACGAGTGACTGTACTCATTTACAGTACAGTAGGTACAATTTCTAACCCTTCAAACAAGAGCATAATTGCATCTATCTGTCTGCAGAATATTTGTAGTTGACACGGAATGCCCGTATCCACAACTTACAAGATATTAGAGAACTAAACTACATGTCCGATTTATGTTTTTGTATCTATATGTTTGTTATGTGTATTCTTAATGATTTCATTATATAAATAGTATATTTTTTATTTTTCAGTGTGGTTACCAGTGGGTGGACGAATATACGGAGATAGCCTACCTCCCTTACCAACGGTCATTTTGTAACAAGGTGGGCACTGCTTTACAGGAGTGTCGATGTAAACTATGCAAACATCTGCAATTTTAAAGGCACTACCTTTTTCAATAAATAATAAGTGTTTGCCTAAATAAATGTATTAAATAATTATTTGTATTATACTCTTTCGAGTTATGCTTGATTTTCATGAATTAGAAACAACAAAATAGAAACCAATTAGAAAAGATAGTAAAAAAATTCTCGGTGTTCCTATATTATTTGACACATCCAGGTTGGTTGGTCCAGGATTCAACACGGCAACTCTTGTGCGATTTCTAACATATGAACGTTATCATTATTAAAAACGCGTAGTAAACGCGTAGTAGTAGGTAAACAAGATCAAACGTCAAATATTTTTCAAAAATGCGATATATATGTACTGTAAACAACACATGTCCTATTTTACGAATATGTATGCAGCAAATCTACATAAAAATACTAATCTACATATATATATAAGCTACAACACATTATACTACTGTCCTTCCTGATAATAAAAAACGATATGATACTACCATTTTCTACGCTTATGAATTCGCAGACTTATGTACTTACTTTTAATATTTATTAAATAAAAAATAATTTGAATAATCTCATAATTGTAATCCCCAATAGTGGTCCAAATCTAATAAAGTTGATAAGCCCAAAAAATTAATACAATGTTTTTAATACCTAAATATAATAAATTTATTATATACACAAATAACCAAAAAGGACGGTTGTTGATGGTTATCCCTGCATCGGTGGTTTAGGTGGCATGTGACGATCAGGCATTGGGGTGGTCTCCTGGTCCCACGGAGGGGGATTCGGCAACTCTGACAGCTTCTTTGTCAGCCATATTAATCCATATACTATCAAACTCACTGCTGATAACCTGAAATAGCATCCTAGTCATTAAAGAAACTAATAACGGGAATAATCTTTTTACTATTAAAACTTTAGTGTTTATAACAAGCAGCATCCGTAGCTTCGTACCTAGGTAGGTATATGCGCATGCCGTTAAGAATAGTATTATAATTTATAGTTAAGTAACTTATTATTTGCGAACCGATTGAACTATGAGAAATATGAAATGTTAGAGGAAGCTTGCTACATCAGTGAAAATTCCATTCAATTCGGTTCCGCCCTGTCTGAGATTAACATATAAAAATTCACACAGAGATACCTACAAAATAAATTCTAAAAACTGTTTTTTTAACTAGGTGCTTACATCACAACTCAGAAGATTCTGTATATATATATTAACATAATATATATAGCCTATGTCACTCTGGAATGTACCTACCATTCAAATAGTGAAATTACTTACCTACCTGTTTTAAGTCAGTGAAGTACCTATTAAAATTTATCCATTAAAAATGAATGTTTCCTTGAGATATAGAAAATATGAGACCTACAGTTTGTATATAGATACGTATCTGAGTGTTCGTAATTATAAGTTACATAGCACTTTCTTCACTCCTGAGCACTTATTATTTCATCGAACTCACTTAGGAACTTACATGCTTATTTCCTTCGAAACGTATGTCCCAAGACACCCGTATTGTGCGTTTTTACTCCTTACGAACACTTTCCATCCAAAGAACTAAAATACTGATTTAATTAACAATCGACATGCCAATATACAATAGACGTGTCTAAAATTCAGTAAAAGCGATATCCATGCGATATAAGTATTTTTAGTAAGTATTTACAATTATTGTATATTTTAATTAAAGATGTCAATAAAAAACTAATGTATATATATTATTCAACTTGCCACACTACTTGTTACATTAAAAAGAAAAAATACATTATAAAATAAATTCGCTCTGCCAAATCGGTAATCTTGATATGTTATAGTGGGGAGAAGGAGATTGTTAGTAATGTGGACTAATAACCCTATTGCTAGCAATGTACTACGTCAGGTTGAGTTCCCCCTGGAAACGATCGTGGTAAATTCACCATGAATTTATCAACTAACTGACCTGACCTCATGTACCTACATCTTATCATGCTCCAGTGGTGCCCCGCCAGCGTAAGCCGCTAGCGCAGGCTGGTGCACCATTCCATTATCACACATAAGATATGTAATAGTATAGCTTGTACTGGATTATAATGGAAAGTATAAATGTTTACTGTTATTGTATATTTTATACCCAACAACAAAATTCCTAGCAACGTCTTTCGACGTAAGACAGTGGGTACACAATTTTAGTATTATTTTACGTGGTTCAACTGTACCTGGCTATATGCAATAACTATCAATTAAATTTATATTGATTTCATGCAACAGAATTTAAATCAAAACTAACATTTTACGCTGCAAATAGCCAATGCCTAAACTTTTGCCTGACAATAACGGCTGTAATTGGAAAAATCTGATGACTTACCTGATAGAAAACAATAAGAATATTACAGGTGATATTGAAATACTCATAGAAATATAGAACACACAGATATATATGTACGGGAGCGAGGGGGAATAGCGCTGACCAGGTAATGGCGCTCAGCCCTGTAACTCTATCAAAATGGAATGTAGCAACACGCCACGTTGCTTAAAGCACGAGGATAGGTAGCCTCTAAAAGACAGCAATGCAAACAGACAGGCAGCTCAGAGTCAGAGTCAGATTTTCGTTTGCGGCCATACTGATCAAATTTTTGCATTAGTGTTTTATGGCGGTAAGTCTAAAATTTTAATGCTTATTTAATTATTAAGTATATTTTTATGATAATAAAACTATTCTATTTTATGTAAATGCAATCCCATCAAAAACATAAATGTGAAATGATAGCCGAGTTTAATATTATGATATATACCTTGACTTCTACGACAAAAGAGATGAGATCTAAATGGGTGCCAAGTTCAATGGTCTGTCCTGAAATGTATTTATAACAATATAAAATATCATTTCTTCTTATAACTTAGGATAATATACTGTAGGCTAAGGTCTAACTTGGCCAGTTCTCATATACCAATTATTACTTTCGATTGCTAGTTACTACTAATATTAAAATAGGAACCGACAAGTAACATGTTTAGAACTTGCGAAGGCTACAGTATATTTCGTATATGAAAACTAGCCAAGTTAGACCTTAGGCTACAGTATATTATCCTAAGTTATAAGAAGAAATGATATTTTATATTGTTATAAATACATTTCAGGACAGACCATTGAACTTGGCACCCATTTAGATCTCATCTCTTTTGTCGTAGAAGTCAAGGTATATATCATAATATTAAACTCGGCTATCATTTCACGTTTATGTTTTTGATGGATATCATTACTTTTTGTACATAAATTATACGAGGTACTTATTTATAACTAAATTAATACCAAATTATTTTTGATAAATTACTGTATTTTCGTATATTTACGGGGTATAATTGTCTTTTTTTTTGTGTTATTTTCTATATTTTCTTGTAACTTTTAAATGTTCAAGTGCAATGCCAATTCAGTATCAGGAATTTTTGGGCAAATCGGGGCGGTATAACGTCCACAGATGGTTGTACTCTACAATAGAGCTCTCGTGACTTGGATCTAAATTGTTAAGACGTACTCCATCTAAGGTTTTAACTCTGGAGAGTCCAACGTAAACCTGCCCTTTATTAAATATAGAGGAGCCTATGTTGAGAAGAGGACTGCCAAAACTGAGGCCTTGTGATTTGTGGATAGTAATAGCATATGTTAAGCAAATACGGAATTGTTCTCTTTCAACATATACATTATTTAATATCTGAAACTTGGTTTAATTGAACTTTGGCTTAATTTTTGGTTTAAACTATTGTCTATACCATACGTATTTACTAAAATAATGTAATAATAATATAATCACAAATATATAAGTATAATTTAAGAAAGCTATGAATTTAATAAATCGCAACCTTATAGGTTAGATATCGAGAAAAAAAACATTGAGTTTTATCGCACCGCTCCCACACGGCGCCGCCGCGGCGCCCTATACCGAAATGCTTATTATTTAATAATTATTTATAAAAATAATGATTTTACACTATCGATGTGCGCTAAATAATGAAACAATAATTAATACCAAATCTCAGTTAATAACATAATAAATACGAAATTCGACTATACTCCTAGTTATAAGTACGAGTATATTTTAGACAGAATCTAAATTATAGCAACTAGTGTTTACCGCTCAATGCAATATTTGAAGTTTGCTAGTTATCGACACTGATGTGAAGGGGTCAACGTAAATTGGTAATGATCGACGTTTACATACAATATTACTTTCCGTCCAGTACAAGATGAGATTTTTCGCCAGGGATCAATGTCAATTGGTGGCTATCGACGTTTTCATAGAATTTTAGTACTCGTCCAGTATAAGTTGAAATAGAATCAATTAAAGTGAAAAATTGTAGTAAAATGATAACAATTTACCAGTTTCAGATTTTTTCCTTTATATTCACCTAATTACCTATCTGCATACCAAATTTGAACTTCCTAGGTCATCTGGAAGTGGGTTATAATTTTGATCTATAGTTGATCAGTGATAAAAATGACGATTTTTGGACATTAATATCTAAATAACTGTTTGAGATATGTTTATGAAATTTGGAACACATATTTATCTCGCAAGTCTCAATATATGAACCAAATTTGACAGGTTTATGTGAAAGAGTTTTTGAGTTATGAGGGGGTCAAAAGTGGCTCCAAATGGTTCGTGTAAATATACACACGGTGCTGCAGGCCAGTTTACTTGAAACTCGGCTTGACACGCTGCCGCGTGTCTAGATCAATTTTTAACAATTGCGTATGATTTTTTTTTATTTCCAGTTAATTACAAAACGACCGTTTGGGAGTTATACCGCTCACCAGAGCACCATTACCCCTTTGTGACTTTTTTTTATTATTATTGTAGATATGCTAAGATTACGTCAAAGGATCGCCGCTAAAGTTGTTAGACCGAAAAAGACCCTCAACCTGCTAAATTTATGATTAAAATAAGTTTGTCCAAGAGAAAGAATACAAACATGATACAAAAATCTTAAAAGAAAAATTTAAATGAAAATCTTCAGATACGACGACGATGACAGTTACGACAAAATGAATGTGGATGATAGAAATTATAACAAATTATAGAAATTATAAAAATGTATAATACATTTGTTATATTTCTATAACAAATGTATTATAATAACATTTAACAGGAATTTGGGAAAGAATATGAATTCTGGTATCGCTGCACCATCTGCGGTCTGTGGGTTCATGCTACATGTTCAGGGATTCACAGATAGATAAAATATAGGTATATGTGATTTATGTATCCAAGGATAAAATATTTTTATTTGTAATTTGTCTTACCTTTAATAATTATTATTTTATATTTTCTTACAATAATTGAAGTTGATTTGACATCTAAGCCTGTACTATATTTATTCTATTGAAGAAGGCTAATTTTACGTAGAAATGGGTATAATTGGGGATTGTAGATGTTACTTCTATTATTTAAGGTTGATCTTATGAATATTTCTTTAATTAATATATTTTACTGGTTACATTACCCCGTACCTTGAGCGGCATTACCCAGTCAGGGACAATGCCGCTCAAACATGTTTTTTTAAATAATGTCTTCCTACTACTAGTAGAATAAAGTTAAATGCTTTTGTTGTTAAATTATTGGTTACTCGATAATTAAAGATTTTTTACTTTTCTTAATTTTGATTTGCAATAAATAATTTATAAAATACACCATGTTTTCCTTAAGTGAATGCTATTCACCGTTCTTCCCCTATGTATTCTATACATACGAATACAAAAAGATATAGGTCTCTTTTTGTATTGATCTGAATGTTTATATAAATATGTATATACATACATATTATGTTTATATGAACATTCAGACCAATTTAACAAATATTTCATAAATTATAAAATTTTACACACATATTTAGCCTCAGATATTAAAAAACTGTAAAACCTACGCTTTTGTGAATATCACAAAAGCGTAGGTTTTACGTACGCCCCGAAAATTATTGACGATAGAGCAGTAATATTAGTGTTACAGTAGACATCAATATCCAAATATTTATGGTGTGTGTGTGTTAAAGTTTATCATTTTTGATAACGATTTTATTCGTATTTTTTCCAAAAGTTATATTTCCTTACTAAAGTTTTCATACGGAACTCTTCTAACTAAACTATCGCTTATGGTGTAGAAATCTAATGATAAAATAATTTATCAAATCGGTCCAGTAGTTTCGGAGCTTATTCAATGCAAAGAAATAAATCATTCCTCTTTATAATATAACAGATTGAGATTTAAGAAAAGTGCATTTAATTCTACCAATTGTCTGGTACCCATAAGATAATTCCGCTAACTTTGAACTACAGGCCACTATGTGAATTTTTCCAAGTTTATTTAGTTCTTATTTTTTATAGATATACCTTTTCCACTGTAAATTTTGTATACAGTCGTTGGTGTGTGTACCTGTGTGGTATACCACCTACCTCTATTTCCCCTATTTCGTCACCTTATTTTGTAAGCTGTGTTTTGGATTCTAGGATGAAATATGATAGTAAAATACAGGGTACGCTAGCGTGATATTTTAATTTCAAATCATGAAAAAATCGATAGAAATATTTTAATAAATTTTATTGACTATATTTGCTGTATGAAGTTATTCATTCAACCATAATCAAATCTTTACAAAAAATGTTTTTGTTGAAATAAAAGTGGTTCAGGAACTAATTACACATCATCGGCACATTTTCCCAGAGAATGAACACCATCGAAGTAGGTAGAATTTCCACAAAAGTTGCCATTAATATATTCTGATTTTTTTACAAATCATAAGATATCAACATCTAATATTACCACGGCAACGAATATAATTTCACATTCGCAACAGCACTAGTTAGTAACTTAAAAGTCACTAAATATGATTTCCCTCATAATTCTCCAAATACCAAGTTACAGGGCAACAGAAAGAGAATTGAACTGATTATGTTATTAGTTCCTTACCATATATGAGAGGTAGAAAATATTTATGATGAATACAATACACTAATATCTCGTGATTGCACTAAATGATGGTGACGTCAATTTAAAGAATATTCCAAAATGAAGCTCGATTCACACTACAGTTTGTTCGATAAAATATTTTTAATACAAAAACCCGCAAAACAATAATTTAGAAATTTACTCTAATATTAATAATGAATTATATTAATATTTTATTATTATAAATTATATTTGCACATATAAATAAGAAACTTGCGGCGTAAAATATATTTTTTATTAATAATACGAAGCTACATTCGCTGCTAAGAATAATTATAACGCAAGATTTATTTATTTTTTTAATTATATATTTTTGATACTTCAGTCACAATGTCGACTTATACGACACAAACTTTTCCGACAGAACAATGCTAAATATACATATTCCTAAGAAATTCTAAACTAGTGACTTCTTATAAGACTGACGTAATTTCTATTCTCTTATAAAAATATTTCATCGAACCTTACCGTTACATATGTAAACAGTCTTAATATTATAATGTGAATCAAAGCATTTTAGGAAACTGCCGGTCGTCGCTGTATTCAGACCGCAGTACAAGGAAATTTATCAAATTATAAAGATTTTGTTTGTAACACATCGATTAAAATTTTCAAAAAAGGAGGCTTCTTTATATGCATAACACCGGGTCTAAATTCAAGTGTATTGGGGCACTACAACTATCGTGTGAAGGCATACAGGGTAGCCCGGAGATGAAAGAATTTACGTATTTTTTTTAATAACAACGACAAATTATAACTAAAAGATCAGATTATGCAATTTGTTCATTCACTTCTTGTCCAGGCTATCCATTTTGTAGAATCCACGTAATATTGAATAAATCATTACTTATATCTATGGATGTAGGGAATGAGAATGAATATTTAAAAAAACAACATGCACCTCGGTTATGTTGCTTTTTACTATGAATTTTGGATGTGTGTACAAGTAAGAATCGAAGAAAATAAAGGAATATGTAATGTTTTATAATATATATTCTACATCGCAGTACTCATATGAACAAACATTACTTATGTTATTTTCGATATAGTACTTCTACTCAATCATATATTTTTTGTTCGATCGCTCATCATCTGAACATCTGCACAAATTATTTATTAACGAGAGCATATTCGTACATGTCACAAAACAAAGTAAAATATGGCTATAGAAATCCAATCGATTTAAATAAATCATACTAGCTAAAAAGAAACACTATTCGATCTCTGTGAGATTAGCAAATACTGCATAACATCTAACTGTACAGACATGTAAAACATAAAAACGCATAAAGGAAACATAGTCTGTATCCACAAGTTATTTATTACAAGGCATGGCTTACAGATGCAATATTAAACGAACAATATTCTCACTGCGTATCGTGAAATCGGTGAAAAAGTCGTGATAAAAACCTAAAGTCCACATAATGAAAGTCTAAAAATATATTATAATAGATTTCAAATGTCTATACATAGATGAGTGTTCACTACGCGCTTATAACGAGCATCGAGCGCGCGTCCATTACGTTACAATATTTAAATACGATAAAACGAACCGGCGGCTCCGTCCGTACACACGGCAGTCGTCGAATCGCGGATACGTCGCTATTCATAACCGTACCGAAGGGACTAGACACATAATCCGAGAGTACCGGTCGCCCGTCTACGAGCGATGACGCGACTCGCTACTGCGTAACATAGAGTTCGTATCGAAAGTAAAATTACATGTATTTATTATATATATATACTATATATAGTCGGAGTGCGCTCAGACGAAGACCTTGGCGAGACCGTCGGCGCCGGCGCTGGCGATGTACGGCCGCAGCGGGTGGAAGGCTACGTCGAGGATGCTCTCGTCGAACTTCTTGCGGTGCGCCGTGATCTCCTGCACGCAGGTCTTGGTGTCGAGGTTCCAGAGGCGCACGGAGCAGTCGTGCGAGCCGGACAGCAGGAACAGGCCGTTGGGGTCGAGCGCCAGCCCCGTGACGGCGTCCAGGTGCGCCACCATCGCGTGCGCGCAGCGCCCCGACACGCCGTCCCAGAACCGGATGTGCCGGTCCTCGTGCGCCGTCACCAGCAGCGGCAGCGTCGGGTGCGACCGCACGCGCGTCATCGGGCTGTCGCACGACACGCGCATCACCGTCTGTAACAAACCAAGTAATGACGTACAGTTTACGAAACGCCACTACACATCCTATGTGGTTGCAGCCCCCATATATAAACGAAATATCTTCTTTGGAAATTTTACTCTATTCGGAGGAGATAAAAATCATCACTCTTAAGAATATATCTGTGTATGTCGTAGTGTTACAAGTCTAAACACCTGACAATAGTCCCAACCCTTCAATGAAAAAAATACGACTGGTAGAAAACACTCTTCGATATTATTTTTATGATGTATAAATTTATTTGTGCATTGAAGTTTGAATGAACAACATTTATATGTAGTGATCTTTGAAGTGTTGAGTTTTTAAGGTAAGAAACAATTATACGAGACATGACATTTAATTTATATGTCAAGTTACCTTACTAAATTTGAAACATTGAAGAAAGATAAATATAATGAAATTGGTTAGTCAACGTGAGCATGATCTGATCTGAGTAAATGTACGTAAACAAATGGTAGTTAGATTTGGTTATGTATATGATAGTGTATTTATTCAATTTGAGTACTCAGTTCTGGACATCACTCGTATATCTACACAGTGCTCATTTTATTATGTTTTAGACAGCCTCGGTGGCGTTTAAACACCACCTTATTTCCAATGACCGCTGATTCCATTTCTCGTACAAATATTTGATTCCATAAGCATGATTATTTGTATGGGTCTCTCTTAAGCGCTTCTATCAGTCGTCTAGTACGTATAACACAAGCTCCGCTTCGCTTGTGAGTAGACGGCGCCGTGAATCGTCCTGGTTTACTATAAGGTTTATATACTCGTACCTGTGAGGTCTCGAGGTCGTAGAGCAGCAGCGTGCCGTCGCGGTAGACGACAGCCGCACGAGCGCCCGCGTCCGCGAAGTCGGCGGCGGCGGGCGCGGCGGCGACGGCGTCGTCGCGCAGCGTGGCCAGCAGCGGGCGCGCCGCGCGCGGCGCCCACAGCCGCGCCGTGCCGTCCGCCGACGCGGACAGCAGCCGCCCGTGCGACGCCGCCACCGACCACACCGCGTCACTGTGCTCGCGCAGCACCGGGCCCTGCGCCGACCGTGCCCATTATTCATTCATAAACACATTTATCTATACGGGGTTGTGGATTCTATTGTCCGCATTTAGTCTTAGCAAAATCCGTCACCCATATACCGAGTCGAGTTGACTGCACGCGCTTTCAGCTGTATACCATTAGGGATTTTTTTCGAACTACTCTAGTGCTGTTGGCCGCAGCTGACCATTACAGCTTCACCGGACGATAGGGAAACGAAGGCCGCGGAAGGATTTATGGAACTCCCGCCTGAAAACCATCACGGTTAAGTGCTGATCGATTTGCTGAAATGCACAAATTGACCTAACTTCGTGCTCATTCTATCTCTCTCCAATGTCACCCGGCTAGAGTATATCGTTAGTGCAGACATTATAGGTACATTATTCCATATTCATCCATCCATATTAATATAATCTAATTGAAACAGTACTTCATATATGATTTATTGCAAAAACCAAATCTAATCTAATCACAACAAAATATGTATGAGACAAATATACACAGAAATATATCCTGACTGATTGCAAAATAAATTATGACAATAGCAATATTTTATTCAACCCTAACAGTGCCACCTACAATCCATCCTCCTGGAAACTATCATTCATTTATTGCTAGTCAATTCACTACTATGAACTCTAACTACATTTCATGCTAATTTAATTTACATGATGAAACCCACCTGAACGGCGGGATCGTAGGGATCGTACGGATCGGCGGTGGGCGGCGGCAGGTTCCACACGCGGATGGTGCCGTCGAGCCCGCCTGAGAAACATTCCTCGGAGCGCGGCGCGCCCATGGCGAGGCAGAGCACGGGCGCGGAGTGCGCGCGGAACGTGTACAGCGGCTCCACGTCGAGGCCGGCCGACTTCTTGGCGGGCACCGTGCGCTGCAGGTTCCACAGCTTGAGCGTGTGGTCCTCCGACGCCGTCACCAGCGCCGCCTCCGTCGGGTGGAACGCGAGCGCACGCACCTACAACCGAACATGTACTATTTAATACTACCTACCTGTAGCTGTAATGTACATATAACCCTTCCTCTTGAATTACTCTACCTATTGCTAAAAACTGCATTAAAATCCGTACGTTTCAGAGATCTAAACGAACAGACTGCGGAAGCGGCTTCATTTTATACTATGTAAAGATATAGCAGGAGTATAGTAATTATAACTATTCAATATTATACAGTCAGAGGCTCTGTGTAAGGATTTCTTTTTAAGAATTTTGAGAAGAAATAGATACAAAAAGCAATCAGTACATATTTCAAATTATATGATATACACCTATAATACATATAATACCACTTATTACCATCAGCTTTGTTGTAACTGGCTAATCAGATATGTATTTTTTATTCTAAATTTGTATTTGAATTTATAGTTCTTTTATATTACATTCTTGTTTTTGATACTTCAATTCCTTCTTTCTATTCCTAATTGTCAGTAGTCTATATTAATATAATTTCTCCGTTTACCTAGTCTTTTTTCTTATTACTACAACAAGCTTACAAACATTTGCCTGTGCCAATAAAGTATGCGTTTTAAAAAGATACTCGAGTAAAACTCACCCCGTCGAAGTGAGAACGCAACGTATATTTTGCGTTCCATGTTTTACGGAAAGACTCCTTGTTGGCGCTGGCGACGTCGTAAGCCTCTGGTTCGTTGCTGACGGTGAGCTGAGCGAGCTCGCCCAACGCCAGGGGCTCTTCGTCCGCCTCGCCCGCGCCCCCTGCGGCCGACACTACTCCCCCCACCACCCCCGCGCCACCTGCAAATTTACCTATAATACGAAATCATAAAATCGCTCAAAAACGCTCCAAAACTAGATTGACTCCAAAAATACATGGTGCACGTCCATAATGGGCTAATTAACCTAACTTTATGTACATCTTATACTCCTCCACAAGTGCAATGTCAACATATACTATTACTGTAGCCAGGTATGTAGTTCACCATTCTCATGCATTAAAACATAAATAATTAAACAGAAAACTCCAAACAGATAATTATGGATGTAGACTGTTTATATATTATTATTTTTTACATGTTGTATTAAATATAAATTACCTTACCTAGGCAATAAGATCAAACTGTACAAATCTACAGTACAATATTGTATTAAAATACAAGATTTCTGTTTCGTCTCTGAAACCTGGTCCAAATCAGTTATTATATTAATGTTTTATGAGATTTTGTGTTGCTTGAACTCAAAGTTAAATTATATACATTTCATTATAATATATAAAATAAAAGTTTTATTGTCAGAAGTTACTCACCAACTGGATATTCATCACCTTGTCCACCGCCATCAGCTTCACTTTCTGTCAGTAGGTTTAGTTCATTCAGAACCTCTTCAGCTTCATGGTCAACCTCTTCACCTGTTTAAAAAATTGTTATAATATTATTAAACATATAAAACATGTAATTTAACAACAAGCATGTATTTCCATGCACAAGCCAGGATTTAAATAATGTTGTAGGATGACAATCAATATATGTGTAACTTACCGTACCATACTGCAAAAGATGTAAGTCCTCTATATCCAGTAATAAACAATGTATAAAAAGTGATAATAATAAAAGTATGATAAAAACTATTTTACATTACAATGAATTGGCCTAATTTGAGTTCATTACATATAATACAATCTGATACCCATATTTCTTCCCCTACTTCCAGTAGTCTAATTTAGTGAGTTTTGTATTCCTTACTTATGATATTATTAATTGTCCCTACAAATTTTCATCCTCTATTTCATCTATACATTTTAGAATATATGATACATAGATTTACTTATTTATTATTCCCATGAAGTAAAGCTTGAACTTGTACCGTAAATACCTTGTTTGCCTGTTGCATGATGTGGTTGCTTGGCATCCAGATCATCAATCTCATCCATATCCATTTCCTGACTAGCCAGAAATTCAAAGTTAGCAAAGACAGCAGCTGTTTCCTGCACTGATAACCCTTCTTCATTGTATCCACCGCCAGTATTCACACCACTCTTGCGTGGTTCTTTACCACCTATAAAATATAACACAGATCAATGGATTAAAACATCTATATGTTATATTTATTTATTGATTAATAATAAATTATTGTAAAAATCATCATTCATTCATATTAATTTTACTTATAAAGTTTTCATATTTATTTTTTATGCTATGCATGTGAGCAAAGGAACTGTATCATTATTAGGCTGGTAAATATAATTATGGAATGATGATGGTTTTTAGGAACAATATATAAGTAGCATATTTAATTGTATAAAAAGAAAAGCAGATAAAAGAAGAATGGCAGAACACAATAATTTCCTACATAAAATAACGAACAAGAAAAAAACTAAGAATATACATAAATAGATGCTTCCTGCATTATATTAATGTAAGAGATAGGACAGATATATAAAATATTAAACAATGCAACTATTTCATTTATATAGCAATTTAAAGAAATGAAATTATTAAAAAAAATATTATTTTTATGCAAGCTCTCTCACTTCCTTGTACTATTCTTTTGATTTTACAACAAAAATAAAACATACCATAGTCATATTTTCGACCCATAGAGTTCATGGCATGACTACTGCAAATCTCATATCTATCACGCTGTTGTTTATCATAATTTCTGTAATTGGGATCCTCTGCTTGCTCTTCATTATTCAGCCCCAGTAAGGTTCGCACTCTATTCGAGCGCACATCCAGAATTGTATCTGTATAACCTATTTCCTATAAACACACAAGCAAAAATTAATATTAGTAGAATACAAATACAGAAAACACATATACATATTAAAAACTTAGATAGAGGTATCAAGTCCAAGAGGCAAAAGGAGTGGATGAAAACAAGTCATAAATGATTAAATGAAAATATACAGTTTCAGTAACAAAGTCTTTATATATTGTATCATTGCAAAAATTTGTAGACTTTTTAATAGTAATATTATAAATCTCTCTCCATGTTTTTAAGGTAAGTTGAGAGACAAAAAATTATCTTAATTTACTGACATAAATGTTTTTGTCTTTTGTGTGTTAAAATTTTATAATTGCAGTTTCATATCATACAGGAAAATTGCAATTCAGCACTGGTTATAAATACCATATCAGACTATTAATGTAATAGAAAGTTCATAAACATGGCATTTATCATACTTTGAATACTAATGAAGCTCTTGAAATCTAAAGCAAAAAAATGAGAACATATTATAAAATCATTTTAACTAAGTATTATTTGTGGAACTAAGTATTATTTGTTAAACTGTTTACTAACTAAAATGACAAAGAAGTTGTATAGAACTATTAATATAAAATTTAGTTATCAGCTATATTTTTATTTAAATAAGGCCATTAGTGAGAGTGGTGTTACAAAATTATATTTTGTAATGGAATAATGTGAAGGGTGTGGGATTAACTTTTTCAAAAAGTAATTATTGGTGCCATTTACCTGCAAGTACTGTTTAATTAGTTGTTGTCCCTGCTTCCACTGTGCCCTCTCTGCTGGCTCAGGTTCTGCTGGAAGTTCTTCAGGTGGTGGACGCATATCACCTTGTTGAAGCTCTACTCCATATTTAAGTTTATGGAGCTTAGCTCTTTCCTGTTTTAATGCATATTCAAGCATCTTGATCCGCCTTACGAGGTCATTTTTTAGATTCTCCTGGCCCTTCCTCTCTCCTTGGAGGAAGGCGATCCGTGCCTGTGTTACACAAAATTTATATTCAGTTGTATAACAATACAAATTAAAACTTAAGTTTCACTGTTACTGATTTAAGACTCTACCACCAAATCTAATTACAGAAACAAGTGTAGTTTTATTAACTTTCTATTAACTTCATTTGAATAAACATCAACATAGCAAAAAAATATTTATGTATGTATGTATAATGTAAATTGACTAATTATATATGCAATAATTACAGTAATTAGATACTGAAATAAATAATTAGATATATAAGGTACAAATTTGCTAAAAATGTTTTTAATGTTAATTGGTTACTTAATGTCACTTATTACATTATTAGATACTGTTTTTATTTTTTATTCTTTCATCTGTTTATACAAATATAAACAGATTAGTTATTATAAATGATAAAATTTGTTATATTATATTATTATGCTCTTGTTTACTTATAACTGAAGGTGTTACAGTTTATAAACAAAGTAGGTAAGTATACCAATCCTAACTTCCACTTTCAGATGAAACTCCTCTATATAAAAAATATTCTATTACAGTTAGTTATTTGTAGGTGTTTATTAATTCTATATATCAATAAAGTAATATTCAGTGTGATGATATAGCACATACATTGTCTATATAATGCTTATACTATTTAATACCTGAAATTAAATAGATAAATATGGGTACAAATTAAAATAATTATGTAACTCTACATATGTTTATTCAATTTTCTTTTCTTTGCATTAAATATTACTTATTAATATATATACCTATATTTTTAATTGAAAAACAAAGATATTCATATTAGTTATAATAATATACCTATGTAATTTAAAGAAATCTAATTACTACTGACATATTTTTCCAGTATAATCTAATGATGCTTTATAGAACAAACATAACATTTTTCAATCAAGAATCAATTTAATATTCAAAGACTATTTGTGTGTTGTAAAATGTGTGCATTTAAATTTACATATGTAATAAATATAGAAAAGAGTATAGCATTCACCACACAAAAAGTTCATTAACACCACAGTTATTAATTAAATACGAAAAAAAACAAAAAGATCACCTCAAACTCAGCTCTGTCCACCTCCCATTGTGATCTCTCGAGCTCAAATCTCGCCCATTCGTGTTGAATAAAATGCAAGATGCCCGGTATCGAATACTGGACACTTTGGCTAGGTTCGTCATTCTGTTTGTTATTTACACTGACTCCAATTTGAGATCCCACTTGCCCTCCGTTGTGATGAGACACGGAGCTATCATCCATGGCTGTTGGGATTTTCATGACATGGCCACCATTACCGAACTTGTCACACACCTATCATATATAACTACGAATACGAACTACGCGAAATCAAATACTAACACATTATTATATATATTTCAACTAATGTTCACATAGGTGAGAGCATATAAAATATTTTTTATCGACGAAATCATGAATGACAAAAATTATTGCATGACGGAATAAAAAAGTCGAAAACGACGTCCGTCCGATACATTGCTTTTTTGTTTTTTTTTTCAGTGTTGTCATTCCAAATAATTAATAAAAAAACCATTGATATTTCTTAACAATTATTTCCGAAAAGCGAAAAATGAACATAAAAGAACTTAAGATTTATTATTTAATAAATTAATGTCTAGTAAAAAACCATAATAGCTACAAATAATTTGTAAACTGTAAAGTACATCTACTTTTTGATGTCTATCATATCGTAAGTGGAACGAGTAGTAGTAACACAGCACTTTGAGAACCGTAGACATTTCATTAATAGTTTTAAGTTTTGTAGTTCTTTATAGTGCAGCATAGTCACGAACTATACATATCTTTATACAGTTACAATATCAGATGATACCATCTGATTAATATCCGATATATATCAATAGCGAAGTAGCATTAAGTATTCCTGATATCACTTATATCGTGTTAATGTCTGTGAAAGTTTATCAGTACGAAATAATATTTCATTAATAAATAGTTGATACGTATGCCGTTTCAATCAACAAAATTGATATTTCATTTTATACCGCTAATATCTTCCTAATAATTAAAGTTTTGATATCTGCTACTATATACCAATGAACTAATAAAATTAATTACTGCTTAAAATATATGCTAAGATATTCCCATATCCATACCGACATTAGTAGTATACAAATTATATGAACTACTTTACTACTGTTATTGAGTGTATATGAATGTTGGGAAGGAATTGTTAGTAATAGCCACTTGCTAGTAGAGTATCCTATTAGGTCCACCTCCATACGGTCTTCTACTCTCCGAAAACTATTACAACTGTTATTTCAAATGGGATAGTCACAGGCATTAATTATCGACGTCATGGTGAATTCAACACTTAACGGGACAAAATTTCACTGGTATGTATTTGAATCTAACGTAACAGGGGAGAGAGAGCCTATTGCAATCTCTCGGAATAATCAGTTTGTTCGCTGTTTCCTTCACCGGAGAGTTCTTGAGTCGATTTGAAATATACATTGACACCCAAACCTTTTAGATGCAAGGCGAGGTAACAAACAACTAGTACAAGATCTCTCAAACTTCTGAAAAGCATAGTGAAAAATTTCTGAGGAATTTGGTGTAATGGTTGACTGGTTGGTTTTCATTCTACCGTCTTTATACTAGCAATTCCCTAGGGTATACCACATAACAATTTAGCATATACCGTTAGGCAAGAAGGCAAATGTGTTACGCAATAATTAGGCATTTAAAAAGTTCAATTCATATATATACAAATTAATAAAATTGAGTATCTGTTCGCAATTCCCAATTTTACTAAAGTATGCAAATATACATAATACTTTAAAATTTATCTGTTATTTGTTCTTGCGAATCTCTGATATGACGAGCCGTATCAAACTTTGATGGAACTTTCACTCAGATAGCTAATATTATAAGGAGTAACTTAGGATAATTTACCAATTTTATTTTAATTAAAAAAAGTTAAATTCCACGACGATTAATCGCAGATAACAGCTGGTATTACATAAATCGTTTTGTGACGGGACAATAAAAGAAAGCCCAGTAAAGTTCATGAGAGTATATATTTATTATTAAAATCTAAAGCAGATTATTCTATCATTGTGAAAATTGTCAGAATTATCATTGCCTATCTATTGTACCGGATGACGTTTATTCAGAGAAAATTAGGGAATATATAGTCAAAAGTAGTATGTTCACCTTGTCAAACTACAATTTATAATAAACTACTTAAATTTTCTATGATAATACACTAACCACTATCATCCTCCAAGTTGTGTATATGTATGTCACCATATGAGCTGTATGGCTAAAAACATACGGAAAAGTATATTTTTAGTAGTAAATAAATATTGTAGTTAAAATTTTTCTTTTATACAAATGCTAAAATATACAGCTCTGAAAAATGTTTAAATAATTAATTAACAATCCGCCTAGTCAATAAAGTAATAAATTTCTTTTTTAAATTTTAATATCAATTGAATCATCTACACATGCCTATTAATTATGCCATTTTATTTCTTACAAACATCATCCACCAGAGTTATTGGTTCTGACGTTGCACATTTACATAGCTGTAATAAGTATAATAACGAAGAGAGGATGTCAAAAGAAGTTGTAATAAATAAAAATACTAATATTAAAATGACAGTTTATTGATTTCAAAATCAATATCCATTGTTACACTGTGTCTATTATTACAAAATGAATGCAAAGGAATGGCAAATATCTCATTAGTAGATGTAATTCCTTACAAATATGTTTAGAAATTATTAAAAATAATGGAGTGTCTGATTGTTCAATGTACTAGTACATTTAGTTGGATTTTTTTGAATCTTTGGATGGTGAACGTGACCTGGAGCGCGACATAGAGCGTCCCTTGGAACGAGAACGCGAGCGGCTGCGACTGCGTGACCTGGAGCCTGACCGCGGCGAGCGCGATCTTGTGCGACGGCGAGACCTTGACCGGCTGTAAACATACCATCATGCAATATTTTAAAAATATATTTTATACAATGCAGAAATCTAATAACCGTGGCTGGCGGGAAGAACTTGACAACCCGTTATGGATTTTTCAATTTTATTGTCTCAAAGCATTCTTATCCCTCAAAAATTTATATATTACACATATAAATTCAAATTGAGTTTTGAGAGTTTGAGACAATAATGGGTAATTACTTACTATACGTCTAGTTATCGAGTTCTGCGCACTAGTCACCGATATATAAGTCTATATAATCCTATTTCAGAGGTTATTGTTAGTTCTTCTCTGCACAAGCTGCATCCCGAACTGACGGTAGATAAATGTATATTAAACTAAACCTACATAAGTAAAAAAATATTTTTATTGAATTTGCACTTGTCTTTAAATTATGAGTAGTCCTATATTTACAGTAATAACAGAACTACTGTATAAAAATGCATTAGTTTAATTTTACTTATTAGTTTGTAATCTTGTTATTGTCAATTTTTATGTTTGCTTTGTTAGTTTTAGTTCAGAACTTAATGTGCTATCGTCGTCGTCGATTTCATATTGTATTATTTTACTGATAAAGGCTATAACAGAATAGCAGAGAGGGTGGACTCACTGCCCTCACTGATTTATAGACCGTTTTGTCTCATTCATTAGTTTTAAATTATATTATTGTATGGGCAACAGTTGTATTAGTTTTTGTTTGAGACAAATAAAGATTATTATTATTTACGTAACCGGTGCATTTCTATATGCACAAAAACGCCTATAGTTAATACACATATAATTTGAATAAGTTCAAACTCGAAATAATAACAACAATGTAATACACTAATACACTTTTATGCGTATTAGGTAAGTCCGTATAGCGAGTATTCTAATAATTTGCATAAACGAAACTTTGAATCTCTTTTTAACTGCTTCACATAAAGTTGGTAACTATACACACTTTTTACAATACACAATTTTTTCAATATTTTTTACTTTAATCGAAGTGGACAAAGCAGAACGAAACAGCTAGTTTGTAATTAAACAAATGATTAAGTTTTAGCAAACAATATGTTCGGTCGCATGGGGACGCAATACATTCGTACTGTTGTCTCAAACGGCGATTTCGATAGAAGAGTGAGCAGATTTCAAATATAATAGAAATTTTGCAGTTTAGTTACAGAACAATTTTCGCGATAGGATTTCCATTGTTGTTGGGTTGGTGCTTTTGTTTGATACTTTTATTTTGTGCTTTTGTTTTGATAGTACTCTTAAGCCACGCCTGAAACCATTTTGGTATTAGTGCTAATTCGCAAGAGTACACTTTATTTCACCGTTTAATTTATTTGGTCGGCCGTAAATTCCACAGGAGCATTTAATTTCATTCGAATGAAATATAAATTTCCACACGTAAATGAAATATGTTGCGAAAATGTATGCCTATAAATAAAAGAATCTACTACAGTTTGATAATATGTTCCCATCCATTATTTCCAGTCTTTTTACGATGTTCTTTGAAGTGTCAATAACTGCTATATTTACAGTTAGCTCTCAATATTCACTAGTATTTGAAGATAACTAAAAAATACTCATCAAGAAAAGGCAGCCAATAGGCAAGAAGACCTTTGATTGGTATAAATCATCATTTCAGTTGATTGCCATTAAAGAAATAATAAAATACAAAAATCTAAATCATAGAACAGGATTCTTATTAAAGTAACAAAAAAATTACTATCGATTCAAAAGAATAAAGAAACAGTTGATAAACTTATATAATTCACGTTTTATGGTCGGACTTATACGATATATGTACAATGAAAATATGTTTAGCGTATACAATGAAAACATCTTTACTGTTAATAATGCAGCGCGAACACACTATTTACATTTACTAAACGGGAGTTCGAGCTTTATAAGAACATGCGCCACTAAGAGAATTTTGTGAATATAAAAACAAAATATAAAAACTCCTATGCAAAACTGAGAATGCCTTTATACTAGCGATTGTTGGAGTGCGTTCGTTTACTAGCAAGACTGCTGAGTGAATGTCGAAACATTCATCACGCCATTCCATTACCGGATTGTTTTAAATCGCAAAAGTCTGATTCGATAGCAGGGAGACCTCCACACCAGCGGCAAGAAGAAACAGTTTAGTTTCATTATTGTCCACATAAACTTAACTTACTGTATTCAGCAACTTAATCCCTGATTAGGGAGCACTTAAATTGCAATAGTTAGCATGGTCGACCTCTATGCATGATGTTGAATTCCTGGTAAATTATCGTGAGTGCCGATCACTATCTGACCATCATCCACAGAAAAAAAAAGAGATACAATTGGAAAATTAATGTACATACTTGCGTACAGCAAGAATCTTATCTTATGAAGGTTATATCGCCCGAAAGCATTATCCTGAAGACTGCTATAACTATTGATTATGCAATTATTGCTTAATATTTAGGGTAATATTATCTATGCTATTACTACAACATTTATGACAAGAATATTAGGCGATTGTATGTTCTTTATATCCTAATGCAAGTGTATGAATAATGAGAGCAGACTGTAAATCATTACCAATATTTTTTAAACTGAAAAATAATATATGTTATTGTATAACATAGCAGGTCTTCTTTGTACACAAAGACAGGATAATAATGTGTAACTCACTGAGTGCACGCAGTGATTACAATAGATGTGCGTTGCGACGCGCAGAACGAACATAATGCTCAATGAAGTTCTCGACAAGTGAAGTGTGCACGTAGGCTGTAGCTACGTAGTTCGCAGAATGGAGTTACCGATGCGGCTGACTTTAGCAGAGTTCACGCTGCGAAGTGAAAGCTACGTAGCGCAGACAATAAGAAGTGCAGACACTGACGAGTTCGTTCTCGGCGCACAGGCCAATGATAACCTATAACATAGTTATCATTGGTATATGTGAGTCCAAAACATTGCATTGGAATCTTTACCTTAACCTTTTTCTTGTAGAATTTCTGATAAACTAAATTGAAAAACAAACATTTTAAAACATCATAGCTGAAAATAATTATCAATGCTCAAGTCTTTGCAGTATTGTAAAGATTCCATGCCATGGAATGTATCCATAACACATTAACAGCGAAAACTGTTACATCCAAAATGCATTCTTTTGGTCACCTGCGACGGCGACGACGTGTACAGTCTCTGGCATAGTGACCCCTGTCACCACAATCATAGCAGCGATCATCATATGGACGTGGTGGCAAACGGGAACGAGGTGGAGGTCCACGGCCACCATAGCCTCTGCTTCCATTGGACATTTCTACACGTGCTCTGCGACCACATATTGTTCGACCATCTAAGCCTCGTATCTGAAATTATTCTGGAAATTATTCTGTATTCAAGTATAATAATTCTGTATTTCTCTCTGTAAATAAAATTTACAATTACTTATTGAATTAATATAATAAATGAGAAAATGTTTAAAAAAAATAGAAATATAATAAAACATGTAATTTATTTAATGAAATTAAGAGTGAATTTGATTTCTTCAACCTCATCTGATGTGCAATCAAAGACGTAACACAATCCATCATCATACATACACCAAAATAACATTTTTTACAATTTTTGTCTGTCTGTTTGTTTGTTCTGGCTAATCTCTGAAATGGCTGGACTAATTTTGACGGGACTTTTATTGGCAGATAGCTGGTGAAATAAGGAGTAACTTAGGCTACTTTTATTTTAGAAAAATTAACTTTGTTGTTCAATTCCACCCGTAAAAGTCGCGGTTACAGCTAGTCTGACATAAAATTAATGATGCAAAAATACTTGAGTTAATTAAACAATACACTTTTTATTCACGTTAATGTGACAAAGAGAACATAAAATTATTAAATTTAGTTACAATATTTATATCTACTTACGGCATCTTCAGCATCACGAGGGTCTTCAAATTCAACAAAAGCAAAACCAGGCGGATTCCGTGCTACCCAAACATTCCTCAACGGTCCATAATATGAGAAAGCATCTTCTAACTCGGGTTTACTTGCATTATTTCCCAAATCACCCACATACACTTTACAGTCACCGTATCGTGACATGTTTCCTAAAAATAACACGATATTTTATGCAGGTAAATACAGATACTGCGTTTTAAATTTTATAATGAGCGTGGTTATTTGATGGTCATACCTGTTTTATAACTTTATGAATAGATATCTAGTAGTCAAAAATTTCATTCCCACACTTTAAAAAAAGTTTATTCAATTTAAATGTTTTATAGATCAAATTATTGATTTTTAGACGCACAATGTACATAAAATTGAATAAAGTCGAAGAAAGTGAACTCAAATAAAATGGCGGCCGGCAAATATGGCGCGGCGGCGTTCTGACTAGTGGTTAACTCTGATTCTAAAAAACCGGAAATACTATAATCTGGTTAAAATCGGTTTTCATAAATACTATAATTTATTGCAAGATATTTAATAAAGTTACAAAGTAAAATATCAGTGATTTGTAGAATTACGTAAAATACCTAAATTCATATGTATGTTCTTAAACAAGCATCTGTATAAGTATGGATTACATGATAGCCATTGATAGCATTGATGATTAATTTTATTTTTGCTAGTTCATAACATTTTTTATAATTAAGGACTTAAATGTATTTTCTACAGATTTATTTAATTATATATTAAAAAAATGTTAAGTTCTAGTGATGGATGGATCTGGGTGGAACTTATTTTTTTTTATAATAACCGATAATTAGACACCGGAGTTGAATTTTTCTCTAAGTACTAATTTAAACACGTCAACCTCACAGCCGGTCTACTGTAAGGTGCGGTCTGTCTGTACCACAGAACACCAATATCCTAGCGGAAACTCTGTACCTAGCGACCAGCGATGTCGGTTACTTTAGAAAGCTCTATATGTACCGTCTTGAACTCTCGAAATAGCAAGAAAGAAATAATTAGTTTATACGTCGTTCTAAGGTCTCTCGTAAAACTGTCTACACACTACCGTAAAATCAGCGGAAATCTGGGTTCAGTGGTGTGGGATTAAAATTGTACGGTGTGGGTACACTGATCGTCTTATGTGATATTGTCGCCGTTTTCTTGATTATAGAGTCAAGAGTAGACCGTATATTTGAAAACTTTCTAATTTTCTGCAAGGCTACTTGAATAAGTGCCTTTTCTATATCCGCCACCACACCGCGGCGTGTATTAATTATGCAAGAAAACAGAAGTATATAAATATCTATATATGTAATTCAATATGCGTATATAATATACTACCAGTGCCCGCGGTTTTTGTGCTATTCTGATCTATAAGCTATATGACTGTAAAGTTTAATCAAAATTCATTAATTCATTCAGTAGTCACGCGTGAAAGAGTAGCATGCATCCATACTCACAAGCTTTCGCATCTATAATATTAAATGAAGAAGATTAAGACCTAGTTTTATTTATAAGTAGTGGTCGACGTTTCTAGGAAACATTACGTGGAGATTGACCGGATTTTTTCTATGGGTGATAATGAAATGGTGCACTCGCCAGCGCTAACGATATATGTAGGTACCATAGAGAAAAAGACTACAGATGAGTAAGAAGTTAAGACAGTAAAGAAATCGTTACGTTAAATTTACTAAAAATAAACATAATAATTTTCAGGGCCAGGACCGTGTTGCGGTCGACCTAAAATGGTACATTGCTAGGAATGGAACACTATTCCCTGTTACTATCAACTTCCTCTCCCATATCGACTCTGATATTGTACTTTGTTAATTATGAAGCCTACATTAAGAATTTCTTCCTTCCTCAGCGTGTCGTGAGATCCTTTCTTTGTAGAAATCCTACACGGAAAACCACTTTGAAATCTGGAGTGTCAGACGGGCAACTTTCACGTTGACTCTGGTCATTCCTGGGTCGCTAGCATTATTAGGATACAATTTCAATTAGTGAGGGGAGACTGGAAATAAATTAAACAGAAGTTTGCTCATCGAGTTTCTTTATGTATTAACACTTATTAAAATGCTACTATTACAATTGTTACAAAATGGCGACAGTTTGTCTTACCTATGAATTATGCATTCAGATTTGGTTATCGTCAACTCTAAATTAGCATATATGAGCTTCAACGATTACGACAAATGGCATAAAAGCATTGAGGTTAGAAAACAAACCACTCATGAGATCAATATTCACGATAACCACATAAATTAATCATACGACTTATACTGAAATAAACCCAAAATAATAATCATTTAGGATTCTGCATTCTAATAGACATTCATACACCAAAGTTTATACAAAAATAATTCCAATCTAATAATTTCACTTAAATTTAACTTGCTCATATATTTGTTTAGGAGACAGTAAGTGAGATATTGCCATTCCCAAATTACCAAATATGAATTGCTCTCACAACAACAACTTCAGTATTTGTTGATATTAACTTCATTTATTTATATATTACCTCTTTATTGCACCAGAAGTGTATCATGAAGAACATAAATAACAGAGTAGTAAAATACAAAAGACGGTCTTATCGCTTAAGCAGTCTCTTTGTAAGTTGCTCAAACTTACTGTCTCTTAAATCTATTAAGAAACAACTTAAATGTACATAATATACTTAGGTAATTATATATATGATATTTATGTATGATACATAAGTCGTACCTACTACAACTCTAAATATTTTTGCATTCTTAAAAATAATAATTATTTATATTAAAATTTGGGCATGTATTTGTTGTATTAATGATTACCTTTACAATGAGCTCTCAATGATCTCTATTCTCAGTCGTTGCACTAAGATAAAACATGGACATTGGAAAAAAGAAAGATTTTAATGAAAGCACATAATAGAATTTTGAAGATTCTGATTAATTATATGGAATTTCGGTTATATTGTGTACTAGCTGTACCCGCGACATCGTCCGCGTGAAATTTAATTTAATTTTTCTAAAATAAAAGTAGCCTCCTTATTACATCAGCTACCTACCAAAAAAAGTCCAGTCATTTCAGAGATTAGCCGGAACAAACAGACCGACAGACAGACAAAAATTGTAAAAAAAAATATTTTGGTGTATGTACCGTATTTATATTCATATGCTTGTAGTAAAAAACGGTTATTTCAATATTACAAACAGACACTCCAATTTTATTTATATGTATAGATTATGTCCGTTAGTATATATTGCGTTAGTGATTTATTTAACAATTCTAATCCAATACAAGATCGAATATAAGGAATTGTGTCAAATTCTTCAGGGGTATTAATGCAATATGACAGATATATGGTGGGACTGTATTTCATATGAGTTTCATAAAAGATTGCAACACAAAGCTAATGACCTATATATTAGGGCTCACATTCTGTCAAATTGGGCTCATGCCTGACATATTGTATAAAGATGTTCTTATAGTACTACTTACATACTGGACTGTTCGCAAGAGGAGCATTTTATATACACATTTCAAATTTAAAAGCTTTGATATGTACTCAAAAATTGGGACGGTAAAGATATAAAGTTAACCAAATCAAGCATGATCCATAATTTCGACATAACATCCCTAACCACAAGCCATAATAAAGAAATTAGATTAATACGAGACTGAAATACCCTTCAGATTACAATATATAGGTATTTGTACTTTGCAATATACGCTATATATTTTAGTAAATTAATGAATTATTTAAAAAGACATTAAGAATGGCAAATAGTTAAAAAATTTAAATCAGATAATGAAATAAATTTGTTATATAATATAAATCCATCAAGTAATAAATTTGTTGTCACCGAAGTAGTACAGATGTCTTTAATATCCGCTTTAAATCCAAAATAAATTTATTAATATCTATTGGGGCCAATATTACTACCACCACGAATATCTTATTTATGATCACAATATTTTTTTTTAAATCAGGCACTTTGTGATTCTTCAAAGTTGAATTGAATACTTTCCGTAATTGCCACATGGGGACGTACATAATATAATTCATACTGATTGAAAGTACAATTACGGTGTAATAGCGTAGCGCTCTTTCAAATGACAGAAGCAATGGCGGCGGCGGTAGATCATTAATAAGGTATTTGACAAGAAATATTTGGTAACCTACATAAGGTTACTACTAACTACTACACCGCCTCCACACGACACTAAAATCAGGTAGGTCGCGTCAGATTTTGGTAATAAATAAATTAATTAAAATAAAAATACAAATGTAGGTTCCTATTCCTTCAAAGACACCTCCATAAACCGCGGAACATAGACAGCAATTAATCGTTGAAATTATAATAATACATATATATTTAAATCAGACTGGCTTCATTACCGGTAGAGTTATCTTTTGTCTCTTTGTACTTATTTTTTTTTTATTTTTTATCTTTTTTAATATTTCAAGTATTGTTTTATACACGATTGTTTTATATTATTTATAAAATATTTATTGTTTTAATTATAAAATTAACGGAATTAAATGTTGATTTATAAGCACATAAATTATTATTTATTTAAAAAGAGTGTTACATAAAAATGAAAATTTACTGGTGGGTATGGCCTGTTGACAAAGCCTGCTTAAACTTATACTTTAACAGACTGAACATTCTGCCATCCTATCCTTCAACACACACTTCCGCCATGCGCTCTCGTATGAAAAAGACCAAAAGTTTGAGAATCATAAAGTGAAATATACAATAGACTCAAAGTTATAAACTATTGCTACAGAAGATATAGTTTAAGTAAATTAAAATTAAAGTATTTATTGTTCCTTGTTTTTTCAATTATTTTATGTGGAATATAAAAGTTCGATGCCGGTACTCATTGTCCTTACATTAAAAAATGAGTACTGAAATTTATTAATATAAGCATTTTTAGAGAAAATCCAATTAAGTTTAAAGAAACAGTACAATATCAGAGCAAATCAGACATTATACACAGAGAGAGACTATAGAATTGATCATATTGTCAGTCTGTGCACATCCGTGATAAATGATTATATTATTTACCTAAAATATCAATACTAGTTAATAAATCCTATTGTTGTTGCCAATTGAATGTAAAAAATAAAAAATTTGTGGTTACATTAGTACATATTAGCGAAAATATACTAATACATATATGCATGCAAAGTTGTAGCATAATTTGGAAAACAAGGTACTTGTATGACATATTTTATCAATTAAATTTGTTAGTTCTACCTACTCTACAGTCACAAACTTACCGTGTTTCTTCCTCGTTAAAGCCTATTCCAAACAGTTAAATACACATAAATACAATTAATTGACGAACCATAATGTTATAATTATAAAAAAATAACAGTACTTAAACGTACCACAATAACAACGCTTTCCGATGCCAGTCTATAATACTTAATTTTTACAAAACAAAATAATAAAGGTAGTTAGTTTAGTTCCGTAGCCAAGCAATGTTTAGTTATTATTTAGTATTTGATTATTATATTTTTTTTGTATAGGACATATATTGTATATTTAATTTACATTTATTTTGCAATTCAAATATTTAAATTTTATCCTCTATTTGTGAAAATGAAATAATTTATTTTATGTGACAATTACTTATTTATGGTAGATTAAAACTAAGCATATACTACTAGTGACCCTAGACTAAAAAAGTCTAGAAAAGTCCAAAAATAAAAGCTAAAATACAGACGATTTTATGTTTAATGATGTTTATGATTTAATTTTATGTTAGGTTTTCAACGACATTATTGTATTTAACCAATCGTTCTTTAAATATTTAATAATATATTATGCCTATTAGCTACGGAACTCTTAAATGGGTCAGCGCTGGTATTAACTGATGAATATTTCTAGTACCGAATACTAAAGCTAAAACCAAACATTGAAAATTAATATTTGTCTAATTTACACAAATTATTATGATAGGAATAACATTTTGAATAAGTTATACAAATTTAAATTTTCTTGTTTCAGACGAGTTAATATGTTTTCGGCAAATCTTACATATCAGTTATATAGGGTACTTGTCAGTATAAATTACAACATAATAATACATATTAGTAAATTAAATATATATTTAATTTTTCATAAGATTTGCGCAAACGAGGAAAAATGACGCGTATTTTTGTTCATCCACCCTTCAAATGTTAATCCATCATACATATTCAGCATTAATATTTTTTTTATATTATTATTTGAGCGCGTTTAACCGCAATGTTTTTAAATGTAATACACTGCATTAAGTTTCTTTACTCTGTAAGTTTTCCTTGTGTAGATAAGTAGCTTATACAAATTTGTAGTTTTGCGTATAGTTACTTATCACATGTTCGCAAAATATACCGGATTACTTTGTTTAATACGCGGGTAAAATATAACATAATAGGTACATGACTGTAGGCTGACTTATTTTTTTGTTACTTTATATAGAAGGCTATTTCAAAATTTAATGTCATTAGAATTAGGTTTTTTTATTAGACAAAATATTTTTTACTATTAACCAAAAATAAATATCGTAAATACAGTTGGTAGGTATCAACGTAAAACATTACAGCATTCCACGATGTTGGTTGAACTTTTCACTAAATTTTGAGAAATTCAAATCGCTTAGTATTTGCTATAAGTGTACTTTCACTACACACAACAAACAAATGTACTTTATATAGCATATATATATATACCTTTATTTTTCCGAACGGCAAATAAAGTTACCCGGCATAATTTCACCAAACGACCAATACAAGTACTTAACGCCTGCACGGCGGATACACAAAACACTGATAGCATTATTTAAAGCACAATCCCAACGTTTCTTCAGCTATTCTAAAATCCTTTGAGAAGCTTGCAAACAATATAAAATCATTTCAATTTAAAAAATGTGATATGTATGTCAGTAACGAATATTGTTAATCAATGAACCAACTTTTTTTTAGGACATTTAATAAAATAAAATAAAGAAAGTCTATTCTATTCTAATGAAAAAATAAGGAATAATTTTGAATATAAAAGCATATTTTATACAAACTATTTATAATCTTAAAATATAGATACCGTATTCGTACATGTCACAGCTGACAGATGCTAATAAAGTTTTTTAATTATATTAATATCATAATCAACCCTAATTTTATATTAAACATTTACTCTAGCACGCACAGCTGTCTCTTCAGCTATTCTAAAATCCTTTGAGACTTTGTATCGCAAGGGCATGGATGCGATCAGATAGACCGTTTGCTTATTTACATTCCTATCAATGAAAAACGTTTTTTTTATCGTGTCTACGTGGCATGATTAGCAAATTGTTTTTCTTAATTCCATGCCATATCTGATTAACTGTAAACAGCACTAATGGACGAACGCTTAAAATATCGATCGAGCGTGGTCGCTGGTTCGATAGTTCTAACTCTCTGTGAATTCGGAATTAATTATCACAGTATGGTGTGTGTTGTCCAGATTCAATGAGGCCGCATTTGTTAGCTGCTAGTTATTGGCGCGGTATAAAATTGTTTCCACATTTTCTCGCATTCATGGAAAGGTCCTCGTTTGCGCATTATAGATTACTAAGTAGGTTTAGCCATTCATCAGAACCAGCAGGTAGATAGAAAACATGTTTATATTAGCACTTCAGCATTAAAGTTTTTCTTAAAGACAGACAATGTTCTGGATACATAATATCATAGACTACATAATACATGTGGTACTCAACTTATCAAGTGCATGTAACACGCAGTTATTGTATGACATAACGTTAATTCATATGGGCACACAGTTTAAAATAAATTTATAAACAGCTCTTGTCATTGGACTACAGACAAAGAACCATAAATATATCAGCTTGGAATAACCGAAAATATTTTTTTCTGACGAATGCTTCGTTTATGAATCAACTTTACACACAATTAAGTTCATTTAATGACTAAGTATTACATACATCTTGTGATCCTTAATTACTAAACTACTTCATAGAATATCAAGCACATTAGGTCTACGTTATAACATGAGTTTTAGCGCCGTAATACACCCAATATTTTTAGTATTAGCGGTCAATATTTCAGCTCTATTCGCGATAACATTACTGTTTGAAAGATCGATTAATAAAATCGCGAAATATGCGATTATAACAATACGATCAAAGACAGCAAATTGACAAACCGTCATTTTGTATTGTTAATAATAATTGTACACAGAGAAGTCGTAAATTGCACGATTAATACAGCGACGAAATCAGTGATCGACGATTCTAAAAGTATCGTGTATACTGTGGGCCTTAAGCAGATATATGGTAGACTACAGACCCAATACAAGAAAGTTTATTACGAATGATATCTCATTCTCATATTCATACTTGATGGTCTCTATTTGACCACTGAATAATCATCACATCTTTTTCAAATCTTTTGATCCACAAAAGAAAGGCCCCTAATCCTTCTACCACGTAGCTAATTCTACACATAGACAAAAGAGACAAAAAGTGGATAATTGTGACGACGTACCAATCGAGGATAGTAAAATCAATGTTTATACAGAACATTAGGAAATTAATAATTACTCGTTTTTTAGAGAAGCATAGTTGTTACTGTATACCTATACTGTAATTTTTATTGAGTATTGTAGTTTCTATGTACACCGTATATATTTTTTTTTTATTCAGTCTAGGTGTCCACTTTATGTCCTTTTGTTATGAAGGAAGATCATTTCCACTTAGGCTTTAATAGTATAGTAGTAATTATAATTTAGAATGTATTCCTTCATCAATGAACAGAAATTCAAATAAGTGCTACATAAATATTATGTAAAAAATGTTACTGATATTAAAGGCCTAGTTTGAAAATAGTTTAACAAAAACGAAATTATCACATTATTATCACAAATATGAAGAAAACTAAATAGATAACACTACACATAGTTACAATTTAAAAACCAGCACGTGCCCGCAGCTACGCATGGGCGAAAGCTAAACAACACATTCTATAGATATTGTAACTTTTATGTACCACAAAGGCTGTTTTATCGATGAATAAAAGTATTCTAAGTATAACCAGTCAATACAGAAGTGAAAATTTACTCAGGGTTCAAACCCACCACCATAATATAATACAGTCCCAGCCACATAATATTTTAACTTTTCTAATGTTATTTAGATATTCCGGTATAATAAGTTTTTGTGACATTTAATCTTGTCATTAAGCAACTTGCATTGCAAATTTGCTGGTGGATGGCTGAGATATGGCAGTAAAATTACAGAGATTATAGGTCTTCACCTTGGTCCTCGGAAATAGTAACGCATGAGAGGTACTATAAACGCGTTATCTGTAGCACTGTATGGGTAGGTGGGTTTCAGATTATATGACATTCCAGTCGCATACATAATACCGAGTTGGTGCCCAGTTATTATTATATATAATAATTCAGTATTGTTGATATCCATTCCATTTATCAAAACACCCCTTATAATTACTTAAACCACACTGCATGACACATACATGCTCCACATACAAACATTAGTTACATCAAAACATTTGTGCAATCACTCTGCTTCGCATACTAAAATCATTCAGATCAAAATATGACATAGTTTTAATGCATCTTATTTTAAATATCATTGTGCACTGTAACATATAAATTATGTATGCTATATTAAATAAGGAAGAATAATACGACAAAAATATATTAATATACACACACAAAATGATAAATGACGTAAATATTGTTTTAAACGTATGTAAATGTATATATCTATAAATATATATGTATAATAAAAACGGATCTCTACTTTAATTTATAATTACACCTTTGGTTATTTAGTAAATATGCAGACAAATTAATTTCATATTTCACAATCCAAAGACGCGATTAAAATCGACTTCCGCCAATCATTCTATTCACAGAATAGAACAGAAGAGAAGTACGGAGTGTAATCAGGAGCAACACTATCTCTGTTCACATAATGTCAAGTATCCATATTTGTACCTTGTGCTCTTACTGTTGTGCCTTGGGGCTTCTTTTTTTCTGGCTTTTTTACCAAATCTGCATACACAGGGTATTTCAAAGTTGTTTTCAACTGCTCATTGTGTTCTTCTAATGAATTTACAGCATAATGTAGTACAAGCTCGTTTAATGTTCTGAAATTAAAATTGTGACATAAAATGATAAGAACATGCTAACTTACGAACTTACTAAGACTTGAAAATGTTTAACAAAATAGTACATGAACAAAACAGTAAGAAGATATTTATCAATAATAAATATTTAGAAAATGTAGAGTAACACAAAAAAAAAAATTAAGTAGGTTACGTTTTATCAACTGATACTTACTTATAAACATTATATGGTTCTGCAAACCCATAACCTCTTTCAGTCCTAAATATAATGCAATGGTAGACCATATTATTACAACATATGGACAGTGCTAGGTGTCCTGTGGAATTTGGACGAATTAAGAATGTGCCTTGAGGCTTCCCTTGAAGAAGTCTCTCAGCTTTTTCTCGGGAGCAATTATCTACTTTCCATGTAATTGATTCACGGTGAGCATATAATTCTTCCAATTCATCTGTACTGTCATTTTCAAGTGCTTGTAAATATTCAAGGGTCTTGCCACGCTTTAGTAATGACCTGAAATAAAAAAATATTTTATAATTGACGCTGAAACATATTGTGGTCTAGGTTAATCATGGAGTAATATTATACTTTTTTCATGCATTAATAGCTATAAATTTTGTTTCATTAAACTAGATAAACTTACAAATAAAACTTACATTTTAAAACGTTCTTTCATTGTATAAAGAATTAGTATTTTTGATTTAAGCTTATAAATCTGTCGTTCAAGATCTAAATTAACCGAAACTGCATCTCTCAATATATCATTTAGTTTAGTCTTTGCTTTTGCCAATTCAGCCACTCGTTGTTGCAAGAGTTTGTCATTTTCTATTATATCATTTTTTTCATGTGGTTGGGCATCTGCTAGCATTATCTCTTTTAGCTTACCATGTTCTTCACATAGCCTGAGGCTTTCTTTAAAAGAATCAAGCGCTTGCCTTTTACATTTCACTTCTTCTCTTAACCTCATGTACTTGCATGAACGTTCACCAAAATCCCTAGTTTTAGCCATATATTCCTCATGTACCCTTTTATACTCAGCTTCTAGAGTCTCATCACTAACATTTTCACCACTATCATATTCAGGTGACCTTGACAGTGGGTGCGTAAGTTTGATATCTAAACTATTATTACAGTGACCCAAAGAGTACTCAGTGTAAAACTTAACTAGATCCACAACAGAATTAAACTCAAAGGGTTCGCAAAATCCATATCTGCCATCTTGGTTATATATTTTAATTAATTTATTTGTGCCACCCTTTCTAACTGTCAATGTGTAGCCCCCATCTTTATTTGATGCATTACGAACTAAAAAAGTACCATCACATGTATCGAGAAGTTTTTCCGCAGCTTCATCTCTGCAAAAAAATTTTGGTAGAAATTAAGCTCACACAATAACATTTATCACATATTCAAGTTTAAAATTTTAACCAAAACTTGTCCAATTAAATCTATTTCAATTGTAATAACATCAAGGTGGGTAGTCAAAATAAAAGAAACCTGTATATTCCATTATTGATAGACATTAGATATGGCTTCCAGGATTAGGAATTAATATTTTTTTAAAGTAGATGATAAAAGTAATCTACATGAAAATTGCTATATATTTACAACTATAAATACTATATATATTATTATAAAATGTATTCATAGACATGGAAACATGGAAGTAATGGAAACATTAGTCTCTGAGATTAAAAAACAGACCAGTTCATAATTATGTATTCAGTAGTAGAACTAATAATATGTATGAGTTACATAGCAATATTATAGAATAAAAAACTTAAAATTTTTATTAACATCTCTCCATATAAATAGAGTATAACATAGCATTGAATCTCTTTTCAACACTTTTTTTTAAAAAGTGGCCCCTAGTTTATTATTGCCTAGTTGCATCAAATTAGTAACTCTAACAGTATTAGATTCTAAAAGCTTTTCCTATTTTAAGGTAATATTATAATAACATAATTATTATGTGCACAGAAAATTAATTACAAAAAGATAACTACACAAATGTTAAAAAAAAAACAAAGTAAGATTATGATATTAGAGTATTCAAATTACACAAGATTGATGAATTACCCAGACAAGTTAGTGGGACTCATCTGTACTTTTTATTTAATGATTAATACAGAAAAATAAACATACCGAGTTATATCACCCCAATACCAGTCAGCGTTCTCCAGGCTATCTTCAGCCGACTCATGAGGAACACCTATTTCGACCATTGTCTCATTATTTTTATAACCACATGAATTTCATTTGAAACACTATTACACTCATACAAATTTCACGATATTTTTAATGAAGGTTCTACAAATGCAGAGCGGTTTATATCAGACTTCCGCGTTTTGAGGTTACACTTCCTAAAATCTTTTTAATGTATCATTGCAATTAATTCTATGAGCATCATTAGTGTATTTGATAAACATTTTTATTTCCAAATAATAATACTGCGTCTTTTAGAACCAGTTAATATAAAAAAGTTAACGACTGGAGCAAAGTAGATCACAAAGAAAATGGGCGAGTTTGTCGACTGTTGACTGTTGCTAGGGTACTTGACGTGTCCTAACACCTTAGTTCTAAGAAGAATACCATCGCAGCAACGTAATTCAGGAAACACACATATTACAAGTACATAATAACTATAATTTATACACAAATAATATAAAAAAAGAGTTCAGAAAAGTTATAGGTATTCATTTACAAGTGAGAAAACGGTCCGCCATATCTGACTGACTGAATCCTCGACTGACAGTGACACTAAGTCAGTGACTATGTTCTGATTTCAGTGACGTACTGATTGACGGTTTTGAAGGATGCTGCATAATGTCTGCCAGTTTTACATCGATTTCTTAAATATGGATTTTTTAAAGTACTGAATCGATTCAGTAAACGAAAAAATACCTGATTTTACTGATAAGGAATCGTTTACTTTGGTATCTTCCTTATTATTCAATATAGACTTGAAAAAATAAAATCGGTTGTTGTGAATCAATTCATCCGATTAGTTCAAATATATTTAAAAATCTATATTTTTCAAGAAAAAAAAACACAGTGTAAGGATGTACATACAGGAAATATAATGTGAATACCGTAGACAGAGAAAGTCCCCCTCCGATCGATCCCCCGTCCAATCCAACAGGGATCGATGTTACGACGGTCTGAGCCGATGTTCGAACCCTTCAGTGGTGCCCTCAGATTAAAGTCGTATCCGTTAGGCGGGAGTTGGCCTTCAGCCGCTCCATAAGTCCTTCCGTGGGTTTGGAGTGCCATCTGCACTCGCCACCTATCGTCCGGTGAAGTTGTAAAGGCCAGCTGCGACCAACAGCATTAGAGTAGTCCGAAAAAAAAACAGAGTATGTTAGTGTATTAATAGTCTAAGATGAAGACTAATATACATTTCACATATATACAAATATGTCGATGAGCGAATAACGATTCTAGATAAAACATGTAGGTACAATTATTTATTGTACCTATATGCCATTAGTATATGCTATCACTGTGAAAGCATTTTGTTATATTTTATTCCTTTGTTCACACTTGCCAGCCTTGAGTCATCGATAGTCCCAAATATTATAATATATATTATTAACGATTTTTATGTTGGTTATACTTATCATGGCCACATTATAATATCATGAAGCCGCGTACTGGTAAACAGAGTTTCGTGCGCACTCCAAAGACCGACAAAATCGAGAAGGTGGCTGGGAGTGGATGCGGGAGGCAGAAGTTTTGCACATACTGGAAGGCATTGTAAAAAGCCTATATCCAACACTGGATATATACAGGCTAAAATGATGATGATGGTGATGTTTATCATTATTATTTTGACAACTGTGTTATCGGGTGTTTAACATTGATGACAAACTTAGATGTTCAATCATCATCAATTAATATCGATCATCCCATCCCTATTCTAGTATTCTGCAAATGCAAACTGTATATATTCTTTCTGTCAATTCGGTTCGTCGTTCCTTCAGTTCTTTGATTATATGATTATATTAATTTGTATATTTCTGTTTAGCCCCATATAAATAATTTAAAATATTCTATGTACGAAGTTTACCTAAATCTATTTATTATAGTGACCTGAAAATCCTGAAGCGTATTTGGAAATGATAAAAACAAAGACTTAATGCTATTATTTAGTGAATTAATGTTATCAAAATGTGCTGTCAACTCAAATTAATATTATTTTGCTCATTAATCTTTACTGTATCTTCAACACACATTGTAGGAGAATTCTCAACAGGAGAATTTTTCAAGTTCTTGGTAAAATTTGGCTTCCAGAAAACTGATATCCATTATCAGAAAGAAACATATGGCTACATTTTTGGAAATATAACATCAAACAAACAATTCAAATATCCCATAACATTTGCCGTTTTAGATAGAAGGCATTTTTTACATTATTACAATAGCCGCAATATAGAGAACAAAGAAACAGCATGTCAAGAGATGTTCCAGAAATTAAATAATTCTGCATATCACCCTAAATGCAATGCAAATGGTCAAGATTTATTTAGAAGAATACCATGCCAGAAAGATCAATTATGTGTTGATGAAGATACACCTTGGAATGTAGTGAAGAAAAATCAATTTACTTATGTTATCCAGAATTCGGGTCAACCCAGGTGAGATTTTGTTTGTAACTTTTTTTTATTATGGTTAAGAATGATAATATATCATTATTTCTTTCATCCCCATATGTTGTACAAGCAAAATATAGTAAGTGGAATGATACAATTGTCTTAGAGAATGAAGACAAGAGAAACATACATATAATTAGAGTGTTCATGATGCTGCTGACATTAAGCAAATTAATCTTCTTACTGGAAGTTATTCAGGCCCAGCATTGAAACAATATGGTTGTTGTTATTTTTTTATTATTATCATAAAATATTATTTACTAATAAAGCTATCTTCCGATCCTGGCATTGCTAGAGTGTTACATTGGCCTTTATTGTGAAAGAACAAATTAATAAGTTATTAGACTTCAAGAAAAACAAGATTTTTTTAGTATAAGCAATGTGCTATCTTAGTAACTGTAAAAGCCTATCCTCTCCAACCCTCTATATCCATGGTAGTCTGCATCCACAATTTTTCTGCTTTATTCTTTGTCATCATCAGTATCAGTATCTTTTTTTGTTTTACCAATTCTATTTTTGTTTTATACTGAAGAGCATCTGTCAATTTAATCTATATTAAAATGTTTATATTTCTATTTTTTTATATTCTTCAAGTTTCAAAATGTTTCCTGCCATTGCATAATGACAAGATAACATTTTGTGTTTTACTTTTTTTCTGTAGCCCCATGTCTAGCTTACATAAGTTTGACTTGGAAGAGTGCAGGAGTCCATGATAGCCTTTTTATGTTTTGGTTATAGTTTTTAAAATGTTTTGTAATATTTTTAGGTTTTTTACAATTATATATTTGTAAATGATTTTAGATACATTATAAGATGTCATGGAAAACTTGGCCCTTGCAAAATCTGCTTATATCTGATAGTGTACAAATATTTGTTTATGAAACTATAAGCAGTATCCATATAGTATACAATGATTTAAATAATAATTAGTCATTATTATCAAGTAAATATTTACTTAGTTTATGTTGAAATAAGATAAACTTGAGAATTATTAATGATTAATTAAATTTGTCTCCAGATTTTGGTATGTATCCATGGTGGCATGTTACCTGGACGAGATCACATGCACTTGGCATCACTACAGTGGAGCACCGTCTCCAGATAATAAAACATTGACAGATATACCACAAAATTTACAATATGATTTTTGGCTGGTAAATGGGAGCCCAAATTTGTCATTCTACAATACATTATTGTACCAGTTTTCATTTGATCGTCAAAATACACTTGAATTGTATTTAGTATTTTGGCTATGCTACATTATTTTGCTACCAGTACAAATATATGCTGTCAGGTATGTTTTCTTACAAGGATTATTACTGAGTAATTATTATTTATTTAAACTTTAATGCACAAATACAATATATAAATGTACATATGGCAAACTTAACACCTAAGGGCGTTCTCTACCAGTTAACCTAGGTTCTATAAGGCAATATTATAACTTGTATTAATCCCAGCCAAAATTATATAATCTTGACGGCTACCAGTTAAATTATAACTGAATAGTAGCATATTGTTATATTACTCTCAAAGCTCACATATACTATACATGTGTATATATTATGAGGCAATATATGTATGGTAAGCTATTTGATCAATATAGATAAAGATAGAGCAATTTGGTCAATATGTGATTCAGAAACTAGTAATGCTCTTGAATCTAAATAACATATTTGTTTGGATAGTGTTGGCTCACTCTTAATATGGTTCAGAACTCTGGTTCTTAAAGATTTTGATATCAATCTATAGATTATATATATATATATATGTATGATTTATTGTTGATGAATTATATTTAAGTATTTAGTACCTATTCATAATATTAAGTTTATGTTTCTGTTTCAGAACACAAAAACATCCAGTCACAAAGCTATTTACATTTAGTCTTGTCCTGGAATTTGTTGCACTTTGCTTCAATGTCCTTCATACTGTTAAGTTTGCAGCTGATGGTGTTGGCTTTGCTGGGTTAGCAGTGGCCGGAGATATACTAGACATTATGAGTAGGGTAAGTTTAATTCATATTTGTAAACCTATCTTTAATAAGACTATTCAGAATGATCTCACAAACAAAATATTAGTAAAATGACATTATTTTTATGAGGTTATCAATGTTGAAATGAGATTTCTATCACAGACAGACAGATAAAATTGCTTACTTGCATATTTTATTATAGTGTTTCAAGTAACTACCATATGATTTTTGTGTTGTTATTGTTTTTAACTAAGTACTTAATATTCTATTAATATTAGGTTTTATTCCTACAATATAAAAATATTGTATTTTCAAAGTTCCTTTTATATTGATGGTCAGTTTATTTTACACACATATATTTATTACTGACACATTTAAAATACTTTGACTAAAATATGCTTAATAGATGCTAATTTTTATTAATAAGCAATGCAGGTAGACTATAAAGTTGTCTGAGTGAGTCTCACATTTTTTAAGCCGTTTGTTTTGTAAGATGTGTTTTGTAAGTGAAAGTGAAATTAATATGATTATGAGGTACTTAGAGGCAAGCATTTTAGTTCTCCAGAATGGCAACACAAAAACAATATATAGCTACACATAGTACTGTTCATATATTAATGTTTACCACTTCATCACGTGGGCGATCAGAGCTTAGAAAAATTATCAAATTAAAGAGAGGTAGAAATGCAAAGAAGATAATTATGTTGATAATAAATACATTAAAATTATTATAAAAAATCTAATATTTTTTCAGACACTATTCATGCTACTTCTTCTTCTATTAGCAAAAGGCTGGGCGGTGACAAGACTGGAGCTGACCTATAAACCCCTTGTGTTTGGAGTCTGGCTTGGTTATGGAATTGTACACATATTACTTTACGTGTGGAACACTGTAAGTATTTTATCATATAATTCAATTTGTTAGAGTATTATTAAAAAAATAATATTACTGTTATTGGAAGAAATAATTTTGATATATAATTTATTACTGGATAGCTTGTCTTAGAACTTAGAGCTATTATAAATAGCCTATGACCTTGATCATGCCGTTTTGATAACAAACTAACATGATTGAAAAATACCACACTGTGTTTGAACACTAGCATTAGTGGGTTCCGGATACCCACACTTCTCCCTCATATTCCTTTCCTAATGCCTTCCCCTATTAAACCCTTAAAAGATCGGCATCTTCTCCTGGCCATGCTGGTGCTCATAGGAGGATATAATCATTTACAATTAGATGTACCTTAGTGGCTCGGAGGCTTATGCCTCTTATACTATAAAAAAATATATTCAAATTAAAATATACCTCTTCTCTATTTGAAATTAATAGTTAGTTGTAAGAATTAAATATTTATTCCATTATTACAAAAATATAAAACTAAGAATAAATATTTTTTTAAAAGAAAATAAAGCCACATTGCCTTAGTTTTCTTGGAATAAAAAAATATTGTATTCAACCACTAAACGTGTGAAAATATATCTATTGTAGACGGAAGTCGATATAATAGAAGAAATAGACGAGTACCAAACATGGCCTGGTTGGTTGATACTAACACTTCGTGTGGCCATTATGACGTGGTTCGTATTGGAACTGCGGAATACCATGATGTACGAGCACAATATGCCAAAGCTGAACTTTCTCCTGCACTTTGGCGCTTCGAGTCTTGTATGGTTCGTGTATTTGCCGATTATAGCGCTCATAGCGCTACAGATCAGTCCGCTGTGGAGATTCAAATTTCTCTTAGGTATGCATCCTACAATGTTAAAAAATTTCTTATATTATACTAGTTTGATCCCGCAAATTATTCTGCTTTTTTTTTAACATAAAACACAACCAATGTATTTTCAGAATCGTGAAAAGTTTAACAAACAGACCGACAGACACACGTTTGGAAAATATTTGCAAATTGATAGCATGTTATGTATTACAAGTATATTTTTATAAATACATACATAAAGACACCCAGTCCAATAGAAACCCATTAATAATAAAAAAACACTCATATTCATGAATACGAATGTTTATATCGTGCAAGGAATGGAACCCGCGACCATCGAAAGTAGGGCGATGTACGAGACCACCGAAGTCACCAATATATCATTGCCAGTAAAAACTGTGTTATTTTTAATTGATGATAATGGTATGTTGCATCACTTGCATCCGCCTTCGTCAACGGTTCACGCTGGCGGGGCAACAGTGGAGGATGATAACATGAAAATGAGGTCAGGTCAGGTAGCCCATCGTGACAAATTCACCAGTAATTTGTCATGATGGTTCCCAGGGGGGAACCGTGTGGGGGACAACCTGACATGGTAATTTTCTAGGAATGTGGTCCACTTTACAATAATTGACCCCAATAATTTGGTGTAACAAACGAAACCACATTAATATTCATAATATTGACTTGACAAATATTGATGCATTATTTTATTTTTTGTTTACCGCTAAACATTATTACCTCTATACATGGTGTAGTATATGCATTGTAATTTATTTAAGGTATATCATAATATGTGCATTCGTTTAGGGGCCTGGTTATCTGTATTTCAGGTTATACCTGTATTCTATCAGACACCAGCTTCTCACAACAATTGATTGTAATAATAAATTTATGCATTGTATTAGTCCAAAATATTATATATATTTGTTGCCACCCATGTTTTTGAGGAGTAATAAACAAAGTTTTTATTATTGTGTAATATGTTTTAGGTATAACATATTCAGCGGACTGCCTAGCGTTTTGTGTCATGGCACACCTGTTATGGCCTACACGTTCAGAACAGTACTTGTTGCTGGCACCCTCAGATTACACAGGTGAATATTGAAAAAATTGATCTCGTAACGTACCATAAACTCGATTTTCACCAAAACAAAAGGTTTTTAGCTCATTCGTATGAAGTAATTTGATTGCGCACACACACTCTTCTTAAGTACTGTACACATAAATTTAAAAGAGTATAGGGTTGTAGCGATTGTATTCTGAAACAGAATAGAAATATATTTGTAAAAAATGAAAGAAAGACTGTGAGTATCAATTTCTACAGAAAAAATGTTAATTACTAATTACTAAAGGTGAACTTTGCAGAGTTTGCCGAAATGTAATTTTTTCATTGAGAATCAATAATACTATGTTATATTTTCCCAAAGAAAACAGGGGGTAAAGTCACATAAATTATGAACAAGTTGATATAGATACAAATTTATCGAGTTCCTTGTCTCATTGCAGCGGGCATAGAAGAACTAGACGAATTCAACGAATCCCCACACGTAGTACACAGCGACACGGTAGCATTGACCACCGCCGACAGCGTCAATGCCGAAGAAGAGGAGGTGATATTCACGCGAGCAGCGCACAAGAATGGCACTGCTTTCTCATAGCATGAATAGATCCAACTTAAAAGTGGTGAGGTATTTATTATGCCAAAACTTAATGAGCAACGCGCTCATGTTATTTGGGCAGATCTCTCAAAAACCTAGTGAATGCCAATATTCTCTCATCAGTTCCGATCGCTTGATCATTTATGTTCAGTTATAGAAAGACGTTCAAGCGGATTATAGATCTGTATGTCGAATTTAGTCAACGTACCTAATAAAGTGCACATGATAAAGTGTTTTAGAGCAAAAATGCATGTTACGTATTTTCTAAGTTAACTTAGTGAAATTTAAGTCAAATTGAATAAGTTGTAACATAAATAATGAAAAGCACAAAAAACAATATACTAGTTTGAAAATTTTCATGACACAATTTGGTACGATCCTGCTGGATAACGTTTTGTGAGGTGCCAACCTTATCAATTATAAAGAAACAAGATAAATAGCGTTAAATATATACCTAAGATAATGTTAATATCGTAAAATATTAAAGAATTTATTATTAACTAAGATTCATGACATGGTGTGGTCTCTGTTATTACTATAACATGAAGCATTAATGTGGAGTATGGTTGGGCAATATTTTCGCAATGCTGAAGCTTACTTATTATATACAAGACTGAAATAAGTAGACAAACAAGCACATTTTGTTAATATGATGTTTTATGATTATAACATTGAAAGTGTTGAGATTTAGAGACACAGCATATGAATGAAACTTGGAAAATAAAGTACATAATTTTTTTTTGTTTATTTCATGAATTTGTGATGAACAATATTTATGTATAAATTTGCATTTGCTATTTATTTTTTTGTATCTTACAGATGAAATTGCATATCGATATTTTGAAATATATTATATATATATTTATGGTTACGAAGTTACAAAAGTAATAATTGCGGAAATTCGTGGTACAATCACGTTATCTATAGTACAATCAATTTGAAGTATGTTGTAGCAGATTTTAATGATTAAAGCAATGTCAGATTTGTCATAAACAAAACTACATTACAAGATTCTTGATATGATACGAGATTGAAGGTTAAATGAACTGAACGAGCGTTCAAGTTTATCTATAGATAGACTCTAGACACATGATGAGAACATATAAACTTGATTATTCTTTCTTACGAGTGAAAAGTTATTTTATTTTCTAAATTATTTATTTGGTATCTATAATTTATTATAATAACAATATTTATAAGAGATATCAGCTTAATATTTTTATACAATTTTTAAAATTACTATACAAAGTTGAAATCGTACAGATAGGTATAACTGAGAATTTGCGAAATATGAAATGTATGTCGCTATTGACAAATTCTATAGGCCAAATATATATATTATTTGATTATTATAAATTATAAAATTTAAGTGTTATTATATGTCTGCAGCTATTTTATTTTGTAATATGCACACTAAAATGAACAATCTTATGAAGGAAATACTATTATACATTTTGTATACATATAGTTACTCAATTGTTAAGATAGATCAATTTTTAATATTGTACAGTAATTTATAATAATATATAATGTATTTTAAGAGATAGTACAAGTAGATCTCAATTCGATTATATAACTCGATAGTGTGTTTTGATACTAACATTTAATATAATTTTGTCCCAGTTTTGTTCAGTGTTTTGTAATAATCGAATAGTGTTTAACAAGCATTGTACTGTGACGTGTTTCTTAAAAATGATTCTCTTTACTCAACCCAAGCCAGGGGTCAGATTGGAAGATAAATTTACTAATACAGTTGCTATTAATATTGTATTATTAAATTCTGAATATTTATATTTTAATTAATTTATCTATCAAAGTGATTAAGTGCATTATAAAGATAGTTTCGTAGCCGATTACTATGATAATGAGGCAAGATTTCGTGAAATTCATTAAAAGTTGTCTTAAAATAGCTAACTATGGATTTAAGTTATATTTGATGTATTTGACTTGACTTATAAAATACTTATATTTCGGATATTCCCGAAAATTTGTATAGTGCCAATTATAAAGTTTAATATCAACCAACAACAACACGTTTTCTTATTTAAATTATTAATTGTTAAATATTTGCAGATTGTTTATTTTTTAATCCGTTTTTCTACTATGAGAGTTTGTTTCTACTAAGCTTCGGCACATACTGTATGTACACATAGTTTATTTATATTTGTACAAAACAAGGAATACATGTTGCATATTTATTCCGCATAAAAAACACTAATTGATTATAAGCACTTAGTTAATACATTTATGACTCCGTGATTAATAGAAATAATTTTGAATGCTATTAAATTAGTATAATTGTAATTCTCATAATAATTGGCTCATTCCAGTATACAGTATCCTTCGGTATAAATTTGAATAGATTTTTCCTATGTCGAAAATAATTGTGTATTAATTGATAACATGTTAAGGATCTCTCCGCACTGCAATATCACTATACATTTTCGGAGCATATATGTATATATGAAAATGTATGAGAAGTATATACCTATTGCATTCCATTTTCATGGAAAAAAGTGCACAGAGTAGTTTTTCAGCAGGAATAGGTTTGTCTCTTATTATATATTCTATTTCCGTACTGTGATTATTTATCTCGAACTCTTAACTTGAGCATGAATAATTAACATAAATCAAACAGAGAGTGTCTTCACCATATAATGTCAACAAATTTCAGCTTAGGGTGGGATTAAAAGGCCGACACTACGTCCTCTGGTGTTGTAGTTGCTCAAGGTCTGTGGTAATCACTTACCAGTGAGCCGCATATTATATACATCATTTTCTTCTGTCGCTATTAAAAGTAACAAGATTATTGATTGTACATTTAAAATTATATTATTATATAATTTTTATTTAAAAATTATTTTATTACTAGGAAATAGTTTTTATTATATCAATTTACAATGAAAAATAGTTTCTTAACACAATAATGTACACAATTATATCAAAACTTATTTTCTTTTCTATTTTATCACCTTAGGAACTCTTCCATATTTAACATACAAAATTATCTTGAAAATAAATTGACTCCGTCGATACCGCTAACGTCATACAGCAATAAACAAAATTTTAGAAATAAGTTAATGAAATTGTTAGCTAGTCTTATATATTAAATGAGATCATTTGTTAAGAAGGTAGTGTTCGTCTTGTGCTTTTCAGTTGTTCTGAAGTTGTAAGACTCGTCACTGATGACGAAGACTCATCACTGATGAAGTTCATCTTCATCAGTGACGAGTCAAAGAGCTGAGTTATAACTTAATAAATATAAGGAACTGCATCACAATTTTAAACTTTCTCTTTAAATAATAGTATTGTGTAGTTATAGTGTTAGTGTTTTATTTACCTATGTTTGACATTATTATTGGCTTTACTACATGCAGGTATTGCATACCTGTTATTGTATACATGTAGAACATATGCATATGTGGATACAATAGCAGATACATACGCACGCTATTACAACGATTCAGAATCAAGCAATGATTATATATAATGTCATGTGATCTGGAATTTCTTGTAAAAGTATTGTATAGATTGTAGTTTAAGTTTTAAGTTTTTTATTATGTATGTATTGTAATTTTACACCAGTTACTGTTTAACATACTTACCATTGATATCTAACCTCAAGATTAAAAAACTGGAAATAAAACTGGGTTGAAAAAGGGCCATCTTCATTTATTGTGAAATTATAGTATAATAGTCTTGCAAACATAAACATTTCAAAAGTTGTTATATGTTTTATATTTTCATTATACATGGTCAGTTTCAATTAAAGTTTTATTCGGCTATATGTATCTACTATGGGTTTTTTTTATGTAAATACAATGGTAGTCCTATAAATTTCTTTATAGTCGATACAGTCACGTGTTAAATTTGTTAACAAATGGTTTTAGTTTTAATACATTCATCTAAAATGAAAGGATTATATATTATTTCGAGTGATTCTGTGTTCACATGCGACTGTTGTACACTACATGTGATTGTATATAAGTGTGTATCTGTTGTGTACGTACTACAATTCCTACGAGTTATGACTATAAACTCGTGCATACACTAAACCCAGAAACTCATAGACAACCATATTGTATCTATGGCACGGTTCTGCGAATTCCCGCAGAATTCATCTAAATCAGGGGTGAGAACCTATTTACTTAACGGCCAAATTTATTGTGATAAATATTAAACTTTAATTATGATAAACATTGGCATAAAATTTAATAAAGTAAAGTTTCCTATACAAATTTCAATGCAAACGTTCGTATTGCATGTTTGAACAAGACGCCGATAATTGAGTCACTCGTCACAAGAAACTGAATCTGTTTAGTATGGACTACCATTTTATTATAATTAAAACAATATACTGATGGGAGAAAGTGGAAAAGATAAATTCCATTATATAAAAGCTTGGCGGGCCGCATAAACATGTTAGACGTGCCGCAAGCGGCCTGCGGGCTGCATATTGCTCATCCCTGATCTAAATGAAACAAGGGCTTTAGACAGTAATATATTAGATATACATATTTAAATATAATAATATTGAACTCAATATTAGGTATTATGTTGTCGAGTTACAAGTTAGATTTTATACTCCGCGTCTCATAGACGTGACAGGCAATGCAACTTTAATAGACAAAGCAATTAACTGCGAGAGAATATCATAATTATATTATAATTCGTTTCACTTAAATGTTCTAACATAACAGTCTCCACCGCCAACATGTTTCATCTGACGGAACATAAGTATTATTACAATTGACATTGTTCATATTATCGAAAATACTAGGAGTTTGTAAATATGATGAATGCGGCCTTAAAGAATCGCTTCTATATAGCCCGTAACCATTTTGGGCCTCCCAAGAGCAGCTGCGATCGGAGCCCTGCGCAACCTCAATATATTTAATTACCGTGTAAAAAGAGGCTCGAAATATAGTATGAGTATCGTAGTGGAAGCCAAAATAATAGTCATTGAGGCATTCGTAGCTGCGAAATTATGAATATGTCGGATGCTGTCATTTTTTTGTAACATTTATAAAGCAGGCATCTATCATGCACGAGTGTTATTGTCAAATTTAATCATAATTCTACATCTATTTTAATTCTACATATATTTAAGATAAACTATTTGTCATTTGTATGATTCCATTTTTATATTGTTTGTATTATAAATATTTATTAAGTCCCTTTGTAGCTGTGAAAGATTGTTGTAAATAAACTTCATAATTATTATATTATTGTTTGTCATTTTGGGTGCGAAAGACAATGAAACCATAATAGCCAACAACAATAATTTATTATATCCACACATTTAGATATTACACAAATATAAAAGAACAATTTGAAGCTAGCACAGCACTAGGCGGGATGTCAAGGAAACAAGTTTCACAATCAGAATATCTAATTCCACGTTTACATTAAATACCGTAACCTTTATAGTCATTAGGTTTATGACTTTAAAAAAATAACACATTTTAAAATAAAATCTAAAATACTGATAACTTTCTAAAAACCCTTCTTTCCCTCGCCTCTCGCTTCCACCCATAACTATATGAGATTTGTAGTAAAAATATTTAAAAATAAGTGATTAATAACAACGATTACCTTATATGATTAGTAATGGGATTAATTACGTATGCGTAGACTAGGCCTACAGAGAAAAGGACCCCTCTTTGTGTTGGATGAATATACTAGGAGTATTATTTGTCGATTATAGAATGGTGCACCGGTCTGCGTTAATAGCATACGCTGATGGGGCACCCGTGGAAGATAATAGAATGTTACTGTGCCTTGTCTGCGCAGGCTTTAATAAAGTCACTATTCAAACAGAAAACAGTGCATACCTATAGTTATGTACCTTTGATTAACATCGTATAGGCATGTAAAACAACACGTATAATCTTGGTGGAAACGTGGAGATATGAGTACAATGTAATAATAAATAAATTAAAATGTAAAGAAATAACTTTACATTTTAATGTTCAAATTCAAATTAATTACTGTTAAAGTTCTTTCTTTATATAAGTTCTCAATATCTATAGCTACTTAAAGTATTAAGTAGCTGTAGATATCTCGTGCACACCAACTCCTAAGTTAATTAAACAATTATTTTAATTAACTTAGGAGTTGGTGTGCACGAGATTTACGAACGACAATGTATGCAAATGTGCTCGTAAAATATAGAAAATTGGCAGACAAATATAAAATAAATCTAGTATTAAAATACATGATTAGATACCAACCCAATACTGGGTGTCATAAAATAAAGGTAATAAAGTGAATAAAATAAGGTGATTTTTCAATGCATTATCTCAGCATTACATTTTGTGACCAGTACATACTTAAATGTCTAATAAATAGGTAGTAGGTATTACATACCTACGTAAGTCAAGTAGGTACATATACAACGAAAAGTTGGAATATTTTGTGACCGAAATAGTGTCGATAAATATTTAATAACATATTAAAGATAAGTATAATTATTCATTTACATATTATTAAGAATTAGAATTAAGAATAGTAATTAGAAAATATATTCAGTTATTTATAACTGGAAAGAAAATCCTTTGTACTGTAAATAAATCGCCTAGATGGTCTAGTAATTGCAAGGTAAATCCTCTTATAATCCTCGTAACAGCTAGTAGTGAGGTAATTATGAGAATCAACATACCATCGATGATCTACATACTACAAGTTTTGATGTAGTGTCATAACGCATAGTAGATCGACAAATTATAATATTTTGGCAGTTTCCTACAGAACCTAGAAAAATAGTTAGGAAAAGTTTTGAATTGTCTATATTAGTACATTCATATAATACCTACAAGGTAATCTTAAAAAAATATTATCCTTAAATAACTAGGTACTAGACTGTTTTTGAGAACTACACAAATATTCTTAAACTTTGATTATATTCGTCAATTGCCAGTTTTGTCTTTGCTATCCCTATTAATTCTAGCTACAATAATAACACAGAAAAAGACGTAGAAATCTATCTGTTTAAATCCTTCATGTGATCACAACAAATTCTAATTATTTCAAAATCAATGTTCAGAATTCAGAACCCTTATACCAAATTTCATCAAAATTTGTTCAGCTCTTTGACTTACTTTCATACGAGTAGGTATAATATTTTTTTGTTTGATGTATGCATTTTCATAAACATTAACAAACGAGATTGACTCATTTATCTAAGTCTTGATTTACAGATGCACAGACCAGTTTTCCAGACATGTTTATAAATTTTCTGATTATTAATAATATTTATACGAGCGTCGTCTTTGAAGTGAATCATGGGCAATCGGATAAATTTATAAGAGGCCGGCCTCGAGAAGCCACACAAGGTCCGGTTGCAGTTTTATCCTATATTCTGGCTTGTGTAGCTTAGGGATCGTTACACGGATTACTACCGACTTGGTAATATAGGACCGACATCCAAATTACCCTCCTGTTAAATATATTAGGCATCTAAGTTATGTTCGGTAGCTAATTTCCCGAGAGTATTGTCCAAGGTTGCTTACTTAATTTCCAAGAATTTTAATGAACTGGAAGGATAGGCATATATACTTCAATGCAAGTTTTGGTACTTGCAAAGTAAATATGATGACTGGCATTTATTGCTAACCACCAATCGGAACCAAATAGCAATAAAACACTCATATAAGATGCCGTCATTGTATACAGAACGTCATAAAAGATTATAGGGCAAACCGTGGCAATATCTATAAATTTACATTAAAAATGTAAGAATGCAGCCACTGAGAGACATCAAACATTTTGATAGAGATAGAAATGTCAATCTTTGTATACAGCTTAATATCTTATCGAGAACTGATGAAATTAAGAAAAGATACGAAAATAGATACATGACGAATAGAATTACGTAGTAGATATATGGGGAATAGAATTCGATAAATACACAACGAAAACGTTATACGATGTCATAAAATAAGCACTCGCTGTTTTCCAGAATTGCTCCGTAAGGGAGAGGAAGTGACACATATTGCATGTAGATACGACTCAATATCGAGCGTGCCAATTGAAACGTAAACAAAGTGTATGACTATGATTAACTCGTGTGATATACAGAATAAGTAAAAAATAGTTAAAAGTATCTACATCTGTAGTTTTAAAATAAACAGAAATATTACATTGCTACTAATCTAATGCATATGTCTATGTTTGCATATATAATATTGTAGATAACGCGTGCATACAATATGGCACTGTATTTACTTCGTTATATTCAGAATGATAAAAATATTAACTAAATAAATACACTTATTCTTCGAATTAAATTGAAGACAAGGAAAATATTTCTTTTACAATTTCATTGAAGTGATGACATAAAAATAAATGTTGTTTTAGCAATTCAATGCTAAGTACCTACTAATTTTCTAATTTAAATACAAATTACATTATCCACGAACTACGATCTAACGCTATAATTAAATTCATAACCACAATTATATCATAACAATAGAAATATCTCTGAAACAGGAATGTACTTACAACGATTATTAATATATATATATATATTATTTAATTAATATAATTTACTTATTTTACGTTCTCGGAGAACTAAAATGGTGAACTAGAAAAATAATTTTATATTTGGTTTATATAATAATATACTTATACGATATAATAGGTATTTTTAATTATAAAATTGAACATGATATTGCCAATTTTATAAATGACTTAGGGAACTATTAATACAACTACATATTTAAAACGAAAGTAAAGCGATAGAAATCTAAACAAATAAAGATCAGCGCAGAGGGTGGCATATTTTCAACTATTTGGAATATTTATCAACCGCATTTGTTATAGGTACAGTTACATAAGCGCCTCGTTCTCGTTAGACATGTGCCTTGTAAATCGTAGAGTACGTGCAAATTGGTATTTTATCATTACGTGCAAATATCTACTCCAAGGACTTCCAAATTATATACGCAGGTCCAAATGAGTTATATAGTATGGGAATGCTTGATATAAGTTATCAAAATAAATATAATATACAATGTGATGTGCGGAACGGTCATTAAAATGTAATTTAGGAAGATTAACTGCGTGGTCTAAATAATTTAATGTCAAACATTTACAAGTACATAAAGACACACTTACGTTATTAAGTCAAAATTAGGTAAGTTTTTGAACCTCTACGTAGGTGTATACGAAATAGAATTATATTATATATTTGGTAATACAAAGACAAAGTAATTCATCGACAAAACATATTTTATCGTTTCGCTAAAATATGTTTTGTCGATTCGGATTCATATAAATCTTGTATACTTGATTACAAAATACCAAAGACTTAGTATGTTCTTGTAGCACTGTCATATAATAAAATATTCCTTTACGTTCTAAGTCATAAAAAATTCAAACGTTAGTTAGCCATTACAGTATATAACAATAATAAGATACATAAACAAATATCATGTAAACACATAAGATTAATTAATACTAAGTAAAGTATTCTTGGGATTTCTGATTAGGAGCAGATATACTTTAAATAGCAATAGAAAATATTGTTTAGTAAAGAGGTATGTAGGTATAGTTAATTTATATTTAAAATTTACGTAGCTGCATAAACAATATCAGACACAATTATTGTACTTTGATACATTTATTTTTATGAAATTAAATAGTAGCCACTATAATGGCTTTTATAAAATATTAAGTACAATTGAGATTATAGATATTCGGTTCTATGTAAAATTCGAAATAGCAGTCAAAATAGCTTAATAGTCATTAATTTTATTAACATTATAAACGTCATATCAGAATAAAATAATACGAGTAGGGCTTCAATTGATTAAATACATCGAATAATTACTATACTAAAGCATTGTTCATGATGATAATGAGATTCACTTTCCTTCATACATATATGTATTGAAATATCGATAATATTATTATTTAAAATACTTAATGCTCGATTATTATTAATCATTATAATAGAGATGTAACAAGATCTTAAAATATGTAAGTCAAAACAGTTAATAAATAAGCAATATATTAGCTTAAATTACCAATAGTTAGGTACACAGTGACTACGAATTTATAACCACATTTGTTCATCACAGCATTGTATGTAGTTCTACAACGCATATAAAATGTTGGTATTAAACATTTTCGATCTCATAATGTATATCGGGTAAGTATTATAGATATTTAGAACAATTTGTACATAGTTTGTAACTTGATACTTCAGAAAAATATTACCACTTTAAAATCACAAGCACAACACTAAAAGGAGCGTGCTATACAGCAGAAAACGGGTTACACTTAAGCAATTAACGTCGATTGCGACTAACAGTGTTATTGGTGACTGGAGCCAGTAATCGACGTGGTACAAGAAGCCGAGCATTGCCTCTAGCAGCTCTGACAGCACCAGGTAGTTTCAGATCCGCTAAATGGGATGCATATCCATCATTCAAAGTAGTGGCTAAATTTACATACTTTTTGCTAATCCTGCCAATGGCATATATCTGTTTTGGGGATAGCCCACAATGATGATAAACACTTATATCTTTCCCTGAACCGTAAGCCGCATATAAAATAATTCCATGATCATTAATAAGGCTGTTTAAGTGTGCAGCTTTATGTCCTAATGGGTCAGTCGAGAATCCATCAGAAAAGAAGACTAATCCATGTGGAAAGTTATGTTCAGCTAACCACGAAACAACTTTTCTCTGTTGCATATCAGGTCTACCAGTAATATAAAGGATAAGATATCCTAAGTCTTGCCAAAAGCGCACTACATCTACAGCGCCAGCTCTAACTTTCGGATCTCTACCAGTAACAGAAACGCTTGCTGTAAAAGAGCCATCAATGCTGAAAACGACACATTCCGTTTGTGGTGGAACTACAGAGAGATGGAAATTACAACTGGTATGATCGCCTCTAACTACAGCCTTGACTGGATAGATACCACAACCTACACTTTGCTTATCTGACAATGTATATATCACCCTTCCTGTTTTGTCTGTAACTGCAGTGGACATCAGTGTCCATTCACCAGCCGGGGGATCTTTCATCATATAGATATCAACCTTCTCGCCAGTTAACGTTATCATGTCCAAAGGACCATACATAAATCTAGCTATGAAAGTTTGTGGAGTATTCTCTTTCACAATTACATCATTAGCTCTATGATTGGCAGCTACATTTTTTAATTTTACAGATGTCCTTTTCCTCATCCATTTCTCTCTTTCTTGTCCTGGCTTAAATATCGGACATTCCTTATCTTCTGAATGACCATACAAGGCTAAATCAAAATGTCCAATTTGTCGTAGTATGAAAGCTATGACATCGGAGCTTTCCCAATAGCTTGCGTGAAATAAATGTGGTAGAGCATTTGTGGGAAAATTTGTTAAACCTTCTGGACAATAAAGGGCGTAATCCAATCGTTTAGATCCCCACCACTTTTGTTGCAAAGCATTCATTGTAATTAATGGAATGTTATCTACCAAACCGCTAACTGTACTTTGAACAGATGCTTCTGAAAGTCTTCGTAAAACAGGCGTTGGTGGCATTTGTAGATGGTCCCCAAACAATTGAGGATGACTTTGAATTAATTCCATCAAATGATATGGTTGACCATTACCTAAAGGGTATTTTGTATAACGAGCAACGTTTATGGGAGGTAAATTAGTAAATCTTGCAGATAGTAAAGGTTCTAATCTCGAAGCAACGGGATCAGTAGGGTGGAATAAATTAAATACTTGTTGAACAGGGGGTTTTATAATATCACGTGCTTTATCATCAGATATTTTCCTTGACGCTAATATAAGCGATAAAGGGCTACCGAACGTAAAGAAATCACTAACTTCGAATTCAAATTTTACATGATTTTCACTAGTGGAAGAAGATCTTCTTCTAGGTGTTGGTGCTTGTAAATGAGATTTATTTAAATAGTGGTCAGTAGGGTCACTAGGAATGGTAATTTCAGTATCTAAAATACTGTTTTCACTATCATGACGCGATTGATACTGTAAAGTTCTGCAAAGTGCATCATACGCTAATACCGATCCCATACTATCACCTACAATACACACTTGACCATTGAATCCTTTACCATCATCAGACTTAATAAATTCATTAAATACAGCATTAGCGGAATTTATTGTTTTTGTTACAGATTCAGCATAATCAAGTGACGATGTAGCAATTAATGGTATAGCACCAATAGGTATGAGATCATTAGTTAGAGATGGCGTCTCCAGAGATGATGGAGAACAATCAAAACTATATGGACTTAAAGTAGAAAGAACACCAAGGGCTTCTGTGCAAACAGAAGGACACGCAACTAATTTTATTGTTACATGACCAACCAATGTTGGATAATGCTGTCGCATTACAGACTCAAATGCACCTTTGAATGTTGTTACATCAGATTTTTTAGCTGTCATATCGACATTTGCATCTAAAACACTTCCAGCATGAAATACCAATATCAGTACAGTAATTGGACAAGTGCTATGCACTGGAGTATCCGGACAACCATCTATACTTTGGTGGCTTTGTAAAGTAAGCAATCTTCGAGAACCTCTTTCTGACGTAACTCTTTTCAAAAATGTTGGATTAAATATGCTGTCTTCATGGGATTGTTCTCCTTGAGTTGGAGATATATCGATATCTGCTTCATCAAGAGAACATAACGATGACCACTTATTAAATGATGATTCACAATCATAAAACTCATCTTCAGAACCCGTTTCAGTTTCCGATTCCCTAACTAAAGTTTCCATTCGCCAATTGGCGACTTGTGCCTGCAAACTTTTTATTGAACCAGAGGAAGATGATCTAAGATTTGATTTGGAACTTTTGTGTTCAGATGGCGGTGTCCCTTCGGGGGTTAAATGTTTTTGAACTCGCTTTTCAGAAGTATTCTTTTTTGTAACCATAGGTGTTGGTATATCTTCATTTTTCTCTAAACTGCTCATTGTTGCTGCAAGTGACTTCGAATTATCTTCAGAAACATCTAACTCATCACTGGTCTCACCCGCCATTTTTTTCTGCAAAGCTAATTGTGTCTGTCTCTCTATTTCTCGAATATCTTCCATTGTGAGACCATGCCATTCATCTTGCCAAGCCCAAGCTTGTCGGTGAGCTCTAAGCATGGTCTTTCTCAATGCAACGTCGTGTATAAATTTCTCTAATTTTGTTTGCATACCCCAATATCGAAATTCTACTCTACAGAGTTTGTAGGCACACATAAGTGACTTTCCATTTGGAAGAGGTTGAGGTTTATCTTGAACTTCTTTCCAATAATCATCCAACCATGTGTCACTTAAAGGGCCTCTGTTACATTTTTGTGACACGAATAATTTTGGATCTTCTTCTTTGATATAATCTGCACCATACAATTGATCTTTAACAACATCTATTATGTCGACTATTCTATTTTTTAAATCACTTCCATTTAATTTAAAGACATTTTCTTGGTGGCCATTGTCAGCATAATAATAAGTCTCTATTTCTAATGAAAATTTTTCAACAAAGGGACATGTATACCTTGTTTTAGTATATGGGTAGGCATTCCAAGCCTCTTCAGAGACTGTTAAGGCAGACTTTGGAAGTAGGCTTTTAAACCAACCAGGTAAATGGCTGCCAACATGGTATATTTTTTGGGTATACTGGCCTTTACCTCCAGGCCCATCTTCATAAGGTTCATTAACAAGAATTTCAACACCACTTCCTTCGCCAGAACTTTCTTCCCTACTTTTTTTAGCTATCATGTACAGTTGGGCGATCCGATATTCCTCTACCGTGAGTGGTAGAGGTATTCTGTACTCTTTTATAAGCATCTTGTACCTATTTATTCATTCCTTGACATTTTATACATTATCTGAAACAAAAGAAATTTCATTTAGGATTGAATTATGAGATAACATTATTCAATTAATATGATAAACTAGCCCCATCTTCTTACAGAGTAGGTAAAGATAAAAGATAAAGAAGATGAGAATGTATGTATGTTTGCTCAATCATGCAAAAATGGTTGATTTAGACGCAATTTGGCACATAGTTATTTATTACCATTCATTACCCAGATCGTGGAATATGCTATTTAACATGGCAAAATATAACCAGCTATATACCATTGGTATGCCTTATCATTCCAGGTACCATACTTTTTTATTTAAGCCTAGTTATTTAATTATTTTAATCAATTCAAACAAATTTTCATGTGATATTCATTATCATCTTGATATAGTGAACTATGTATTTATGTACATATATACTATTATGGACTCATACTAATGTAAAAGCAATTTGCTAGTAGAAGTTAGTTGTTTGATGACAATGATGAAGTTCACTCTTAATATTCCTTTAAATACAACCCATTGCCCATATAACTGTTTATTAAAAAAGCTAATATAAAATACACCTATACTTAATATTTAGTAATCATGGATGGCCATAGTCATTTTTTCAACCTTCAAACTTGCTAAAACTGTTAATGACTCATAAATACAGGTACACAATATTATGTATCTGCTTTGTGTATACTTCCTTTAGCTTCGTTATTGTGTAAAGTTCTAGAAATATATGGTCAGAGCATATATTTGTAAAATTTTAACTCAGATAAGATACCCTGATATAATGATGCCAGGCATAATGATACCTTAAATATCTATGCTTATTTTAAATATAGCATAGACCTGCATATTATTTCTCTCTTCATATTTTTAAACAATAATATAATATTAAGAAAAAAGGGTTGATGAAAATTATAATTATAAAAAGTAATCCAACATCTTTCCAAGTTTGCACTATAAATATTTGTTTGTCATCAGCTGAATATTATTTTATAATATATATAATCTTATATATAAAATTCTCGTGTCACAGTTTTTGTTCACTTACTCCTCCGAAACGGCTTAACAGATTCTCATGAAATTTTGTGAGCGTATTGAGTAGGTCTGGGAATCGGCCAACATCTATTTTTCATCCCCCTAAATGTTAGGGGTAGTCCACCCCTAAATTTTTTTTTTTAAAGGCAAACAATATTTGCTTGGACAGCTAGTATATATATATATGAAAGTTTTGTCTGTAAAGAATATATTTATGAAAGCTTGTTCATTTATGGATGATAGTGGAATGATGCACACATGTGCGCTAATCAGTTTGTGCTGGTGGGGCACCAGTGGATGATATGATGAGTATGAGGTCAGGTCAGTTAGCTCATCATGGTAAATTCACCATGAATTTGTCACAATGGTTTCCAGGGGGAACCATGTGGAGATCAACCTGACATAGAACATTACTGGCGATGTGGTTATTACTCCACATTACTAACAATCCCCTTTCCTCCATATTTACGAAAGTTGTGTGAGTGTGTAGGCCGGACAGTAAGTATAACTGGTTAACAAATATAATCAACTATGCTCTTTTTTTTAATCTGATATTTAAATGGTAATTACCAACAAGTGCACCACTAACCCCACAACCAACATCCTTTTCACCTCCCTTCCATCCTATGTTAAGTTAAATATTCTCATTAATTTTTAAATGCTACACATGGATACTGTTTTTGTATTATTTGCCTGGCTCTAAAATAAATTTGTTGACACATAATAATTGTTAATCTATTTAATTAAGGTAAATTAAAAAAACACCTACCACCACATTTGAGGTTGTGACTATATAGTTTAGAAAAAAGAAAATTTCATATATGGTATGTGATATTTTTGTATGAAAGAGGTAACAAATAACAAAATGTTAATTATTCCTCATCTCTAATAATAAAAGAAACATATTTATAAAGAAAACCAATAAAAACATACATTATAATATAATTGACACCTGCATTTCTCACGTTCTTTTTATAAAGTTTAAAGAAATTGTTTACAAAAGTATGAAATATCACTATTCTGATGACCTAGTATTGAACGCCTTAGATATTGAAACTCTATGATTATGAGATTGAGATAGTTACTTAAATTTATAAAGAACTTATTGAAAAATCGATGTCTGCTGTTATTTTCATTATATTATATTATTTAGAAGGAATTTGTTCACGAATGACTAAATTACTGTAATAAAATCCTAAATGTCTATTGATCCTTTTGGATATAAATTAAAATGTGAACGGAATAGTAATATTAATGTAATATACTGAATGGGATTGCAATATTTATGAAAATTTCATAAATTACTTAATATGTTTCTATTACATAGAAAAAAATTCAAACAATTGGGTAATTTAATTGATTTGATGACATTTGTCGTTCAAATAATTACCTGTAAAACTTGATTTTAAATGCACTTGCACATTAAAAGTTTGATAAATTAAAACATATTTCACACTGGTTATTATTATTTCACAATATCACATAGTGTCTCTTCTCAATTGTACTATTTTCATTCAATATTTAGAATTTATCGTCACAAAACAACACAACCACCGTGAGAAGAAGGATGAACTTTGACATTTTCACATTTGCAAACATCCAATGCAAAAATGGCATAACCGCCGTTCCTTTCCTTTTCATGTTTCACACTAATACACACAAACCTATTGAAATTTTTATTTTTATCTTTTTTCGTGTTGCTAACAAGTAGCTGTTGAAAAATTCAATATGTCCTGTATTATTAAATTTACAAGTACAACAACAGAATCAATCATTTATCGTCCACAAACTAAAGTAAATAAATATATATAGGTATATTCAACCTACATGATACGCGATTGTAGGTTGGAACGTTGTTGATTCTGCGTACAGTAGTACAAACTTTTGTAATGCTGTTCTCAAAGTCAAAATATTCTCTATTGTGTATGGCATAAGATCTTCGCTGCAGGAGATAGTGAAAACGTAGATGGATACAGTTGAATTTCTATCCATAGTCCTTCCCTCTATAGGTATAAATTAAATAAAAAATCGGTCAAGGTAGTGTAGAGTACATTTTCGCAGTCTGAGCGAAAAAACACCATACGTCGTTAGCAAAGTAGATAGCTATGCCAAGTACAGATTATTGAAACAAAATATTTTTTTCCTTCGCTTTTCTCACATTTCCTAAATTTTGACTAAACTGGTAGATTGTAAATAATTTGTCGTTTTATCTTCGTAGATGGTTGAAAATAATTTGATTGCTATAAATACCTACGAACTTATATCTTTTTCGTTACTTGTCCTTTGCTTATCTTGTTATACTGTATAATAACAGAAAGGAATCTACCTGCCCTAAGTTTTCACTGTTCTCTAGTCAGTACTACAGTTACTATCACTAGTAAGTAAATTAACCTACATATGAGGCGGTGGGGACGTACTATCACTATCAATTTTATATGATGATGCGCATCTTAGAATGTAGCACACTATGAATAATGTTCCCTTTACAAGATGGACACGGGAAAATCGATAACAGTCGTCTGTGAATTAAAAAAACTGGCATTGTATTTGCAGATACAGAAATCTCGACTCATTGACATACTAATAATATCACGTTATGTACCTAACTATTCATTCTATAACAGTCCATTATTGTTGAATAATGTCTAAGTACCCGACATGGTTCTCTCCCGTTTAAACAGTGGAAGCGTGAAAATTACATACCTATCAATTTTGTTGGCCAAGTAGTGGTTTGGGATGAACTCTTCATTAATTATACACTTACCTACCTATTAAAATAGTATGTATAAATAAAATATTATATAAAATTAATATTAGATAGTAGGTACCTACCTATATATATATATTATTTCGAACGATGTTACTAATAATATAGACAGCATCCGCAGATAGGCGTTACGTAAGTTATGAACACGGTGTAGTTATTTATAGTAACAATGCGCAGATACGTAATATCTACCTACCCTATACCTATATATACAGTATGGATACAATGGAAAGGGAAATAAATTGAGGTCACAGGTTACAAACCCTGGCTCTTCAGAATCGCGACGCATTAGAATAAAGGGTATCCACGGGCACGGGTATGACGGTACGATGTCGTTGAGACTGTTCATACATACCTATAGACAACCATTAGCTTGTTTGCCATTAGAAACATAAACGAAATTAGAATATAAAATTAATTTTGTGATCAGTTATTACATTTATAATATGAATTAGGTAAGTAGGAATACCTACTATTTCTTTGGAATGGATAAATATGGAAAATTACACCCGCTTGCTAATGGTATACGTTGGCGTGGCATTAATGGAAGATGATAAAACGAGGATGGTTTAAGGGGCCCTCTGACTGGATGGTACTCCCCCATTAGGTATAACCATCCCCTGAGTGACCTCTGCAAATTTTGTACTGACATTCAGAAATCAACTTGTTCTTCAATTATCGTAGCAGTTCACGATTGCCAATTGTTTCCATAATCTTTGAGTATAAAAAGATGAAAGGCTGTGGTCTGTAATACTTAGCCGGATCTGAGTGATCTCCTTTCTAAGGGATAGAGTTAACCAAATCCCTCTTTCAAATTTTCGGGAATTTACCAGTACCGAAAAAAGTCGCTTTAGCACCAGAGACAACCTACTTGCACACGTTCTATGCACAATAGGCGGAGTACCGTATAATCCACTCGATTTGTGTACGTCTCGAGACGTGACAATCCTTTAGGTTTTTTTTCCGTAAGGCATCGAAGTCTTTTTGGTCATAAAATTTCTTTCTCATAACAATAATAAAAATAATCTTTTCATAATTTTAATAGCCTAGTAAGTTGCTAACATAGTTTAAAATATATTATGCATATATTAGCTATTTTTTCATAGCTAGTATATCGATATAACAATTACAATAAAATATAAAGACTTAATTTTGTTAAACCTAAACCCAGTGATGACAACCATAGACATCTGTGACTGGCTCACCAAATTGTGTATGTATTATGTAGGTATTACAAAATAAAATAAAAGTTTTAAATCAATAATTTATTTATAGAATAGAATTATACCCATTGTAAAAAATATAACACCATTACTTACAAGTCAACTAGCAATTATCATTCGATTACAAATAAAAAGTTACGAATAAACAAATGTTGTCAGGCAATAATATACGATGACTAAATCTAATAATTTAATTATAATTTAGACCCCATTGTAAAAATATTACTGTTACTTACAAGTTAATCTTTCCACGAGAAAGAAAATGATTTAACTATTCAACAGTTAATTAGTTTAATTTACCTGATATTGTCAACATAGGACGAAATTTGAAAACAAATTATTTTTAAATTACCGCAAATTACTAAAGATCTATGTTAAATGTCTACTCAGTGCGTTATGAAGGTAAAAATCAATTTTATATTCACAAATTATGCTGTATTATTCGAGATTGTCAGTCATACACAGATACATGATATCTGCTAATATATCACATTATGTATTCTAATATAACACTATGTATTTTTGCCAAAATGAATATGACGGATATATAACATATGCATTATTTACATAATAGGTGATTTTTTTTATGATATTAAAAAATAAAATGTTGGCTTGTATTACAAGTATGTCGCTTAGTATAAGTGGTAAAAAACTTCTTTAATCCTTACATAATACCATATATACACATATTGGTGGTGTAGTAATAATGCACTCACAAGGAAAGCTAAATAATCCTTTAAATATTACCCTGGACTTTTTTCCCAATTATTAATAAAGCTTATATAAAAATACAATCCCATGATTCTATATTTACCCTATTACCTACATACCCATTGACTATAGTGATAAATTTATATATGTTATATATTTATCATAATCTAATTTATTAAATTATTATGTAAGTGTAAATAAATAGTTAATTCGTCTACTTTCTCTTATAAACCAACAGTTTCTTATTATGTAGAAATAATATTTTCTATGTTAACATGATAAAATTTTTGTGATATCAACAAACGATTTGTGTAGGGCTTCGATGAATTGTGAACTGTCATTGTAGTGTTTGTAGCTAGTTACTGCGGCACCCAATTTGTCAGGAAAGGCTGAGTATCTGCAATACAATTTTTAAATATTTTATTTAAATACAATATAAGTTTTAATTCTATGAAAAAATATTTCAATCGTGACAACAATGGTATTAAACGAAACTAGTACCGAAACCTTACCGATTTCAAAAATAAATCATATAATATTGTAATAATTTAGAAATTTGCGAAGACATCGCGTACACTGAATAGTTTGTTGAATTGTGGCTTTGGCAAGGAGAAATGATCTCTGAAAACTGTATGTTAAATTAACCTTAGTCTAGCAGTTAAGTACAGCATTACTTCCAGAGGTTCTATATAATGGAAGCGATTCCTCGCAACATACATTTGTAATCATGAGACTAGATGGTGCTGCATATGCTTATGTTTATTTATAACTTTAATGCACACTGTACATTTGGCAGACTTAAAGCCATGCGGTATTTTCTACCAGTATCAAGCATAGACAGTGCAGAGAATTGTCCGGTCCAAATATAATCATGGAAAAGTATATTTTTATTTGGAAAAGAAATTGCTTATAGTGATAAGACCACCTGTTGTTCTTGATTTTCTATTTATTATTTTTTTCTTATTGTATTTCTTCGATGTACATAATAAAGAGTTTATTATTATTATTATTTTCTATAATAGCGCTTACAGTAAGTCTAATTATAATTTATTTAAAGCATATAAATATAAATTATTTAAAGAAATGCAATGTACATACCCTATACCGAAACCTTCTTTGACTACAGGTCCAAATCCTCCAGCCATTACACTCGGCGCTGACAGTGTGCTTGTACTTAATATGGATTTATTCAAGTACTTGTACTCATATGAGTCATATAATTCTGGCCTTGGTAAATTATTTTCCGCAGCTATTTTCTTCAGGGCAAATAAATGCCGATCAAAACCTTGGCCCATAGCTGCTTCTTTCACCAGTTGACTGTGGTTCGTCGAACATTCTTGCATAATGGCTCGCAGCTCCTCTTTAGAAGATTTATTGAGGTGCAGTGAGTCGCAAAATTCCTGGAAGTAAAAAATATAATAGAATATAGTTTTATGGGATTTGCGTAAGGTTTTAAGTAAGGTATTAGTTAAGCTAAGCTAACTGATTGAGTCTGTTCTAAATCTGGCACAAAAAAAATTATTAGAAAATTGAAGAATTTATGAATGATAATATGTAATATTTTTGTAGAACAATAGTAATATTATCGGATTGCACAAAAGAAAAGAGTGTAGCGGTTTCTATGTTGCTTGTCGCATGCCTCCTTGTTAATATGTTTGTATTGTATACGTTATAAATGTCCAGACAGGCTGTGGAGTGGTCGGCGAGTCATTTACCTCCTTATAATATGGTTCAGCCTAGTGATAACTGACTCACCCGTTATATTCGTGAATGGGCTTGTAGAGATTGGTCAGCTCTGATAAGTATGACTGATTTATTTTGTTACGCAAGTAACTATTTATTTATTATCCTACTTGTCAGTTTGTATTCACGAATAATATATACAACATTTATTTGAGCAACACGCAAATACTAGATAATTTTTCTTGTGATAAGTCCGCGTTCTGAATGACTGGTAGAATCACAAAATATGACTATTCAAAAGTGCTCATATCATAGTAGTATGTGCCAAGTATGTGTTTTTAGAACTGTTACTGTAATTGAATGTATTCAGTATATATATATATAAAAAGAAAAAAGATTGCTCATAGAATTATTTATCTATGTCAATAGTAAAGGTCAGGGAACCGCGTCAAAACAAAGGAGTTTTGATATCAACATGATCGTTAATTAAAGTTTAGATAAGTTTGTACGAATAACATAGGATTTTTTTTCTATAAATTGTTAATGCAAAGACAAACAGACTAACAGGTTGCGTTCATTGAATGTCTATTATTGTCTCAATCTCCAGAGGACATATATAATTTTAAACATCTATCTATACATATTTACGAACAATACTTTAAGACTACGTACGCATGACCAATAAAGAATTTTCTTGACCTTTAAGTACACTGCAAAACTGAGAGAAAGATCCTTTTAAGAATAATTTGATTATTTATTTCGCTTTGGCGAATTTAGTATTGCTTTAATAACTTCTTTTTAAGATATTATGGGGATAACATGACCTAACCATAATTTTACATACCTTGTCTTTAGAAATGTAAAGATTAAAGCATTACCTTAGTCTTCTCAGTGCATGGTCGCATTGTTTCAGTCCGGCCATGTTTGAAAGCAGACGTACTGCAGGATTCGTATGTTCCAACGTAATTTCCACGAAGAAGATGGTGAGCAGCCTGAATAATAATAAATTAAATAGTTACAGTGATACTATTATATACCTACCGACAAATACTAATATACTCTTCACCATCCATAGTAAATCTATCCATTCTAGCACTGTAAATAATCGCATACAGTCGGGCATCAGAAGAATTTCCTAGCGCATGTGTACATCACAGCATATTGTCACCTTTAAAAAATCAAGACTGAGCATCGGAATAACGTTATTCCAATAACATAAAGATAATCCTCATATGCTTGCGTTATATGATATAAACTTGGTTCAAGTTCATTTTATTCGAATTTTGCCATTTTCGTTTGTAACAATAAAATTAAAAACATTGTCATTTAATAAATATTACAACACACATGCAGAATTTACATATATAAAAACATACTAACACTACTAATTTAACACTGAGTAATGAGTAACACTGACATACGTAAAACCTGGGTAGTTTTAGGTAATTTGAGAAATTAGGGTGGCTTAAGAGCTATAACGGTCATCTATTTCTAATCAAATTATTACTAGAAAAGATAAAACACATATGGATTTATCTATTGAATAAAGACGATAACACATCTGGACTCCTATGGCACTAATTTGTAAATACAAATGGATGGAAGATTATTAGGGTCTACATGACATTATTTATAACATTTACAGGGGCACAATAATATTTTGTAGTTGTTAACTCTGACCTTGAGTTGTATGACTTTGTATCAATTACTTCAACAACATTAATTTCATTTGCCTTTTGTTTATTCGAGTTTCCAGTACCAGTTTATTACATCTGGATACTATTTTCATCTTCGTTATATTAGCTATATTTGTTGAATTGTTTAAGATAATATAGTATATTAGTAATATTTAGTTTCAGCATTATGCAATAGTTTAATTGCATATAAATATACACATTTTAGGATAATATGAGTGTTACTTTATACAAATTGGCTTTCATATTTATACTTACTTGAAATCCCAGTTGCATAATACAATCCGGACTGACTTTAAATTTTTTACATGCTTCTTTTGTAAGGCCTTCATATAAAATGTAGTCAATACTTAGAGATTCGCACCATTGATTATATTCTTTCTTTGCCATTTCTATGAAATCTTTTGATTTGTCATCCAAATTGAAATCTTCAAACAAAATAAAATACAATGTTAGGTCAGAATCACTCAATAAATGCTGGAGTGGCAGTGAGTGGAACCCTTGAATTAAATTTATTCTTGGCTCAAATTGCATATCAGACAAAAAAGTCAATTCATTGTAAAAAACATGAACTAAACAGAATTGAAACATAAGAGAAAAATAAATTTAATAAAATACAAATAAAAGTAGAGTCATCCTGGATGATAATGGCTTACTTTTGGTATTTAGGTTCTCGGCATAAATTCTATGTCTAAAGAAATATAAATTCCCATTTTATTTAAAAGAAAGTCAAAGCTGACACAATTGATATGTGCAGGAGCGTTAAAGAAAAGAATTACTTATATTAATTACCTAATTTACTAACAGTTATGTTGCTGTCAGAAGGCTTGGTGTCTGGATGGACAAAGGGTTTAGATGTGGTTTCATTGTATACATCTTGGAAAAACCTGAGTACAGCAACCCCATCGCCCCACGAGTGTTCAAAGTTCACTCCAGATACACCATCAGCAGTTACAATCAGGCTGAAGGACTTGTCAAACCATCTGGAATTATTAATAAAAAATAAATAAAAGGCAGAAGACAGGGCCGCCAAAGAACACGATGGAAAAATGACATCAACCTGATTCTGGGACCGTTCTGGAACAGGGTTGAGGAAGATAAAGCTCAGTGGAGAGAGCTGGAGGAGGCTTATGCCAAAAGGCACACCGAGTTGCAGGACATTTTGTAAAACAACAAATGTACCCCAACTTTCGGGAAATGGGGCTATTATTATTATTAAATAAAAGGCAAAGGCAACAATTTTGCTGCTTAATTATTTATATTTATTATGCAAAGGGCCTGAGAAAAAGGTAGATATCCAAAGAGTAAAGTACATACTTGAGTAATTTTCATTGGTAACACTATATTAATGAGTATTTGTTGGCTAGACAGTTCTTTATAAAAAAACATTTTTGACAAATTTATTTGATTAATATAATATATTTAATTTAATTCTTACATTTTGTTCGAACTCCCTAGTGTATCCCTTTTCATTTACAATATCAAGGCACCTTGATATTGTAAAAAAACTTACAATACCACTGCCATAACCACTCTAGTGAATTTATGGCAGTATGACATCTGCAAGGGCCATGTATATATTTGTAAATAAGAAAAGATTAATTCACATCTAACAAGCCATGTCCATAAACAACAGATAGAGATTTCGTAATCAATAATTATATATTAAAAATTTGACTCACTTGTTTGTCCCTTCACCATGTAGAAAATGTTTGAGGATCTTGTGTTTATCGTCCTGTATCACAATATCATCTAGTACTAAATTAAATATTGCTGAATCTATTTTGCGCAAACTCTCCTGATTGCCTGTTGATTCTAAATGTGCACGCTGCTCTGCCCATACATCACGGTTTTGACATGTCAAAATGCCTAATGGATGGGCTGCTTTTGGAGTATCATCCTTGATGATAGTACTTAAGTTTCCCAGAAATTCAGAAGGTGATAAAATGTTCCCTAAAAACAGCAATAAAATATGAACAGATTATAGCTACTTAATTTAGTCTAGTTTCTAAATGTGATGAAAATGATTTGAATTGTAACAATTACTGAGGAACTTTATTTCAAAATATATAAACAAAGATTAAAGAACTTAATAAATGGAATTTATATACACTTACCATCAGCATCAAATACATCAAATATATAAAAGTTTCCATTTTTCTGCACAACCACATGTTTACTTGATGGGTCATGAAATATTTTATCTTTATTTAATTGAGGTAGGCGTGTCCCACCGAATAACCCAACAAATTGACTCATGTCCAAAGGGAATGCTTTAAATAAATATGCACCATACCTAAAGATTACATTATATCAATTATCATTACATAATGTATGTTTTAGTACTAAACAAAATAAAGTATTATAACATGTTTTTTTTCCTTTTCCATAAATAAGTTTTGATGACAACAAATGCTTTATTTTGGTTGTAATTTTACAAAGAGTATTTGGGAATTTACTTATGCATGTCGTTGAATTGCTAGATTCTAGATCTTCTAAACTGAAATTACACTAAATAAATAACAGATTAAATAAGTTATAAATATACAATGAAGTGTGTAAAGTATATTTTTTAAGTCTAAATTCAATAAAATAATTTTGTCTAATTGAATAATAAAATAAAAATAAATCTGTTATATCTATGAAATAAAGATAGATATTATAATAGATCTAGAACAGAAATAATTAATACAAAAAAATAATGAAGCAGCTCACTGCAGTATTAGTTACATACCATGATACAGCTTCTGGTAAAAGTCCAGTGATAGTTCTGAATGTCTGAGTGTTACTTTTTTTTGGATTTAAATGATACACCTCAGGTTCTAAGATTTGTTCTCTCAGTGATGACATGAATCTCACAGCACTGATTAATAAATTTGTAGCCCTTAATAACTGGTCATTGTAGGCAGTACGAGAATCATTTTGGAATACCAACAATGGATTATAATTTATAGGCAAAGCGGCACGATCTCGTAAATATAAATCAAACCAATATTCAGATATATAGCTTGTATTTTTACAACGATTGTCTTTAGCTATCAATTTCTCTTGCAATATTTTTCCATCATTAGTTACAAAGTCTAAGGTACGGCGTTCAGATTGGTTATATTGATCATCAGTTAGCAATGGTTTTATTGACCTTAGGAAACGCTCACCAGTCTTGGATAAATCCGGTATAGGTAACCGTGGTAAAGACTTTTGAAAGTGCATAGTTGGCAGTTTACTTTGTTGAATGTACTGGTAGTTGACATCCCGAATTTTTCTGTATCTTGAAGTGTTTCTAATTTGAAGTACATAAGGATTTCCACTATGCAGTGTTATGGAGGTCTTTGTAGGTTTGATTATTTTACTTGCGGTAATCATAATTAGTAACAGTTTTACTTTGTACCTACTTAATTTTTTAACGATAATTTCCAGCAGGCGACCACCGATAAAGGAAGGCGATGTAATATGAATTTTAATTATGTATAAATAAGTAAATAAAATATGTCTTTTTTCCGTAGATATCGGTGTCTTGTAATGAATATGCCGAGGAATTAAAAATATTTATAAATATAAGAGTTACAGTACACTGATATTAGGGAATGAATTTGATCGTGCACTGAAACTGAAAGTATATATCAGTAGTATATATTTAATACATAAATTAATTTATAAGAAGAGATACAATTAACAACACTACAATTACAATTAATAAGTAGAAAGAACAAACTAAAACTAAATGAAAAAATGAATGATATTTTGTGACACGAAAAGTATGTGATATTGCTATTTATTAGACATTGACATTGACAAGTTGTCAAATAAAATATGAGCGAAAATACCAAAAACCACTTTGATTTTTTGATCTGTGGATACAAGAAAATTGAAGTTGATTTTTTGTGTTGTTTTAATTATACGTAATTGTAATAATATATAAAATCGAGTTTAATCATAGAATGAATCAATTACCTATTGTACTTAAATTAAAACTTAACTGGTGGAGTAGTGCGAGTCTCATTCTATCTCAGTTTAATAAGTACCTACATTATTTACCTGCAATAAATTGACCCAGTAAGAATGAATGACCTACCAGAAAATAGTAGCAATACTGCTGGCTCAGATTTAGACACCTTGGATTATTTGCGAGGTGTAAAGTCGTCAACGTGTCTTTTATTACCAACCACTCCGAGCCCTACACCTTTGGATTTCAAACATCCACTATCAGAGGAAATGAGTGAACAACCATTTTTACCAATAAATGATGAAGGCAATATCACAAGTTTGCAAAATGCAGGTGTGTACTAAGTACAAGGTTATTCTTAAATTCAATGCATGGGTCTATATTATACGTTATTATAGTATTAATACATTGTGGGTTTTGGATGTCTTCTAACCAGCCTCTTCTAGAATAGGATAAGCAACATTGTCATTGCCATATTTTATTTGTATAGTATCTTTTCAGTATTTTTCAAAACCTTAAAATGGCTAGTAGTAATATCATTACTTGCAATCTACTGTTACAGGTGTATTCCTATGCCTGAAAACCATTATGTTTAATTTATGATGTATGGATTAAATAACCTGACTTCATCCTGTGGTCCACTAGTAGTGGATACTGGTGGAGTACCTATGGAATAAATGGCTTGAAGAATATAATAGATAAAGTTATCACAGGCACTCTGTGGATAAATATGGAATGGTACACAATAGTGGAGTGCAGTATATTCTGATATTATCATCAGAATACATTGTTGCCCGAGACAGATGGCCCATTCTATATTAAAAAAAATGTGTGTAATATTACTATTATTGTGCCTATACATATAACATTTTAGAGTACTAGTAGTACTGAGTATTTTAACTATTTTATTTTCAGATGCATTAGGTGGTGATTCTAGTTCATCAGCTGATTCCAACTCAGTTGTGCAAGACCCTGTAAGTGCTCAACTCATTAATAATATCAGTATGTTGGATTATCAGACCCTTAGCAAAAATGATGATTTGATAATGGGACCGGTAAGATTTATTATTTATTAATTATCTTTTTTATCTAAAATGTATAACATTAGTTTATATTATATCTTAAAAAAATACACTATTATCTCCCATCTTCCAGCCTAATATGTAATTCTTGGTTTTCACTCATTATAGTTACATTAATGTAAGTAATGATAAAAATATATCATTTTCAGGCTGAAGATTGCAAACTCAATGGACATCTCAACATAAACAACAGGAAACTACCTGATTTTGTTAACTGGGATTGGGGTATTATTAGAAAGGTATTGCTATGGGTTGTTCTTTCAGCTTTGATAGCATGTTTAGGAGCAATTATAGCAATGGTTGTCACTATGCCAAGAGTATGTAACCCAGAACTCCCCTGGTATCAAGGAAAAATATTTTATGAGATATTTCCAGCTAGTTTTAAGGATTCAAATAATGATGGCATTGGAGACCTTAAAGGGCTCATTAAAAAACTTGACTACATTGAAAACATAGGTGTTTCTGCAATTCGTTTAAATTGTATATTTGAGGCTAATAATTATCCAGAACAATATTACAATGTAACCTCTTTAATAAATATTGATAGAAGTATTGGTACAGTTGATGATTTTAAGGATTTAGTAACTGAGGTCCATAAAAGAAACATGTCACTAATACTTGACTTACCAGTATCATCAATGGTTACTTCAAATACTATAGTGAACTCATCACAACCTCATTTGTTTACCAACAATACTCTGGTAGGAACTTCAGACGTTACTACAGCAGCAATTGTTTATTGGACCCAGATTAACAATGTTGATGGACTTTATCTAAAAAAATTAGATAATTTTGTTGATGACCTGAATTTTGGAAGATCATTACAATTTTGGAAACAAATAATAGGACACAACAAAATATTTATTGCAAGTGAAGAAACACTGCAAAAAGCCAGTGGTAATTCTCTTAATGTTTTGATGTCAAGAATTGATCTTATCGATATCCATTTAGATTTAAGTCATGGAATAAATGGCTTGAAGAACCGAATAGATGAAGTCATCACAGGCACTCTGTGGACCAAACCCCATTATCCATGGGTGCACTGGAATATTGGCAATGTATATAGTGAGAGAATATCTACAAAACATGTAAACAATACATTAGCATTAACTGCTTTAGAATTTGTATTGCCTGGCACTGTTAGCATATTTTATGGAGATGAGATAGGATTGGGCGGTGTAGAAGAAGCTGAGAAAGACTTCCATGAACACAAATATACTCATAATCTAGTGATGATGAACTTTTCAAATAGTGATAAAAATGAAAATGTTGGAATATTACCATGGAATTCCCGGTCTCTTTTAGAGCCTAGATATCAATACATACATAATATAAAAAGTTTGTCAGAGTTTAGATTAAATAATCCTACAATATATCTGAGAGCTATTTACAAAGAAGGCAGCATAATAAAGAATATGGGAATAAGAAAAACAGAAGAGAATTTAGTTGTGATAGAACGATGGTATCCCCGAAGGAATACATGTGTCTTCGTTGGAAATCTGGGAAACATATCTATTACAACGGATTTATCCACAATGTTCTATGGTGGTACTGTAGTATCTGGTACCAATGCTTCTCTTATAGGTCAAACATTGTACTTTGATGAAGTAACATTTCCGCCATATTCAGCAATAGTATTGAAACTAGAAAAGTAAACCAAGAATTATCAAATAATTATTAATCTATTTTTTTTAGTATTTGTATTTAAATGTTTTCATATTAGCTACCTACATGGGTTTCATTTGCTTTTCTAGAGTCTAGATTTTTTAACCTGTATTCAATGTATTTGATTAATTTTATATTTAATATTAATTGTTAACCTATGGTATTAATGAGCGTAATCTCTATTTTTTACTAAAAATGTGAACCGAAATGATCTGAAAAAATATGGAAAATCTTTTGCCTTTATTAGTTATTTAATATTTGATGTCTGTTATTTTTTGCAAATATTTTACCTCAAAGAAATTAAGTATTTATTATGAAAGTTCCTTCAACTAGTGTATACCAAAGATTTATATAAGTATTATAAATGGCAGTGCTTATTTGATGAGGGGATAAAAGAAAAAATAAATAGCCAAATGTAAATTATCATTAAAGTTTAATATACATTTGTACACATTTGAAACAAATAGGTATTATGTACTTAGTATATTTATTAACATTATATTATATATACATTATTATTATAATTTCTAAAGAAATAAATAGTTGTTGACATATAACACTTTCATCATTTATTAAACCTATTTAATGACTTCAGTTTTAATTAATTACAATGCAAATTCAGTATTTTATATCAGATAAACAGCGAGTATTTAAAATTGTCTTTAATTACCATAGTACATTTCTATAGCGAATACTTTATAGAATCCTTGGTATTATGGTACACATTAATGATATATTGTAAATTCTTATTACTTTATTCTTACTAACATTAATAAGTTTCTTAGGATCAAATTAATAAATTGGATTGAATGTAACAGAATTAATCAACAAATAGACAGCAGATTACTTAGAGGTACTTTGTAATTGTATTACAATAGGTAAAGTAAATAAAATATTGTTCTCGAACACAGCCTTATAATAATAATAATAATAACTCAGGACAATTCACGCACGCTTGTTTTATGGGTACTAAACTGATGAATTTTTTTTTTGTGAAAACATAACATCGTGACCAATTCGAATAATTATACTTATGAATCAAAATGTTTGTATCGTGCGAGACTTGAACCCACAACCATCGAAGTGACGTTGTGCGGAACTGCTAGAAACCGAGACCGTTAACAAAAAAAATACTTTATACAATCTAAAATTTTGAGTTATTACTTGTATTTATGAAATGTTTACAAATCCAAAAATATTTAAATATAAAAATTGTTGATGTTTCGTACTTCAATAATGTTTATAGCAGCTGTGATGTATCGTAAAAATTAAGTGTCCGACCAAAATTCGGTTTACGATGAAAACAGAATGTTTCAGTTTTGGAATAAACTTAGATAGTTTTCTGTCTGTTAGTATATAGCCTTTAAGTTTATATTTAAAGTTTATTTATTAATGTATGATTTTCTTCCTATACTAATAGTTTTGTAACTTATAATATTTATTTTGATATAATTTAATTAATATGAGACTTAAGTCTTTAATTTAGGGAACGATAATAAATAATCGCCCTCATTATTTATTATCGTAATTTAATGTAAATACTATTTTTACTTGGCTATTTATGTTTATTATTTGGGGTTAATTTACTGGTAAAATCCTCGATTTTGCAAATAAATTGGCCGAAACCGAAAGGTTAGTCAGACACTAGAAATTTGTACCTACTTTACTGACATAGCCAGAATTTTTCGATATTTACTTCGTAGCCGTCTAAGGCTTGTTACACTCACCGGAGGCAGATAAATAAAGGCCACTTCACAATTGCGTTAATACCTTCTTAAGTATTATTAACCACCTATTTACATTTCAAAAGGATGAGCAGCGTGGTATATAAAAAACACATAGGTAGCTAAAAGTATTTAAACCAGGTTCTCAGTTCCTTACATAATTAGGTAAACTTTGTCTTTGTCATGTGTTATAGAGACATTGATGTAATAGGTAAAAATGTAGATGTTTCTAATGCTAAAAAAGTTTTACATAAATAATGTTGCTTTGGAACCGTTGTTTGAGGGAAGTTCAATGAAAGGAAGTTGTGATAGCAGATGCAGTAATGATATAGTACGCCAAACAAGATGTCGGTTCCCATACAATTAATGTTCATAACAATGATAGGAGAGTTTTCTCACATTACACTTCCCTAGTCCGATGTAGCGTTACGTGTTTTGTTCAAGTTATTCGTAGTTTCCATCCTACTGAGACTAACAATTAATTTAATTTTTAATATTGTTTAACTTTTTAAAGTTGTGGTTAAATAAATGTGTTTTCTTGGAATTAACTAAGGGAAGAACAATTATAATATTGCATAATAAATTTAGCAGATGCAGCTTTGGTTTGGATTTTCTTACATTACTTCTCATGATAACATTTTATTAAATAACTAATAAATGAGATTATTGTTACGTATTACAACAGATTTATTTAATCCGTTATTATTAAAGAATTATATTATAAATAATTATATAAAAATGATACATTTACGTCCTAAAATAATGATTAAGATAGGTCTACATTTGTAGGTTTCAATTCTGGTTTGATAAGGTAAATTTAGTACGTAATATATTACTTGTATTAGGTAATGAATAAATATTAATGTGAGAAAACATACAAGCGTAGACCAACCTTATTTATAGAATGTTATTTCAGTCTTTCTGGCATAAAATTCGGTGGAAGGATGCTCATAGCACTGGAAGGATTCACATGTTACCGATGTCATGAGCTTGATTGATTTTTTTTAACTTTTATTACACTTGGATGGGTAACATAAGTGTTCGACATTGCTCTAGGCGTATGACTATCGGAACCCGGTAATGCTGGTAATTTATCTGTAGGATTTCGTATTAACATTTTTTTTTGAGAACCTGGCACTGCTTTTTTTACATTACACTCTTGTTTATTCTTAAATTCTATGTTATCGGTGGTGTTTAGAACAGACTTGGCACACTTACGTTCACTTTCACAGTCACTACCTGTTTGTTTACTTAATTTTGGAGCACCAAAAGCTTTAGTTTGTTTTAATAACGAACGATCATTACACAACGCTGCTATGAGAGGCAAGTCTAAATTCTTGCTTTTTTCTCTAATAATTTTTATGTCCAAATCACAATTATCTTTCACTTTACTTGCACTCGGAATATTGTTCATATTTGTAGGATAATTTGAAGACTTTATTTCCCTAAGATGCGTTGGAAGTTTTTTCTTGTGTTCATATGGTGGTGGGGGCGGTGGAGGCATGCGTCTCATCTTTATTGGCGGTGGATCCTTATTATTTAATAAGTTGTCGTCAGATTTTGTTCGTGAGAAATTTGGTATTTCAGAAATACGTGTGGGCCTTAATGGTCGGTCGAAATTTATGGAATGATTACTCAATGAAGTTCTACTTGTCAAGGAGTACCAGCTAGTTCTTGTGCCAGGAAGTTGCACATAGGAATCTGAAAGATTTTGTATCGAACCATATAAGGATGTTCCTGATATAGAAGTTGATAAATAGGGCGTGCTTCTGTATTGTACACTGTTTTTATGCATATTAGATAGTCTTGATTCAGTTAATTTATGATCGATATAATTTTGTTGCGATACAACCGGGTCTTGTAAAGGATAATAAACGTAATCTACATCACTGTACAATTGTTGATGGAAAATTGGATTATGTGGCGGTGGCGGTGGAGGTAATCTTGCAGCAGGCGGAGGGGGTGGTAAACGTGTTCGCCGAGGTGGTGGTGGTGGCGGTGGTGGCAGTTTCATCATAGCGACCAATACATTGGAGTCAACTGCGTGAGGAGGTATTTCTCTGGATGGTGAAAGGTTATTATTAATGCCTTGAGCTAATTTTGATCTTTCAGCTCTACGACTAGACGCTTGATGTCTTTTTGATTTTTGAAATCGATGTTCCACTACCATTGGACTGGCGAATGTTCTTTCAATAGAAGTATTAACTTCACCTGCTTCAGCTTTGAGAATTGTTATCATAGGTTTAGATGTTACTAATCTGGCCGCCACTTCTTCTTTTTCTCCCGTTTGCCTTAACGACACAGTTGAAGATGATGATCCGGGGTATGCAGGGGGTAACTTTGATGGACTGACGTGATAAGATGACAATGTATTATGATTGAATTCATAAGGCGGGGGCGGTTTATCGTGAACGGTAGGTCTTACATTTTCGTCTATGTCAAGTATATTGGGTAGAGATAAATTAAGTAATTTGCGACTATCGCTTCTTGTTGGTGGTGTTGGCGGTCGGTCAAAGAAAGATGTATTGGGATAGTTATCATCTGAAGGAGCAGTGTCTTCATGTCCCTGTATATAACTGTCTCCACAAAAAGGTAAGGGCAACCTGACATAATCCGAGACGGAATCTAATGTATCACTTACAGATTGGCTTTTTGGATAAACACCTCGCCCGACAATCAAATCTGTTAATTCGGTAGCTGTTAGTAAATTGTGCTTATTATCTGTGGGATCACTACCATCACCATGAAATGAAACAGCACTGACATTGGAATTAGTTCGTTCCCTGAATATATTACTATTATCATTGTGATCCTGGATTGAAAAGTTATTAGCGCCGTCCACACAATCGGTATTTGCAAGTGAAGCCCGTAATCGTAACGTCTCAGATGAATGGCAATTTCTATCTGATTTACTCTTTAATATTGATGATACGCTATCGAAATCAGCAAGATCATTATTTTTAGATGTTTTATAACTGTCGTAATGCGAACTTCCATAGTCTGTTCGACTATCTTCAAATAAAGTATCAATTTTTGATTGAGTTGTTAATTCTGAACTACCCAGTGTGTATACACCACTTGTTTCACTAGAGGCAGCTACAGTCACAGCTTCGCCTATGCCATCATATAAAGTTAAAGCAGTGTCTCTTGAATATTCGACATCTAATCCCACTACGCTATTATCACTTATCATAGAATTTTGTGCTGTGTGGCTATAACCCAATTCTAAACTACTAGTATCAGAGGTTCTACTTAACGTGCTGAGGCCAGCTCGTGCCATTATGACTGTGCTACATGATGAAGAACATTGTGATCCTGTACATTTTAGTTTACTTGATACAGGGCTATCTGTTTCGGCAACACATTTTTCAGACAAAGAAGTAGACTCTTCTAATTGATTTGTAGTTTTTTTAATTATATTTGTATCACATATTTTATTATCTGGTTTAGCCCCATGCTCACAGTCATCTTTTGATTTTTTTATTCGGCTTTTAGATTTTTGTAATTTTAGTGAAGATGTCTTTGTTGGTGGTTCATCTTGTGGAATGTGGCGAATAAAGTAGGAATTGGAACAATCTAGTAAATGGGCAAATGCCAAACTTTCGGTAGAAGGTGCAGGGGGTGAATCTATCATAATTTCCAACTCATCTTCTGATTGAACTCTGTCACTCACTATTCCAGAAGTTGTATTTGAGCTTGTAGTGGAGATGACGGATATTCTTTGTTCACTCTTATTTTGATTGTATTGAAAGTTTAAAGATTTGGAATATCCGTAACAAATTTTACGTTCCTCTTCTTCTTTCAATAAGATTTCATTAAAATTTGGTGCAATCTTCATCGAAAATTGGTGTGTTTCTTTACATAAGGCGAATAAATATTTACATTTTTCCTCACTAATTGAATAAAGTGTGATTTTTCCTTCGTCTGTTTTTATTTCAAACTTTTTCCTATCAAAGCTTAGTTTTCCAATTGCACTCCACACGAAATTAGACAGCGGCCCATTATCTGGTAAAATTTTGATGCCCTTAGCTGTAACAAGAAGCCATACTGTTCCAGTATCTGGTTCTGATTTATTTTGTTTCAAGCGGTATCTATGAGAATTGATAGTATCAGGAAGTAGACAGACTTCGCGTATAAATCTAACTTGTGCATCTGTTTTTGGAAGGCCACAGAGCTCCCGATGACAGGCTCTCATTGCTGCAGATACCCAATCTCCAGTAAGGGAAGGCGGTGCATATTCTTCAACTTTAAAATAGTCACGATCTTCATAAGAATTTGCATCACCATATTCTGCTTGTAGTGCTAAACCAGTAAGGAGCAAAAGCACTTCCGCTGGTAAAGCGTCTCTTGTCCGCACATTATGCCGCATTTGCAGAAAGTACAAATAACGCCCAACTTCATCATGCAAAAGCAGTGGACTCTCCACGTGGAACTGAACTACTAGATGCAGTTCAAGGAGCGGTTTTCCATTTGCATCCAATCCCTGAAATAAAAAGAAATATTATATAGTTAGATGACACAGATTGACTAAAAAAAGATATAAAACTATATGAACCTTTATATCGTAATGTTTCAGCACAGTATCTGGAAGATTAAGGGTTTAATATCCGTACAATGTAAACATTTTTGTGGGTACTACATAATTGACTGAGTAATGAGAGTAATTGTTTGTGTTGATTGGCTGTATTCTATGCAAGAACACCATGTGCGTAGGTATATATAAAATGTATTCGAGTTTTATTTTATTTGATTTGATCAATGATAATAACTTACATGTGTGTGGGAAGATCTCCAACTCTTTGGCGCATATTTTGACAATTTGCTTTCTAAGTCAACAAACAAGTACTCTCCATCTGAAATCAAACGTAGTAATTAACAACAGTTCATAAAAAGAAATAACTAAAAATGATTGGCCAAATACAACATAAGGGTATGTTGATATGACAATAGCATCACACCAGTGTAGGTATCTATCAGATTGTCATTATAATGCGACACGGTGATGCGGTGTTGTGTTGGTACAAACATGCACAGAACCCTGATTACACAATAGCCTTTTGTTTGCATATGTACATAAGTACAATGGTCGTGGATTGGAGTAGCGTTTGGTAATTGCCTAAGGATTCGTAAATGTGTCATTGTTTATTTGATCATATGTTTGTAAATCATAACCGAGAGCCTACCTGGAATGAATTAAGGAAAAACAGTGTGTAACTTTGTTACCATTAAAAATATTGTCGGTATATATATATTGCGAGTACGTTCACTTATATTACCTACGAAAAAATAAAGAATTATTTTAGCGTATTTAGCTATGTTTAGATTAATATTGATAGAGACTTCTCTAGAATAAGATACAAAATTTATAAAGAGTAAGATATTTTTACTGTAATCTATAGCATTTGAGAGTATCTAGAACTCTGGACCAGTTTTTCATAGAGATCCTAGACGTGTCAAGGTGTTAAGTGATTCTGTTTGAATGCTCTTATAATAAACGAATATCCCAATACCTAATGGATTAACACATTAATTTCAATGTAATAGTATTTACATAGAAGTTAAAATAGCAATTTGTACGTACTTTGCATTATGGCTAAGCCAAAGAGGTCGGTGTCGGTCATGCCTTGTAACTGGGCATGACTGGTGGCCAAGGATTTTAATTCTTTGACTCTTGCTTTGGCTTCGACGACGAAATGCAGAGGTTGAGGCTGGCCAGGCATGCGTAGAGAAAGCAAACGCGCGCCCGCGGCTAGCGCGCGCGTCTCGCCGCCCAGCGGCCCGCGAACCGAACACAGAGCACGCATGTCGCATCTCGAGACCCCTGTTACTTGCCCTGCAACAAAACACGTTAACTTTACTCCTTGTCTCAAACATATGGAACATGGTTAATGTATGGTGAAATTTTGTAGCCACAAAAATACGTACCTACTCGTACGTATTTTTGTGGATTTCTATTTTATGTTTACCCACACTATACACTTACTACGGCATCACATAACAAATAATAAGTAGGTACACAGCGTGAATTATATAAAGCTCGAGTACACCTTAGGCTATTTACTAAGCGTTGCTTTGATCCAGCTTCGTATACTTAGGTATTACGTATACGGTCGCATATTACTCGATGACATATATTCGAGACGTGATAAGTTATAAAAAAAATCCGGGTAACTATTTTATATCATTTACTTTGAATAAGATTAATAATAGTAATCTATCAGTATAATTCACAGAAACACCCAAACCGATACGAACGAACATACTTATAAATAACAATGTTTGTACTGTGCGAAGAATCGAACCCGCGACCATTGGAAAGAAGGCGGTGTTCTAACCCGCTAGACCACAGAGGTCTTCGTGGACGTTATATTTTTTTATATTATTTTTTTAAATTTCATAAATCCGAACAATTAAAGAAGGCCAAAGTCGGAATAAATAATCTCAGATAAATAAATAATCTTAGAACAATTCACACAGCGCCATCTAGACCTAAGTTAAGCTAGCTAAATTTTGTGTTATGGGTAGATAACTGATACAAATACGTATATATTTTTTTTGTAAATACATACATAGAAAACGGAGTGTTTTCCGATACAAACAACCATACTCATGAATACTCATTTAGATATTTATCACAGAAAATATATTTAAATGTAGCTAGATATGCATTGTCATCCTGCCAACTCACAGGTAAATAGCATCTTAGGTAATACTTATCTATCTATAAAGTGTTAATTACAAAAGCGACTTCATATATAGATACATGTAGATTATATTAAATTAATTAAAATACCAGATTTAATACTTATTAATGTTACCTACTTTAGTACATGGTACGTTATTTTGTACTTCAACACTTTTGCTATAAAATCTTCAATGATTTTGCGGGCTACTATTATTAAACTTTGAAAACTTAGTTTGGAGTACCTAAAAATCAGTAACTAACAATACTTGGGTAGCTACATCCGTTTAAGTTTATATCTTCCTATTCACATCGGCTACGGCCGCGGCACCTGGAATGTCGGTTCTGCGCCATCTGTGCATTCCATTAACTTTTTTCGTACAGTACAATCTTTTTGCTACCTGCTGCTGCCTCTAAGGCATGTTGACATTGTTATATTTACGCGTCTTTATAAAAAACATCAGAAAATTTGATCTAAGTCTTGGTGAAGTTATATTATATGTATATAATATTCCCACTTAAATGCATGTAATAAAAGAAGTAATTGTTATTAAGTGCGAAAATGTTGTATATCTCCATATCTACAATGACAAGTCTAATGCACTCTCCTTTCTGTATAACTTGAAACACAATTTTTATTCCAGACGACGAGTGGTATTATAAGTTTAACTTTTCTGTGTATCTGACAGTGGCATCATAGCTCCCAAAAGGTCGGACCGGTTGTGATGCGGTTTTTTTGTTTAGAAGCAGATGAGATCGAAATGGTTCTTAGCTATCATTTATAAAGATCTGATTAGGCGTTTGAAAACTATCTCTAGTTGACGAAGGAATTTCGCTGACTTTTGTTATTAGGCTGGTTTTCATTTTTAATTTAATTACTTTTAAAGACAGACTTTTAGTTTATACTTAATAGACCTGTGGCTCCTTTGCTACCAATTGATAAATTGACGGTCAATATATATATATATATACGAATAGATATAGGTATGTACGCAAATAGCAAATACGCATGAATAGGTATGCTACGGTAGACTAAGTAACTGACCTGAGTTCATTCCTAATGTCTTCCATTGCAACTCCCCTGTCATATACTGTTAGTGCCGCTTGCACTAACATTATTTACCAATTCCATTATAGTCTAAATTTAAAAAATCAAAGACAACAAATAAGTTGTTTCATAACACTTTGTATCCTTCCCGAAGAGTGCGAATCATGCTGTAGGTATCCATCTAGCATGAATAAGTCAGGTACTCCTACGTGTAGGTACCCACCTATTATAAAAACGCTTATTGGAATGTAGAACCACAAGATCAGGTTCTAAAAAACTAGACGCGAATAAATTTCATCCCATCCGGTACCTCTGCGGCTCCTCAGCTCTTGATAGCCATAAGAACATGTTTTTTGTTTTAGTAAATGCGCGATAGTTTGTGATGATGGTAGGGGCGCGCGGGGCAGAGTCAGACCGGTCGGCGAGGCGTGAGCGTGCGGGCGGGGTGATCACCGCGGGGCGGAGGGCGGGGGGGCGCTACGTAAGCGCGGTAGCAGCGGACGGCGACGCGAGGAATGCGGACGACCTTCAGATGCCGGGCGCCCCTCCCTCATCGCCAGCCGCATCTTGCGTCCTCGCATACCTAAAGCCGTCGTTGCCTCCAGTTTTCGACATCTCGCCACCACTTTTGACACCCACAAATTGTCAGGACGATAATGGACGGAATTTTAAACAGATATCGATAGCACAGTGGAAAGCGGGAACGGATTATTATGACACCGTTACGATTAATGGGATACGTATAATATATGTATACAATATTCTTTACTTGAACAGATTATTAACTAGGTAGGTCATAATAATTAGTAAAGATCATTAACATTCGTCGACATTCCATCACATTCTATTAATTGTAGTGCAATGACGCAGGACGCAAGAGGCACTGCAACGATGTTTGATAATATAATATCTACTAATAGAGTCAATTTTAACCATAATGTATATTCCTATATAAATTGTGTTTTAAGTATGTATATACCTGCTATAGACATACTAACTTTGTTCGGACGGATCCGCTACAGTTTATCCGCTAAATATTTGACTTAGAAAAAGAAAAATCGAATTAATTACTTAATTTTCGTATTAAATTATACATATGTGTTTAAGTCCAAGAAAAACACTGAAACAACTTAACCATTTATTATTAAATTTGGCTTACTGTGCAAATGCCAACTTGAATCCAAAAAGTGCCCATAATTAGATTTGCTTTTGAATAATCAGTTTTGGGAAAATTAATATTTACTGGATCAACCAAGTTAAAGTCAATTTGACTTGTATTATAGAAAAATAGCTGTACTTTACTAGTTAGCCTTTAGGAAATCAAATTAGGTTTAAATTAAGATTTTTAAATGTAGTCAAAACTGTCATGATAAATAATTATCATGAAAATTATTATCTATACGTTCTGTACTTAGTATAATTGTAGGTAAATAACATAACGTAATGACTAATGATTTGTCACAAGTACCACAAATTACACATAATGCCTAGTGTAGGTAGATTCATACATCAATAATAATATGCAGAGCTAGTAACTACGCAGCTTTAGCTCAGCATAATGATTAATTCTTATGGTACCTTTACCATACACCTAATTCATGGTAACTATGATATCAATAATAATAAATATAATAAATATATCAATCTTATTTATTATTATACAAATATTAGACAAGTGCACATACGATATGCAAAAAAAGGAGAGTAAATTTGGATATGACGGCCAATAGGGATCAGTGGAAGAAGATGACATACAGCGCTAACCCAAAGAATGGTACAAATGCCAGGCCATGATGATTACGCGAGTGGGCTAATATAATAGTGATAATAACAATAATAATCTTCATTTAATCTACTGTTGTTTATGTTGGTGGCCGTGAATCTGTGAATGATAAAATTATCTTCATGTATAATTTACCTACTAATGGTAAGCTGATATGATAGTACGGTTATGGTGGACCGGAGAATTGACTACTGACGTGAATAAAAGATTCTCGGATAATAGCCTCTTAAAGGCAATATGAAGAGACGAGTGTATTGCAGAAAGTCAATGGATGCGGGGTAGCTCAAGACCGCACAATATAGGAGTCTATGGTCCTCTGTACACTCCCATAAGAAACGATCTTGCTAGGTTAGCTGTCCACTGGAAATGGTTTTATCTACTCGTAGTGATAAAATATGTTTTATTGTATATACGAGTATTTCACGGTCTAAAATTATCTCATTCTATATTTAAAAAATGATATATTAAACGAAAACTAATGTAAAACTTTGACGGATAGTAATAATACATTTTGATGAAGCTACGACTTCTACATAAAATTGTAATTATTCTAAAGAATAATACCTATTTACACTTACAATAGGTACACATAACTGAAGACGACAATACGAATTCCTTGTAGTGTTACAATGCGTAAAGTAAATAGGGTTCAATGTGAAACAACTTGAGCATCTACGTAAAATACTTTGTTTGCATGTAGCATTAGTTAAATACTCGGAAAATATTTGTTATATTAATTTATACTTACTACTATACTGACAGAAATATTTTTCTCCTTTTACAGGACTTTATACTGGAATGTATCTTAGTAATTAGGTATTTATCCAGTGTGACGTGATTAGTTTAGATGCTTTTTTTAAATATATTTTTGAATAGCTTACTCTCCTCAAACAGACGTGATGAGGATCCTTTATTATGTAAAAGCAATTTGAATCACCTATTTTGAAGGTCCAGTGGTACATAGCCACGTACAAATCCCAACCATAACGGTTTGGCATTTTGGTTGATAGTCAAATCTACCCGTACCTAACCTGTTGGGGCAGTGCTGCCAAAGTTTCTAGAGTGAGTGATCCGCTGTAGGGACAACTTAGTGCAAAGGACTGTAACCTCAAAAGCCTGCGACTATGAAACCTAAACTCTTTTCTTGTCGTAGGCATGTCTTGCTCCCATCATCATGCAAGAAAGAAGAATTTAAGAAATAGCGAATTTTAACCTTACTGTAGGAGTCAATAAGTTTTGATGTCAATACATCTAGGTTGGCAGTGAGAAGTGCTCCTTCCTACGCCTGGGCCGCAGCAAAAGACGCATGCTTTTGTGTCTGTCTTTGGCATAGTAGCGTCTAACATAACGGAGCAAACGTAATGTGTTTTGTTTTGTTTGAAAGCTGACCTCATCAAGATGGATAGATGGAAGATATTTGCTGCAATTTATTGGAGTGGTTACTAGGGACATAAAATATTTAATTATATGATTGTTATTTCACTACAGTGCAAATTCCGATAGGAGAAGAAAGAATACCGAGCTCATTGATACTGTTTGATATAAATCATAAAGTAAGAGGTAGTAACTTAGTCACTAGTTCAATATCTTTCAAAATTGATTGACAGTATCTTTGAGAATCGTTTAAAAAATGTATACATCTTATTCTAGAGGAATCAAGAATCGCATTCTAATCTAAGCAATGCAATCATCTGAGTTATTGTTGTTCATTAAAATACCTAAACAGATTTGGTTACAATGAATTATTCATATCTATGATTAATAAGAAGTGAATAAATTAGTCATGCAAGTAATATAAATGAGCCCATAAGCTACAATTTGGATGTCGCTAGAAAAAATATCTAGCTAGGTTAGTTTCCGTTTCCTTCGCCATTTGTATAGCATTACATCATTTGTTAACAATTCAAATTGTATAAGAAAGGAAATTATAGACAACTGAATAATCCTCATCATAGGCAGTTGATGAAAGGAGAAAAACAATGACAAGGAAAGAGAGGAGATAGAGTTACCTACAATTTTAAACTTCTTGCCGACTTCTTGAATTGTCAAGAAGATTTTATTATAAAATCTTATTGTATCAGTTTATATTTGGCTTCTCTTTACATAATTACAATTTGCAATTAATTTATTGTGAACATTAATTAGGTATATTATTTTTTTGCTTTATATTTATTTTTCTGCATAATATGTAGATTTAAATGTGTTAAAATGCTGAATTAAGCTTATAAATACTCAATTTCCACATTTGAGAGTTGCACATGCAAACTAAATTATACGATTTACAATTACCAATGTATAATTGTCTGTACGTACCTAATTACAAAATACGAATCTGTTTTAAAATAATTTTTATAACGGTGTTCACAGACAAACTAATTAATACTTATAGATTTTTTTTTGCCAATTAAGGACTTATTTGTAAATCACTATCGCGTCTTAAGTCAACATCAAGTCAACAAAGTCTAAATAGACTAGCTACTTTACTAGTTAAGAAGAATTTCCAAGCTAAATAAATTTATTTTGAATATTTAGGTAGTTCTTAAATTATGAATGAATATATTTATTTGTATGTCTAACATCTTATATTTTGTGTGTATGGATGGATAGATGAATGTTTGTTACTCTTTCACGCAAAAACTACTGAACGGGGTGTGATGAAATTTTGCAGTAATATAACTTATACATCAGAATAACACAGGCTATAAATTTCATGCGGATGAAACTGCGGGCACAGCTAGTACTGATTATATAAAAAATCTCGTGCCTGAATAACTAGTGCCATACATGGCTGTCCTTGAGTAATCATTTTCAAAACAGTATACTTATTCGTAATAGCCTTTACTCAATAAGCATTGTTACATAATTAGGCCCCTGATAACTGAACGTAGTATTGTAATATAGGAAGTTATCAAGAATTTCACAGTAGGTACTGTACCAAGTAAGTAGTATTCTATTCATATATATTAATAGTAAATATTCGGTAATATTAATAAAACAGTGTCATTCAATGATAGGTCAAGAGGAAATTGTTCTGTATCAATGTTTCTCATTCGATATTTATCGTGTATCAATGTCCACATCGATGTTTTTTTAGTATCGATCATCCTTAGACTTTAAAACAATGATAACAATTAGGCATACGATCCGCCTAATACAGCCTTCATCTGCATCATCAGTGGTAGAACGTGTGTTAACAACAGCGAGGAAATATTTCAGTGTCCATTTTTAGTAATGGAATTTATCAATTATTAGTTATGTACCATATCAGGTTGTCATACGAATCCACGCGATTCGTATGACGGTTGTTGATGATGGATTGGCGGCGATTGATGTCTTGATGTTTAGTGGTTATGAAAGTATATGTAGGTATAGTCCAACAGATGATTATATAAAAACAAATCAAACTTATATTTTTGTAAATATTGTACATAACATTTTAGTGTTACTTACGTTTAAATTTAACTGTTAAATGGTCCTACATGATACTAAATTTATTATTACAATCTGTATCATATGAGAATTGTTATTAAATATTGCAAATTATATAATGAATACAGATAAATAATATGAGGGAGTACTCATTACATAGGTCTATCTAAATATATTATTAGGTATTCTGCGGCATTGCGTAAATAGGAATTCCACAGATTAAATAATTGTGTTAGATTTTTTCTATTCAGTACCTACTAGTGTTTAAATAGTATTTACAACTATATAGGTACATATATTTCTTTATTTCTGACACAAATATAGTGTTTGTGTGCACTTTGGGCAACGATTTCGAAGTATTAACGTTATAGTAGTTTTCAGATGTTAAATTGGATTATCAATCATTTATAATATGCAATAATGCTCTATAATTGTCGTAACTGTGTGTGGTGTAATACTTTTTATTCTATTTTATTTATTTGCAAAAAACTTTATTAGGTAAGCATTTAGAAGCTAGTGTCAACTTAATAAAATGTTGCCTATAGGTACCCAATTATTATTTGGGTTAGTTATTTCAATAAGTACCTATTTAATGTATATTTATAATAATTTTTATAATAACTACTAAGGATACATCTGATTAACAAAAATTTGTACCTCCAATTATTAAATAACCTATATAGATAAATTTTGTTTAGCTTTAAGTGGGGAATGAAAAATCGTAACAGTACTTATAGAATATTATGATTTTGGTAAATAATTGGAATAATATTTTAAAATTACTTAAGTAATTGATTTATAATTAAATTTAGATGAAGTACCTATCTAAGTTTAATGCAATTAAGCATTATATCTTTGTAATCATATCTGTTATATATTATATAAATAGGTATACATATTTCATACGCCGTAGAGCTTGAAAAAACATAATAGTGGATAGATACACTTTGGAATGTGCCGCGGGGTACCAGCGTTTGAAACATGGTGATCATGATGTGGTTGTGCTTTAGAGGCTTGGCGCGCGGGCGCAGGGTCAGCGGCCGCGGCACGGTCGACGCGGGCGCGCGGAATTCGAGCTATGCGTATGAAATGAAAGTGGCCGCATCGAGAAAGCGCGCGCATCCATTGCGGTCGTCGAAAATGTCGTAGGTGTCCATCTAACTTACCATGAATAGACAAATCCAATGCCCCTAAATATAATAGCACAATGTTCCGTGGTAAACCGCATCCATTGGCACTTCACTTCACTGTTAATCGCGCGATCTCATATGTGAGGTTGTGCACCAATCCATTAAACGAACAGAAACGATGAACGCGCATGAGCAACTGAGTTTCGAATGAAGCGAAGCGGGCGCGTGGGTCGGCGAAGGCACGCGCGGGGCGCGCCGCGGCTTTGAGCCAGTGGAATGCGGTAAGATAGTGGTGCTCGGGTATAGACCGAGCCTTGCTGTAGGCTTGTGGCGTACAACGCGCCGCGCCGGAGCCTTCGTGTGGGCACTGGGTAGGGTATGGGTACGCGTCGGCGCGGCGGCGCGGCGGCGCGGCGTCGTCGCCCCGACGGAATGCGCGCGGTCAACTTCTGCCCATTAAAATAAATACAATTTTCAAATGCCGCGAGTTCCGGACCACGGTGACCTAGCTATGATCACTACTAATGTTTTGTTTAGTTTACATGAACGGTTTTACAGTTAGATTAATTTTATACAATATTACTTTTAGGAGTAAATTTAATTTAGGTATAACAGAATGATATTATATTTTATGTCTTACTAGTTATAGAATTCAGAAACCAGAGGGACCTAGATAGGTACTACTATAAGGACTAGGTTTTTACCTACTATAAATAGACAGTAATGGATGTAATATTATCTTATCCGTATAATGATTATCTAAATTGTAAAATAATTTTCTGTATTTCTACATAAGTTAAAATTGTGATATTTTAACTTCTTATGTATTCCTATCACAACAGCCGTACCAAAAATATTTAATAAGTATTTATTTTATTTTTATATCTGCATAGAAGTTAGAATATAACTTTTAAAACAATTTGTAGAACCTTTTAACAGTTTGGACAGAACCCCGTCTTCTGGTCCGTATGCATGTTCGCCTTTCTCGTTGGCAGGTCCAGTAAATGTGGTATCAAGGCACAGATGCTTAGAGACATTTAATACAGCAGAGCGCAATGACTGAAGTGATATAATAAAACAATATAAAAAGAATACTCATATTTTGAATAAACGAATATATAAAACTGTTCGTGATTCTCATTGTAGGTAAATGAGAAAATAACAATTAGAAATAGTATCTATATAAGTTTAGTCTACTATTAATAACCGATATCAACAATTTGGGGTATGGTTACTAACGCATTGTTAGCTATATTGCTAGCATGTACTCGTAGCTCGTACTCCAAGTGGAAACAATGGCAGTTAAGTCTCTGACGAAAATGCTGTTATGGGCTCCATCATTTATACTGATTTCATCGTCATCTGTATAATAAGAACCTTATCCTTAAGAACGCAATTTTAGTATTTAAATTTTCATTGATGTATTCTTGCCCCTTATTTTAGATATCACGTCATGTTACTAAATTAATATTTCTTTTCAATAAATAAAAATAAATTTACCTTATCCTGTTAATTCTTTTATATACTATATTATTATTATGAAGATGACAGTTCTTCTTGGTTGTTACTAATTTTTAAAGTGGCAGTCAGACTATGACTGCACTCTCTATCTAACACTTACTTTGTGAATAGATATCATTCCTAACTGTAGTGTGTCTGCGCAGCAGCAGCAGCAGTAGCAGTGCAATCTCATTATTTTTGAATGGAATATCATGCTTTACTGTTTATGTAATATATAATATTTTTTTGTCAGAAAACTTTTAAAATAATTAAAGAACGTCATAACTAAATAATGTAAACAAAATCGTAATGAATAAGTATCATGAAATGAAGAAGGATTTTATTTGGTTCATTATACTCTTATCTATCATTAGTTCTTTGTTTTATAAATCGATACTACAGAGAAGAACGAAGACTGGAAGATCATTCCAATAACTTTTACGGCTTTGGATAAATCTGAACAGTCATAATTAATGATGCCAGGTTGTGAGAAGCTCCCTAAATTTAGGTTGATTTAAAAACAATTTTCGAAAATTTACGGGAAACAAATGTTAAAGGGGAAAAAATTAGAGTGAGGGAACAGTATTTTTCCAGCTATCACATTGTCATATTTATTAACATATATATTATATATATATATATATATATATATATAAGCAAAAAAATTATTGAAATCGAGCTGTTCAATAACTATTACTCGAAATTGTTATACATTCGATTAGATTAAACCTTGTTAGACATTAAAACTAGAAGCCTATTATTCTAGCATATAATAATATGCCACTATTCCTCTAATGTCAGTTAAGTTTTAGTACATTTTACTTTTTTTATTGAGCACAATCTGAGAGGATAGCTAAACTGCTAATGGCAACACTGATAATTTCTCTGAGTCTCTGACTGATCTGGGAATAGTGATACCAAAAGTCAAAATCATTAATGACGGACTTTGAATCTGTGTTTTGAATGAATTAACATAACACTAGCACAATAGAAAACAAATAGGGAAATCAACAAACAGCTGATTCAATAAACATTTATAATCTAATCATTTTACTATTCCAACATATATAGAGGACTATTAAAAATTAAGTTGTAGGTTTATACTACTTACAAGTGTATATTGATGGTCTTTTCGTGTCTTACAATTTACATTGTATAATGATTCTATCAAAGACAGCAATATCTGTGTTATGTGTTCTTTTGTTGTTATCAATAATGATGTCAAGTTTCCTTAATTCTATTGCGACTGACCACAATTTTTATACTGAAAGTAAGAATGAGGGCCTGAACCACACAAATTACCTTGGTAGTAAATACGGTCCAGTTGGTGATGATACTAAAAATTTAATTTGGTTCTTACAAGTAAGTGACTGGTTTTTTTTTATTGATAAGAAGTTATTTTTACTTTGTGTTTGCATGTATTGAACAATATAATCTATTTATAATTTGCCTAGTCATAATTGTGAAAACTATGTGTTGTATTGTATTATTAATGCTCAAGCTAAGATGTCATAATTATAACAAGAATGTATTTGTTTTATTTCCAGATCTCTGACATACATATAAGTATATTCCGTGATCCAGGCCGAATATCACAATTTCAACAGTTCTGTGACAGTACTATAAGAAAGATTATGCCACTCTTAGTTTTAGCAACGGGTGACTTGACTGATGCAAAAGCCAAAGACAACCTAGGTAGTTCGCAAGTCAAAACAGAGTGGGTATATTATCATAATATTATTAAGGAATCGGGAGTTACTGAAAATACAGTATGGTTAGACATCAGAGGAAATCATGGTAAGATAAATTAAATCATCATTTGTAGGTTTGAGATTGAAATTAATTTACTTACTCATGGTTACTACTTATATATACTTAATAAGTTTTGTGAGTCAACATACTTAAGAAGAGAATGTTTAATCTAATTAAGTTTAGAAAATTATTATTCTATCTCACCTTATATTATATTCCTTCAATGTATAGTTATCCTAAGAATATTTTTTCATAAAGTCCTCACAGGCGTAAGTAATAAAATTTAATTAAAACTTCTGTCTGTATATTGAGATAATAATTAAATGAATGATTTTACAGATAATTTCAACATCCAAACCATAAATTCTAAAGAGAATTACTTTAGAAATTTTTCTGTGCAAGGACCTACTCACACAAAATCATATGTGCATTTTGAAGACAAGAATGGTGTCAATGTTGCTTTCTTGGGTATTGATGCTTGTCCAGATCCAGGTCTAAGAAGACCTTTCAACTTTATAGGAATTTTAGATATGCAAGAACAACAACATATACAGAAATTAAAAGCAGAAGCTGATGTTAGAGCTGACCATATTATTTGGTTTGGGCATTATCCAACATCATGTATATTGACTTTAGAAAAGGATTCTCAAAGATTGAACCTACGAGAACTAATGGGTAGCAGCCCAAGCTCGCAGGTATATGTTTGTGGGCACTTGCATTCTATGGGAGGTTTGGTTCCAAAAATGTATACTAAACAGAAAAAAGGCTATTTAGAACTGGAGTTAGGGGATTGGAAAGACAACAGAATGTTTCGATTGATTGCTATAGATCATGGTATTTTCTCATTTGTGGACCAAAAACACAATGCATGGCCACTTGTTTTGGTGACCAATCCAAAACATGCACAGTATATGATGCCTGGGCGGGAACCTCTTCAATTGATTCCTCAATCAACTCATATTAGAATATTAGCTTTTAGTGATGTCAGCATTATAGAGGTAAAAATTTCTTTTGACCAAATTAGTTGGATGAAATGCAAACATACAAAAGGACCACTGTATGTCTGCCAGTGGTTACCACACCTTTTTCTAAAAGGTTTACACATTTTACATGTAATAGTTATAGATGAAATTGGCAAAGAAGCAGTAGTTGAACATCCATTCTCATTAGATGGGTCTCTAGTTAATTTTGATGTAACTCCAAGAATTCTACTTATGATGGATGCTGGTGTTTTGGTAAGTGTAAATCTTATTTAATTATATTGGTCATATAGAAAAGTAATTGTTAAATACATTTTACTGTTTTCAGTTTCAGGGAATATTTGCAACACTTATTTTGGTTAATATTCTGCCTTTAATAATCTTACGACTGCAGAAACGTCCACCAAAATATCATAGAAGATTTGGTAGCCATGTTCTTAGACGAATTTGGCTACTCACCAAAATCGACAGAATTTTTTATCCACTTATATTATACACAGTTTATTTGCCCTTTGGACCATGGGCGATTGGTAATTTAATAGATGATCATATAGGAGTTGTTTTTGCTTGGGGCATCGTAATAAGGGGTGCATTTTTGCCAGAGGCCTTTACTTACATGTATGGTAGTGTCCAACTAATGTTTGTACAAATACCACTTATTTTTGTACTTGCACATTGTTTGGAAAATAGACTATTTTATCATCATGTTAGAGGTTTAAAACGATTAATAAAGAATCTGCCATTCATTTTTCTTTTATCCATACAGTTACTGTTAGCCTATTTCTTTTGGCTGGAGTATGGCACAATGGCATTTATGTTTGGTCCATTGAGAACCTGGAGTATTCCCTTGAGTGTATACTTGTGGTTAAAAACTACAAATCTACCCCCAGATTATGGCAGGTAAGTAAAAATTAATAATGTGTCCAGTTTCTGACTATAATTTGAGTATTAATAGTTATTTATATTATGTATTTTTATTTGTTACAGAAAACTGATAAACTTAAATAATTTGTCATCATAGTAATTGTGTGGCAAAGTATTTGAAATTTCGGAATGTATTCCAAAGAATTGATGTGTTAGTGCTTAATAATTAAATTGTTCGCCCAGAAGAATGTAAAATACCTAATTTTATCGAACAAGTGAAACTCATGTTACATGTTAGATGTTAAGAGGCTTTAGCCGCTTAAAATAATTGTTTACGCCAAAGTTTGTACTAAAGCACATTCCTACTCATTTGCGTTTTATGTATTTTATAATTTGATATTCGCGCCTAGTACCGCGATGCGCATGACACATGAACACGTCACTAAAAACAATAGTTGTAAATGTTTGAACTGCTAAAATATCAGGTGTCGTCCGCATCATGCTACAACGCGCGGAGTATACGTTGAATTTACCTATGTAAATTGATAGTTGGAGTAACTACCTAAAGCTGTGATAATTTTACAACTAATAGTCAATCTCCAATTATTTGTATAATGAATATTGCATTAAGTACTTATTTAATAAGTATAACAACATGTAGTATTTTAACATTAAATTATTCTGTATTATTAGTATAAATTGACTAAGTATCAAAACAACCTAGTCAGTTTGAAATAAACATGACTATTTAAATTAACTGGGTATATTTTTTCTTTTAATTTGTGAAATGAACTTTAATAGAAATTAACAAACGTAATATGAACTTTTTAGTGTCTTAATATTAATAATGTATATACCCATCTATTTAGCATAACATGAAACTGGAGAAATAATTGTATTGTGTATTTTTCTAAAAACACTTTTTATTCAAGTATAAATGTATAGATATATTTTCGTATAATACTTTGTAAGATTACCTACGTAAAACAATGCTTGGAATAGGTGAGTAATTCATAAATGTATAGTATTTTCTTATACTTCTTTACGGTGTATAACTTATGGATATTTTTTCTCTATACAAAGTTATACAGAATAGAAATAACCTTTAATGGTCACTTAACATTTTAATGGCTTAGAACTCGCGTTAGAATCCAGTTACATTATATTCGTGGTGATCGTTGCCACTTGTACTTAATTTTTACCGCGAATTATAAATGGTATTATATGCTAGATTACTGATAAAAATATATACTCAGGATCACCGTAGCTATTAGAAAACAAAAGAGATGACAACAGCGCTACAGTCGCCGAGTTCGCATTTCATACAGCATTTATTGAAATAAAATAAACTAGGTTCTTTTCTTCTGTATTAGATTTTGATTTGTTATATATGGTGGTTCATATCAATATCTCAATGGAGTTTATAATGGTTATAGTAAGCCAGGGTACTGGCATAGATAATATCATGAAAAGGTGGAAAATTTGTAAAAAAAATCTTTCATAACAGATATAGAATGTCCACCTCAAAATAATTAAATAACACATAGATACACTATCCGAGTTACTATCTAGTAGAGTAGGAGAGTATGAAAATATCTATAGTAACGTAAGGAGGTAGACAATTAAGAACTACTGACTGGACTTATTCCAAACATTGTAAACAGCACATGTGTATAAGAACACTATTTATAACAAATAGTAGTGAAAATGTTTATTATCAAATATAAGTTGTCGTTTTAGCTAATAGCCGTATTATGATATAGAGGCGTTATGTAATGTTATTGCAAATTAATATCTAAGCTACGTTCGCTGATGCATTGTATCAAAACTTGACGTTAAATTAAATCTCCACTAATTTAATATTGGCCGTGTTACGAAATCTGCAGCCGTATTATAGAATTTATCGCCAAGATAAGTTTTTTAATTAATTAAGTTAAAATTTAAAAAAACAAAACGCTATTTATAAATAAAATGTTCAGCTCTATTTTACTATACAAGTTATATAAACCTGTAAATGCTACCAATTAATTGTGAAAAGTAACGAACTTACTAGATGATAAGTAGGCGCAGACCGGTCCTTAACAAAAATGTAAAGATATTAGAAGGAATATTGTAGGTGGTGCTGCTATTAAATAAATATCAGCAATGATAACACTTCATGAGTATTTTAATGTTTTAAGTTATTAAAAATAATTACGTCTGCTTTACAATAGATATTTACAATATTTAAACCGTAAGTATACAACAATATTAACATTATAAGGCTGTGAAATGACAAAGTTATTCAGAAAGTTATCTAAAATAATATTATTTTTCGGAACATTTAAAATCGTATTTGCCTAGCTAATACACTGATATACATATAGGCTTCTAGCATTTAGATACAAAGTGAATATTTTTAATACGTTCTAAAAAAATATTACACAGTGGCAAGACGATTTTTTATTACTTGGCTGTGCTTATATCGAGATAACTGGTAACAAGCTCTATCCAGTTTATGGGTTTAAGAAAGACAAACAGTGCTATTTCTCAAGTTACTAAATGGAACTTGTGATATCTTTTGAACTTGTAACATTAACGAACGAATTTTTCTATTACGTACGTCTTAGTTGTATGGTTATTGTTCGTAGACTGATATGAACCGCTCCAGCTTTATATCGGTAATGTTTTATGCGTAGAAGTACCTATGTGTATTAGTTTATAAACATGGACTAGAAATTAGATGGACGTGACAATTTGTTAATTTACATTTGATTGGGTTCTGACTATAATACCTATATGTTTATTGTTTGTGATGTACATTTTGTTTATTTTGAGTATGTATTAAAGAGACACTGCACTGTAGCGGGCAACGTAGTATAGTAAATAAAACAATTGAACGTTTTCTTATTAAGGTCCGCACGCAGCACACAGTGCAGGATAAGAGACATAATAATAATATCTTAGCCCTTTGGAATGGAAAGCTGTTCATGTATATTGACCATGCTTATGACTTATCATATGGCGGGTAGTCACAGAAGTCGCTTGTTTGTCACATCATTTATATAAAAGAAAATTTGTCACGTAATTCATTGTATCATATAAGTCACAAACAGTTCGTGTCGTGCAATATTGTGCTCGCGTCATGTTGCGTTGCCTCACTACCGTTCAGTGTTCGTAGTGAAGTCAGATCTTTATTAATGAAATATTTGTGTAATTAATATTGAACGATTAATTCCTCCGTAATTATATATGATTGTATTCAGTTCAGAAATATAAAAATTATTAGCACCATAAAGTTTTTATTGTCAAGAGTCAATTGTAACAATTTGCTTTAGCATATTTGTTACTTATAGATGTTATCATAATAGTCATATAGTCTAGTCTATAGTATTATCTATTAATCTAGTTTTTCATCATAAATACTCAAGAACAACATGCTTCTTTAATTATCGCTGAAATCAGCTTTATGCATTGTTATTTCAAAGATGTAAAAATAAGTCCAATTCACGGCAACAAAATACACAATAAATACCTACGTCTATTATTTAGTTGTATTATTTATTTTCATAGAGAAACACGTTTCTGATAACGATTAAGTGTAGGACATAACGCAATTTTATTGCTTAAAGACTATTCTTAAATAGTCTAAATTATAGAAAGATTAAATAATTATTATACATACAACAGCTTTATTACTTGAATATATTTTCGCTATCATAACTTGTAATGTACTTAAATGCAATTATATAATCTTATATTTATTAAAATAATAGAGAGACCAGTCTTAAACAGTTGTTAAATATTAAATGTTAATAAATAACTAAAAAAATCTGTTCATTCAACCACGCTGTAACCCTGTTATCCTAATACCTTAATAGGTAATATGTAAGTACCTAAATAATATATTATTCTCCCAATATTTAGTCATCTAACCACTTTTGTCTATTATTATAACAGAACTATTAAACGAAACAAATACCTAAAAAAGACAGTTTAGTACAGGAGCGTTTATAAGTTTTTATTTGGTTTCACTTGTTAGTATAATATAGATTATTTATATTTGAAACTGTTTCTGTTATCAGACGGAAATAATTGGCGTCTTGAATAGAAGCATCTTTTATACATGGTATTAACTGTAACACCTCTGTATAAAATATTTGCAATGTACTCATATATAGGGCTTTCATTCTTGTTAAACTCGTAAATAAGGTTAGGCACCTTATTCGATCACTATCTACAGGCTCTGTAAACTCTGAACAGTAAAACTGAGATTAGTAGTATTTGTACAAAAATTATCCACACTATTAAAGCTATTATATCTCTATTAATATCCCTGGAAATACCGAGATATTCTAGGTAATCTTCTGGTTTTCTAAACATACAGAATATTTCTGTTAAACACGGAAGCTTTGGCCGTTCTAGTCCGTATACCGTCTCCAGAAATGCATCGAAGGAGTAACGAAAATATGATATGGCGGCAAAAGGACGGAGGTAGACCGGTATCTCACGGTAAGGAATGAAGAATTCGGAGAACATGAGCATTGGTATGTTTGCTGCCGGGATAACGAATAGTCCGAGCTGAAAATAAAAGAAAAAATATACATACGTCCATTACGGAAGTCTTAACAGCATATGTAAAATTTAAAAACTTCTAATATACATGTGAATATGTATTCTGCTAAAAATAGTGTCCTATTTGTTAATCAAAGGTAATAATAATTTGTAGGTTGTGCATTAAGTTCTTTATTTGTCATTTTTAAAAGTCATAGTTGATATGTGTAATTTCTGTTACACATTTTTCCTTCCTTAATAAACGGAGTATCTAAAACGACAAGACATTCAAAATCGGATCATCGTACCGTAAATTACATCAATTATCCAAACCCAAAACCTCTATATATTATTAGAAAAGATTGAGTACCAAACATTGAAAATATATTTTTTTAATCCATAATAATTAATGATGAATACCTTAACGCCACACGCGGCTCCTACAGCAAGTCCAAATGTTTGAGCTAGTATGGTGAGTAGGACGCATATGAACCACGCCAGTCCCATTCTGTTTAAATCTAACGGCTGTGATGTGAGGTACCACGCTGGGAACACGAACAGGGTTGCACATAGTAGCTGAAATGTTAATTAAATAATTTGATGGTAGTAACGGTCAGTAATAATTGTGAGGTATAAGCCCTATAATGGTGCAAGTTCTAGCTGGTTACTGTAATATATAAACTTTCATGACATACGGATCCGTAACGCTTGGCTAATGTCATTAGTATTGCAAATGTTATTTATAAATTCTACAAACTTCTAATAAACTTAAGTACTACTCGTATTTGTTATTAGGAACTACTCGTATTTTGTGCTCAAATTCTAGAATGTTTTCAAAAGACGTGAGGCATTTTTGTCTACCAATATGATGTCTGGTTACTATCGTGAGGGCAGTTCACGATCAAACAAACAAAATAAATTCGGATACAAAACTCCAATATTTATTTATTTATTTATTTAACTTTAATGCACACAATATAATATATAGTATAGTACATTTGGCGGACTTAACACCATGCGGTATTTTCTACCAGTCAACCATAGGTGGTGCAGAGAATAATTGTTGGCGGTGCAAAATTATAAACATAAACAAAATGCAACAAAATATAAACAGAACAAAAATATATATACAATATATATACAATATATATATATATATATATCCACCTTTTTGGCATACGAGCAGTTCTTGATCCAATTCAAACGGGCCAATCAGGGTGCAGCATTTGCCAAGGGCTTCCTCATTGGCACGTTTGGGCTACTACATTATGGCTACAGTAACTTAATAATGTCTAGCTAGTATTTCAAGAATAATAGTCTATCTAATCTAAATATTCATAGAAATCAGTCTGGAGTAACGTGACTCCAGATCAAACCTCAATACTTATTATTTTTTTGGACGGGAATCTTTTCTTTTGTAACAACGTTACTAAGCGAATAAAGAGAAGACGCAACGGCGGATCCAGGGGGGAGCGTCATGGAGGTCATGGGAGTCATGGGGGCGTCATGACTCTCCCCCCCTTAGCCCAGGACTTAGGTAGACCACTAATTGAACTAAAAAATAATGAAACAGCAAATTTTTTTGCACGATCGGAGTGTTGGTGCAGTAGTATTAATTATAATTAAACATTGTTACTTAAAACATATCAGTTAAAGTACTATAACACTAAAAGCAAAATAGGTATTTTCAAAATACTTTTTCAAAATAAATTACCCTTTGAGTTTTTGTCCAAACCTCAGATATTTTATTTATTTTAGGTATATCAATCATTACATAGTATAGTATAGTATAGTATAAAACAAAGTCGCTGTCGCATCTAACAAGTACATAAATAAAGAAAGAAGACTTTTTGGCTCTGAATATATTTCAAAAATCAATTACTTGTGTTAATCAATTTACATACTCGTTCTTATTTCATAGTATAGTGTTTTGATCCGAATATATACAGATACCGTAACGGTCTATTAATTATGAATTTATTATACCTAACCTAGATATTTTATTTTGACGAAACTCCGTGTAGTAGTAGTATCCGATAAAGGTATGCGAACCCTAAGTATTATTTCAAAATGACCAGTAATTTCGAAGAAATAAGCCTTTGAATTTTGAATTTTGATTTTAATAAGCCTTTGAATCAACTTACCAAACGGACGCTCAAGGTTCGATTCCCGCCACCGATTTTTTTTGGTATTTTTTTTTGTCTATATTCTAATTTTAAATTAACTATTTTAATAATTAAATGAATTTAATCGAACAAAACGTTGTTAAGTATTCAATTAATTTTAATTTACATTACCTATTGTACTTTCTAAATTGTAAAGCAGCTAACAATTATAGTAAGATCTTATAAATAACTAACACAACAAGTAAAACATTTTAAATGTATTTTCTTTATTATTACAAATATTTTTTATGCATAATATAATAGTTAATATCACTTAAAATTAATTTAATACTTAACAACGATTTTATCGATTAAATTCATTTAAATATAACCCATAAATGTATAAATATTATATATAAATAAATACATAATGATCTGATAATCATATTATAAGTACAGTCTCAAATTGAAAGTAAGAAAAACAGAAAATATAGAGAGAACTATAGGGATATAACAGAAAGATGTGAAAAATGGAGAAGGACAGTAAAAAAGTTACAAATTTAAATAATGTTCCCGCAATTTCTGTTTAAATGAATTTATTACATTATTATATATATATTAGGCATACGACTAGCCTTATGACTGTTACTTTTTTTTTAATCTATACATCTATACATGTAAATAAAATTGGAGTGTCTGTTTGTAATATTGAAATAACCGTTTTTACTACTTGCATATGAATATAAATACGGTATACACCAAAATAACACATTTTACAAGTTTTGTCTGTCTGTCTGTCTGTTTGTTCCGGCTAATCTCTGAAATAGCTGGACCGATTTTGACGGGACTTTTTTTGGCAAGTAGCTGATGTAATAAGGAGTAACTTACGCTACTGTTATTTTAGAAAAATAAAATAAAATTTCACGCGGACGAAGTCGCTGGGGCCAGCTAGTCTATAGATATACCGAGATTTAATATTTAAGTTGCTATTATGTTGTTGACAAAATTTTACTGTAATGTTACTATTACGTTATCCTACACAATTTGTATTATTTTGGATGAATAAATAAATAAATAAATAATAATCTATACATCTATACATATAAATAAAATTGGAGTGTCTGTTTGTAATATTGAAATAACCGTTTTTTACTACATGCATATGAATATATATAAGGTACATATACCAAAATAACTATTTTTATAATTTTTGTCTGTCTGTCTGTCGGTCTGTTTGTTCCGGCTAATCTCTGAAATGGCTGGACCGATTTTGACGGTACTTTTTTTGGCAGATAGCTGATTTATAAGGAGTAACTTAGGCTACTTTTATTTTAGAAAAATAAAGTTAAATTCCACGCGGACGAAGTCGCGGGAACAGCTTGTTTTTAATAAAAACGGTTTATTTGATAGAAAAAACATCTTTTTTGTGGTACTTGAGAATGTTGAAGCCTGTTGTTTGTAATATTGAAATAACCGTTTTTTACTACTTGCATATGAATATAAATACGGTACATACACCAAAATAACATATTTTACAATTTTTGTCCGTCTGTCTGTTTGTTCCAGCTAATCTCTGAAATGGCTGGACCGATTTTGACGGGATTTTTTTTGGCAGGTAGCTGATGTAATAAGGAGTAACTTAGGCTACTTTTATTTTAGAAAAATAAAGTTAAAAACCACGTGGACGAAGTCGCGGGTACAGCTAGTGTATAATATATTAGAGATACCTACGTGTTTTGTTATTGATGACTAGCTGTACACGGGATTTCGTCCGTGTGGAATTTCACTTTATTTTTCTAAAATATAAGAAGTTAAATTCCACGCGGACGAAGTCGCGTGTACAGCTAGTTATCGGTAGTCTAGCGATTTAGCTAGCACACCGCTTTGATTCCTGCTTGGTGGTCGAGGGTTCGATTCCTCGCACGCTGCAAACATTTGTATTCATGAGTATGATTGTTTGTAACGGTCTGGGTGTTTTCTATGTATAGATAATATATATGTATTTACCACAAAAAATCTTTGTATTTATATCAGTTGTCTAGTACCCATAACATAATCTTCAGCTAGCTTAACTTGGGTCTAGACGAAGCTGTGTGAATTGTCTTGAGATTACTATTATTACTATAATAAATCTTTTCAAATCAGCCGATGTTTATTTTTGCCATAATACGTGCTGTTACCATGTGATAATATTACGTACGTACTAATTAAACTATTAACTTATTATTAAATTATTAACTATTTATACTGTTTTAAATGTGATGCGTTCATTATTTATATTTCCTTTGAATTAAAGACAAATGTATATATATATATACATTTATATAAACTTGCACACTTAGTTGATCCAGCCACGATCCGTAGATATTGCTGATTCCACTGTCTCTCTCTTTCTACCACTATAACGGTAGCGTGGTTGAACGGCAACATGTTGCCGTTCCGCGTTCTACCACTATCTTTGTATTCTAATATGCGATGTTGCCGTTCCGGCCGAGACCATGCGTTGTTGCCAAATGTATTCGTCGATAGTAGTAGATACTCGATATATATTTTTTCAACAATTTCCTGCAATAGTGAATCCGTATCGGCAAAATTTTTTAAATGCACAAAGATTTTTTGGCTCTGAATATATTTAAAAATCATTTACTTGTGTGTTGATGAATTTATATACTAGTACATGAAGTACCTAATACTTGTTTTGATTTGAATAGGTAGCGATATTATGAATTTATTATACGTAATCTAAAGATTTTGACGAAATAAAAGTAATTAGTTATCTGTTAACCTTGACTTCATGCTGGCACCAGTATTATCAGATGATGAACATACTCTTCGAAAACTTACAGCAGAAATATCGTGTTTGGACTCATTAGATAGGTCTCGATGAATAGAGTTTAAAAAACTTAAAATAAATGGTAAATTAGAAATAATGTATAAATACCCCTTACGTAAAATTCAACCACTTTAAACTTAATAATAATAATAATTAGGAAAAGAGAAAAGCTATACATGCACTGAAAGTAATTGATGCCTTCCACACAATATTTTCAGTATTAAACAACTCTGTTTGTTCAGTAAAAGTGTAAATACACTGGTAACCTTTAATCATATTTTATATGCAAACATTACATATACAAACCCTAAAGTTTTATTTCAGAATGGCCAGTAGTTTTGAAGAAATAAGTCTTTGAAATTGTACGTGTAACTTATATATATACTAGTTTTTTCACCATAACAAACAACACCAATATGGCCTAGTTAGTAGTTTACCTGTGTACCATTTAATAATAATAGTAATAAAGATTTTTTTTTCGTTATTATCTATACATAGAAAACACCCAGACCGTTACAAACAATCCTACTCATGAATACAAATGTTTGCAGCGTGCGAGGAAACGAACCCTCGACCACCAAGCAGGAATCAAAGCAGTGTGCTAGCTAAATCGCTAGACTACCGACAACTAGCTGTAC